GATAGAAAATAAGGAAATGTTACCAAATTCGTTCTAATTGGTATATATTATTGTAGCTTGTCCTCTGATAAAGTGGACACTTGTTCCATTATGAATACATTAGGTTACTATATTTTATTTTTAACAAAATCATTATAATGTTTTTATTTTATTTTTAAATGATTCAATGTAAAGATTTCTATTTAATTAGTTATCATAGCTATAATTTGTTATGATTACCACTCGCGACTAACATTAATCATTAATTATGTGAGTTGGTTTCGAGTTTGTATAATTACCACGTTTGTATAATTCGTCACATTTGTATAATTCGCAACTAACAATTCTTCATTTGATTTGTATTTGTATATGATGGCTTGTATTTGTATATGACGATGATTTCCTTTGGTATTTCAGTTTTATCACCATATACATTCAATTTTTTTTTGTATAACTTTTTAATGTTTGTAGAAACGTGTAATTTTTGGATTTTGTATAATATAATTTATATGATGTAATTTGTATAATATAATTTGTACAATTGTTTAAAGTTCATACGTTTATGTTTGTATCAATTTGTTATTTCGAGTTTTATCATATTTGTATAATTTCAGACTTTATATTACTCAATTATACAATAACACGCGAATTATACAAATGTAGCCGCAAATTATACAAATGAGATGTGAATTATACAAATTATTGCCCTCTCTCACTCGCTTCTCTCCTCCCTCTCCCAATCTCGCTCGCCAGCTATACAAATACATATGTATACCAGTTGCATATACATAATTATCTAACCGATATACATGTACAATTCGCTTCTCTCCCACTCTCTGCCCTCGCTCACCTCTATCCCCTCTTTTCCAATCTCGCTCGCCACTCTCCTCCCTATAACATGTAGCTACGAATCGTAATTAATAAATTATAACTATTTAGTGTAATTAAGCTATTTTTGAGTTGCTACATGCGAAAATTTCCCTTTTGAAAATAGTCTTTTTATATTAATTCGAAGAAATTATTGACGTTGGAAGGATTTTTAAATTTTTTATTTTGGGAAAAAAGGTTTTTCCCGCCCTCATTTCTCATATTTGTCTTAGATATATAGAAAGTTAGGGAGGTCACTAACATGAGTAGAAGGTTAATAGGTAATTTAGAATTGTCTATTACTAGCTTATTTATGTATTTGTCCAGAAAATATAGAATAGCGTGTCGATCGCATTAGTAGTCTATTCACATAGTCTCTAGTTTTTGGTATATGATATTTACTTATTTATATGTTTTGCTTATTACACCTTGTTGTTGTTGTTACGGTTCCGTACATATATGATTTACATTGCTTTACTTTGTACTAGCTATATTGTTTTAGTTTTTACTTTTGATGTCTAGTGTCTTCGTATGTTTATTGTTTTTTGATTATTACACTTATGTTGTTCTTGTACATTTCTACATTATTTTCTTCTTATTATATTTTGATTTGCTGCACTTGAGCTGACGGTCTTTTAGAAACAATCTATCTACCTCCATGAGGTAACGATAAGATATGCGCACACTCTATCCTTCCCAAACCCTACTTGTGGAATTTCACACTTTGAGTTGTTAATATTAAAGTGTTACCAAATGAATCAAAAAGTTAATACAATAACTCAATCGATTAACTATCTGAAGTTTCACCTTATTAGTGAGGGTTCAATTTCTCACGTTATAATCCCTTTCTCTGTCTTTTATTGATGTTTTTTTTAAAATAAATAAATAGAGTAGACTGTGAAGGGCATTGATAAACTTTAAAGTTCCAATTATTTTTTGGGAAAATGCATAAGTACCCCCAGCCTATGCCCGAAATCCCAGAGACACACCTAACCTTTACTAAGGTCCTATTACCCCCCGAACTAATTGTATATGTAATATTCTACCCCTTTTTGGCCTACGTGGCACTATCTTGTTGGCACAGCTGTTGACAATTTTTTCAAGGATAGGCCACGTAGGCCGAAAAAGGGTAGAATATTATAGATAAATTAAGTTCGGGGGGTAATAGGACCTTAATAAAGGTTAGGTGTGTCTCTGGGATTTCGGGCATAGGCTGGAGGTACTTATGCATTTTCCCTTATTTTTTTAAAATGTGATTCTAATTTATTTATTTTTTTCAAAAAAATAAAAAAGAATGAGAGGTGACTAATCAAGTTGGTGGAAGATGGGCCCACTGGACTGGACTTTGGCATGGTCAAGGCAAATCGAATAGGGCCACACCCTGAAGTCTTCTTTTTCAACTAAAGCCGACTCATTCTTTTTCATTTAAATTTCAAAGACATGGTGGGTCCCATTTATCTTTAATGAATTGACATCTGTCCTTATTTTAAGCCGCCACGTTTGAGATCTTCCCGCCTCTAAATTAGACCACCAAAATCCGGATTTTCCTTTCTAATTACTACTTAATTATGGAAATAAAGCTTATTTAAGAGAATAAATAGTATACTTTTGAGTCTAGTGATTTCAAATTAAAGATAGGACCTTAGAGATATATAGAATGTACCAGAATATTTTAAAGGTCATATAATACATAAACATGTCATTTAACTTGACTTTAGTTGATATTTTTGTCCTCTAATTTTGGATGTGATTAAGTAGACACTTAAGCATGTATAAAATTGAACAAATATACATATGCATCCTACGTGGCATAATGCACGTAGAACGCCACATAGGATGACATATAGGATGCAAATTGCCTCGTAGGATGTCAAGTAGGACGAATATATTACTTGTTTAATTTTATACAAGTTTAAGCGTCTATTTGTGCGTATTCAAAATTATAGGACGTAAATGTCAAATGAGGCCAAGTTAAAGAACATGTTTATGTATTACACCTATTTTAAATTATTGGCCCAGCTTTTACAAAATAAATAAATAAAAAGTGCATAAGCAAAAATAATTTTTCATATACTGAAAATTTATGATCAAATTTTAGCTAATTCTTCGGAGGTTGTACACAAAATTGGTTGTTTAAATGTGATATTGCTAACCACCAAGTTTGTTCACTATGTTCTCAAGAGAAGAACAACATTTTCCCACTTGTTCTTCACATGTTTTGTTTTTGCTAAAATGTGGAGGAAACTTATGACATGACAAGGTGTTCATATGCATCATATATGTTGGGAAAGTGGAATGTGCTATCCAAATATGCAAATGGAAGAAGGCCTAACTTAGAAATATATAGTGAAAATTAGTGGCTGAAGTTTACTACATGTGGATTGAAAGAAAGCAAAGAGCTTTCAATAACAAGCAATAAAACATTGACTCTCTAGTTAAATAAATTGTTCATGATGATAGGTGTTCAATGAGTGTGTTGGGCTAAATTTGAACGGATTAAATTGATCTGATTCAATAGATTATCGGGATTGATTAATACAAAATCTACTTGCGTCAAAATGAATTGTGTTAAAATAGGTTTATATGCGAGTCACAATCTATTCTGCCTATTTCTTACTATGTTTTAATTGTTTTATTTATTCTTTTTGACAAATATAATTGTTTCTTCATTATGTTTATATATAACATATCAAATACAAAAAATCCTTTTTTAAGAAAATAATTTGACTTATTTTTCATGAGTCAATTTAAGCTACATCTATTATTTTTTAATGAAATAAAATAAATTAAACAAATAAAAAAGTAAATCAATAACTTATCCGAACTTAAATAAATTAAACAAATTGAATTTGATTTTACAACCCGGGCACATTCACCAGAGAGGGACTATGAGAAGGAAGCTAAAGGCAGATGGTTGGCCCAATATAATCCCAATCCTACTTTAGACTAGAACCTCCAATTTATTATTTTTCACACAAGATTTGGATAAAAAATAACAAAAATTGCAAAAATTATACCTCAAAATGTGAGTTATCACTATTTCCATCTTGTAAATTATGTCAAATCTATCAAACAAAGCTCGATATATATTTGATGGAGACCAAAATTCTTAACTTGTGACAAATTGAAAGGCTTAAAACTATACTTCAAGGTTTATCTATCCAACAAAGCTCGATATATATTTGATATTCTACTCATTTCAAATTAATTGAATTGCTGAGATATTTCACACCCTTTAAAAAAAGAAGATTAAGACATAAATTAGACATATATTTTCATTTTTACCTTATTAATTATTGTCAAATTTATGATTTAAATAACTAAATATTAATTATAATAACTAATTCAAATATTAACTAATGAAGGGTAAAATTGGAAGAATATTTTAAAAGTAGTCTTGAAGATTGAACAATTAAGTTAATTTGCAAAAATGAAAAATGTCTCAATAATTCAATTAATTTGAAATGAAGGGAGTAACAAATATAAAAGACTATTTTTCTCATTTTCTTCAATACGTAACAACCATCCAAACAAGTGCTCAATAAAATGACTTAAAATTATGAGATCACTTTGAGGCCAATTCTGTCATTTTCTCCCATACGTTACAATCATTCAAACAAATGGTCAAGAAAATAACTGAGAGTCACGAGGTCACTTTAAGATCAATCCCGTCGTTTTCTCTCATACGTTATAATCATTCAAACAAATGATCAATGAAGTAATTGAGAATCACGATATCACTCTGAAACCAATTCTGTCGTTTTCTCCCATACGTTACAATCATTCAAACAAATTGTCAATAAAATAACTGAGAGTCACGAGGTCACTTTAAGACTAATCCTGTCGTTTTTTCTCATACGTTACAATCATTCAAACAAATGATCAATGAAGTAACTGAGAATCACGAGGTCACTCTGAAACCAATTCTGTCGTTTTCTCCCATACGTTACAATCATCCAAACTAGTAATCAATAAAGTGATTGAGAATCACAAGGCTTAATAAATGTTGTACATTGAGCTTAACTGGGTACGTATCCTTTCTCACTTGTCATTGGGGCAAGGAAACGACATCGTTTAGACGTGGAACAAGGTCTTCCGTCAGATTGAAACTAGTTTTCATCTACACCGTACATTTTAATCTCTAGAAAAAAGGATTAGGTATAAGAAGGGTTTTCAGAGCAGAAAAAAATGGCAGAAATACAGTGAGAACAGTGAAGAGAAGAAGAAGAAATAGCAGAGAAAAATGTCAGGCGTCACTCAACAGGAAGAAGAGAAGAAGCCCGCCGCCGATCAGGGAGGTCACATTAACCTCAAAGTCAAGAGCCAGGTTTTTTGTGTTTTTTTTTCATCATTTTTTTTTTGATTTGGCTGCAATTATATATGATGCTAATTGTTATAGTTTTTGATCAAGTGATTACTTTGATTATTTTTTTCTGTTTTATGCACTGTGATGTTTGTATTAGGTTTGAAAATTGTGTTTGATGAACTAGTTTTTGCAAATTAGGGCTGTTAGTCATGCTGCTACACTTTTGATTGTTATTCAATTTAGTTACCAGGACGGAGTAATTTGTATAAACGAGAAGTTCCTGTGCTGTAGTTGTGCACGGTTTGAAATTCGTGGAGAAGGGACCTGATGATCCTTTTCCACGTATATATCGGGTTTTTGAGCATTTGGCGTATGCCTAACCCACACATCATGTGCATCCTGCTCTGATCTTACTACTAGATGGCGAGACTAAATCCTCTTGGGGCATAGAGAAGAGTGGATTTTAGCTTTCCTTTTCCTGCTGATAACGGATGGCAAATGTTGATGTGTAGTTAGTTTAGCTGTGCTAGTTCTCGATCAGTTTAGTTTGCTTGTTTATTCGATGTATATATTAACTATACTTAATGAGTTCATCGCTGAACTCAAAAAGGGATTTTGGGATGAAGATAAAATGTGGATATATGGTTGCTCAATCTAATGTGCTTGTGTTAATGTATTTTTTTGGGTTTCCCATCCGGTGTCTGTGCGCTCATTGGAGTGCGACTATATACACAGATCATGCATTACAGGGCCCATCCTGAGACATCTGGTTTCTGGTTAAGGGTGGAGGGCTTGTGTTTATGTTAAGTTGCTCTTGATTTGACATAAATATTTTAGTGTGTTCCACACTAGGAGTGTGGCCTAGTGGTCAATGAAGTGAAGGAGAACCAGGTTCATATCTAAGGGTGAAGGCAAAAGAAATTTGGTGATTTCTTCTTATCTGTCTAAACCGACTTAACCTTGGGTGATCAGAGTTAGTTGGTACTTGTGTTAATATGAGGTAGTACATATATGGTGGAATAGTCGAGCTGCATGCAAGCTGGCTCATCTTTAAAAAAAGAATGGAAAATGTTATTAATGTGTTGCGAGTTTACATGGTAAAGCTATTGTTTGTGAATATACAAATCCACGTATGCTTCCATTACCGTAACAGATAGTATCAAAAGGTATATCAGCTTGATACATCCATCCCCTTCTATTGGACCATTGTTCATATTCTCATGCTGAATTCCCGTTTTTTCTTCTTCTGTGCCTTAATACTGATACGTTAATCATGTTAAAACTCAACTTCCTACCGGAGAAAGTTCAAAAAGAGGAGGCAAAACAATGAACGGAAAAATTGAATAAATAAGGGTGTGTTTGGTATGAAGGAAAATGTTTTCCTGGAAAACAAGTTGATTTTTGACTTATTTTCTCATGTTTGGTTGGTGAGTAGAAAATATTTTCCAGAAAAGATTTTTAGTGTTTGATTTATGAATGAAAAATATTTTTGAGAAATATCTTTTATTTTTACTAGAGTAGAAAATAATTTTTGAAATTAAAAATAGTTTTTAAAAACAAACTTAAATTTTTTTTGGGGGGTGGGGGTGGTAGGGAGTGGGTGAAAGGGAGGGGGGGGGTCGAGGGTAGGGGTGAAAAATTGAAATTTTCAAGTTGAAAATATTTTTGAAAAACAAACTTAAAATTATTTTTTGGGGGTGGGGGGTGGGGGGTGGGTGGGTGGGGGTCGAGGGTAGGGGTGAAAAAATGAAATTTTGAAATTGAACATATTTTTTTAAAAACAAACTTGAAATTTTTTATTTTTTTTTGGGGAGGGGGGGTGGGGGGCTGGTAGGGGGTGGGTGGGTGGGGTTCTAGGAGTGAAAAAATGAAATTTTGAAATTAAAAATATTTTTTAAAAAAAACTTAAAATTTTTGTGGGGGGGGGGGGGGTGGTTAGGGGGTGATTTGAGGGTAGGGACAAAATAAATTAATTTTTTCAACAAAAAAATAATTGTAATTTGAAGTTGGAAGAGACTTTTGGAAAATGTTTTCCTTAAGTTTAGAAGGGAAGTCATTTTCCTTAAATTTGAGGAAAATGAGTTGATTTGGAAAACATTTTCCAAAACATTTAGCCCAACCAAACATGAGAAAATTCCTTCATACCAAACACACCCTAAATGTTGAATTGTTTTCCTTTCTGAACATGCCTCATCTTTTTGGATCATACTCTAAAGAAAAGAAACCTGATGAACTCTGATAAAAAAACAGAATCACAAATGCTGTATGTTAGTATTTAAGAACTCTAATATTTTTTGTTCCTTCTTGTGTGAATTTGTTCTTTTAGCTCGTCTGTTCATCTTCTTTCTTGTTTTGGCTAATTTGTGTAGCTGGAGTAGGTCAGTATCCTCAAATCTTGTGGGATTATTCTGAACGACAATAATCCATGTTCAGTATTACTAAATTTCTGAAGTCGACGATTTTTTTGTAGGATGGAAATGAGGTGTTTTTCAGGATCAAGAGGAGCACACAGCTGAAGAAGCTCATGAATGCTTACTGTGATAGGCAATCTGTGGACTTCAACTCTATTGCCTTCTTGTTTGATGGTCGCCGCCTCAGGGCCGAGCAGACTCCTGATGAGGTTTTTCTCTCTCCCCTTCTCTTCACCAACCAACGCTCCTCTTCATGCTACTTGTATATATAATATATATATATGTCCACATTTTCCTACACTTTATATAATCAGTAATATGTCGTCTCATTACTTTTGTTTACATATTCTTTCGACAGCTCGAGATGGAGGATGGAGATGAAATTGATGCTATGCTGCATCAGACTGGTGGATCTTTGTCTTAGATTTTATATTGGAGGGTTTGGGGTATCGTAAATTAGAGTATATTCGGTATATGTTGACCGAATTTTTTAGAATGTGTATTTATTTTAGTCTGTACTTTGGTGGTCCGATAACAGTTGTTTATGGATGGTCGCAGAATTTGGATCTTTGCTTCTAGTTAATTATCCTTTTGTTAACTCCTGGTGTTCGATATATTCGTGCTATGATCAGTTTCTGGGCAGGGGGAAGGGAACTTTCCTCTGTGGTATCTATTAGTATTAGAGATTTGGAGGTCTTGTGAAGTTGGTTTTGAAGCAAAGCATAACTAATGGATGTGCTGTGTAACTGACAATTCGTTTGTCATAGAAATCCAGCTTCTTATATTGCTTCATCTACACTGATAAGGTTGTGTAGAGTCGTAACTCGTAAGTAATCCTTCTTCCTTCTTCCTTAGCTAGTGGTTTCAGGTTTGGACTTTGGGTATGAAGTCATGTATGTTAGTGACCGCTTTACCTCCATCGTGGTGCTTTTCAGTTTGAACTTAGATTTAGTTGGATTAGTATATCACATATCGAGTTCGTCCATTTGGTGTTGTTTCTTATCATTTTTTTTCTTTAACCACGATTTCAAACCTGAGAATAGATTGGGGGAATGACGGATCTATTCACTTTATTAACAATTGAGCAATATCTAGTGATTTGTCTGACATGTTTGCGATAACTAGCCTATGAAAACAAGATCGTTCAACCCGTTGCTTGCTCATTTATTAACTCAAATTGCTTTGACTATTCTTTTTTTACCCATATAAAAACAAATCCCATGCTTTCACTGGCAAGGGATTTTGAACTTCAGACCTCCAACATGGAAGTCCCAAGTCCAACCACTGGGCCACCCCGAAGGGTAACATAGTTACTAGTTGTTGCTAATGAAGTTTACTCTGTGATTAGTGAAACTAATTTAGAACAAATCCTAAATATAAGTAAAGTAAAATTAACTAGAAGAACCTAATAGACCAGGAAATTTAAGAAGAATTACTCTAAATAGCATCTCACTCAATCGCTTAAACTATAGATAACCATTAAATGTATAATCGATGTATAATCAATGATTATAGCCATTGGATATATAATCTGTATACAATTTATGTATAATCGGTGTATAATATACGTAAACTGGCTAGAGAAAGTAGACAGTGAATTCATTGGGCTATTTATGTAAAGATACCAAAATTTATAGAAACACATGTCATGGCAAAGTCAAGAACTTCTCATACTTATATTTAACATGAACATTATACAATTGTATTTATACGAAGATTATTTAACTGATCATTTTATATGATGTACACAGATAATATTATTATCTTTCGTAAGATTGAAAGGTTGTTTCTAGACACTTGAACCAAACATTCTAATGTTTTTCGACTTTATTAGCAGATTAGTAGCAAAGTAGAAGAGGATTCCTGATTTGAAAAATCTCACCCACTTCAAATTATGACTTAACAAGTGTAAGAAATATAATTATTAAAGGCTCTAATTTATAAATTAATTCTTTTTAGTAGTTAAAGCATCTGAATCTAAAATGACTGAAGTCAACCTCAATGTGTAATCAATATACACAAAGATATTAAGTAGACATTTCATATAGTGTATGAGATTTACATTTTTTTTTAAAAAGTGAAATTCATTTTTCTGTTTTATCACAACCCACGAAACACATATGGGGAGTTAAAATAATAATTTGAACATTGCTTCTATTAATTATTTGAAATTAATTCCACATATTTATATTTATTTATAGATTAAATAAGAACCACGACATGTCACAATTTTCAGTTAAAAGTTCAACAACATATTTGCTGTAATTCCACTATGAGGAGGGTGTGAAATAGGTTGATTTCAATAAACTGTCGCTCAAGTAAAATATATCAAAATCAAGTATGAAAAAAATGAATAGTGAAAAAGTCATGTTGAAAATAATGGAGAAAAAATAATAGTAACAACAAGTAATATAATTACTAAAGTTACCATTTTTTTTAAAAAATACTACAATAATTGAAGCAAAGAAAACACATATAATAATTATAAGATCAAAAAATAAAATAGAAGAAAAGTAATAAATTAAAATATCTGATTTGATATTACACGTATAGTAACAAGTGTTTACGCGTATTTTTTGGTACCTATCTACATTTTACACTTAATAATTCTATATGGTAACAATATATTGAATTTTCGTTTATTTGTTTAGTCAACCTACATAAATGTGTTACTTTTATAGTGTAACATCAAACATGTCAATACCCTGACATATTGATGAGGAAATATAAATGAGTTTTTTTTTTTAAAACTAAATGTGAATTAATAATTCATTACCTTAAAAGTCATAGCAATTACAATGAATATATATATATAATCATATCATTTTTACTAAAGTATTTTCTAATAATTGAACAAATTAATATTGTCTAGCTTCTAAAATTGGTCTAAGCTTTAATTGTCCAAGAAAAAAAACTGAGAATTTAGACTCATACAAAGTAGACTTTAAAATCAATTTGATATTAAAGTCAGAACCATGGGTAGCCTATTTTTAGGCTTTTGGGCATATTCAAGTCATCAAATAATCAATCACCAATTTGCTATATATATAATGAGAAAACATATTCCCTTTTTTCTTCACATAATTAACACTTAATAGGGATATATTTTTAAAAAACTTATTCAGACTTGATGTTTAGATCAAAATAACATAACTAACACTAGAGATGGATATAGTAGATATATTACGGGTTCATCTGAATTCAATATTTTTAATTTAAACTCGATGTATGTGATAAAAATATGTTAAATAATTACATATAATAAATTTTGAATAAACAAATCTAAATGGATATAATATATAAAATTTTGAACTTAAATTCCTATAATATTCAATTTCTGCGTCCGCCTCTCCGTACTATAGTCAAATAATGTAAATTCATGAGGTGAGGTGAAAATAAATATTAATTAACCATAATTAAATGTTTATAATGTTTGGAGAGAAGATGCATGCTATGTTATTGATGATTTGATTTAAACATTAATAGTTATGCATACTTTATTTATTTATGTATTAATTATTTCCTCTCATATCATATGTAATATAATACATAAATTCACTTATAACTTATACATGTATTAGTTATGTGAGTTTTGAAATTGCAAACTAAACATAAATTGATACACGTTTGTATAAGTTATCAAACGTGATATTACTTATACAAAATTTAATACATCAATAACTTATCTTTTAACCAGCTACCAAATGATCCCTGAGTATATAGCTAACCAATAGGATACAAGCTACAAATATTTAAATTACCCTCATCGATAAGGTAAAAATTCATATTACGAATCAATTAACCTTTAAACCTTTTTTTGACAAATTTTACTCCTTGATGTGCTAATTAACATAGTGATCATTTAGTTAAATATAACGACCAAAGAATAAATTGAGAAATTATTGGTAAGAAACGTTAGTTATAACATCACAGTGGTGAGTAGCTAAACGTCCATTAATGAATACGTGTATGAATATTTTTTGTATATTTTTTCTAGGGAGTTTAGGTAGTTTTGTTACAAGTCATTGTACCCAAATCATTAAAACATAACAATTAGGAAACGAGGATAATTAATTATTATAAAATGGCTGCTTTTAAGGGTCCCAAAATTAAAAAAAAATTAAACAATAAATATAAGAAGGTTTGTAAGAGTTACTAGGAATCTGAGTGGAAACCTGTACAAGGATTTGATTAGTTAGTTTAATTAGCTAAGTAGTAATAGTAATTAGGGGGTGTTTGGTACAGAGAAAAATATTTTCTTGAAAAATAAGACTTTCTTATTTTTTATTTTTGTTTGTGTTTGATACGTAAAACATTTGTATATACTATAGACAAATACTATGGGAATTAATAATGCGGGTAGGGGTAGGGGTTCGAGGTGATGGGATGGATCTACGAGAGTGTGAGTCATGAAGAACTGAAGATGATGTATGTTGAAGGTTGAGGAGGACACAATCAATGTAGAATATCATTCGTTGAACTTGTTTTTCTTACTTCTACTAAAACACTCATATTTCTCATAATAAAATCTTTTTAGAAAAAAATATTTAATTTTTTTTTGATTTATCGAACATGAGAAAACTGAAAAAATATTTATGTCGCATCATACATCCTAACTACAATATTTGAATTATTCATGTTACCAAAACACGACGCGTTTTACTCTTAATTGGCTAGTGATTTTTGTCAACCCACAAATTGAGGGCAAACATAAGAGTGCTACTAGCTAGTTTGATATATAATAGGCATTTGATTTTTGAAATTTACTGAATCAATCCATTCAAATTCACGCAATATAAAATTCTTTAAAGGTAAAATATTCTCTATCAAGGTTTTACTAACTAGTCCTAATGCTCGGATTCGAAACCTCTAACGAGAAATTCAATTTGTCCACCATATTTAGTAGTGGTTCAAAATTGATTGCGAAAATAAGATTCATATAGTAGTACAATGTATACAAATTTTGGAATAGAAAATCCCATGAACAATATACATGTTACTACACCAAACACATTTTTTTCAACCAAAATAGTTAAGTAAATTAAGTTTCACTAGCCTCTCACAAAATCATACTTAGACATTTAATTAACTCATACACACCCAACACTATAATTTTCTTTTTTCATATTGTTAATGTAAAATGTAGGAGTTGTTATAACAAGTTAATTACTACTCATTTGTATTACGTCATACGGAACACGATTATTTACTTGTTCAACTTTATACGAGTTCAAATATTTACTTGTGCACCCAAACTCTGAAAGACATAAATGTCAGCTAATACCAAATTAAAAAACACGTTTATGTATTATGCCCAAAAAAAACCGTCACCACAACATATGCAACCATTATTAATTAAGTCCAAAATATAAAAAATGACTAAAATTACGACATAAGTGAGTGTAAAAATTCTAAACACTTTAATGTCACGTGCTATTCATGTACCTATATATATATGAGAAAAAAATTGTGAGAAGGACCACATAGCCATGGAAGCTTCAAAAATTCATTGTAAATTTTCAAGAAATATATGCTTTCTTCAACAATGGATATCACTTATTTTTACATTTGGCTTTGTTATTCCGTTCATTCAATCGTTAGATTATTCCGAAGCGCTCTCGAAAAGTCTCCTTTATTTCGAAGCTCAACGCTCCGGTCGTTTGCCGTACAATCAAAGAGCGATTTGGCGTCATCATTCTGGCCTTACTGACGGACTTGATCAAGGGGTCCGTACATTTTTTCTCGCGTTTATCATTGATATTCTTATGCATCTCATTCACATTTTTATGAATCCTGTTTAATCAAGGTCTCTGTAAAAATTGCCTCAGCTGTATCATTGATATTCTTATGTATCTTTTTGTTTGATACCCTTGATCAAGGCCGGTCAGTAAAAATATTCCGGCCTTGATCAAGATTCTTTGTTGACGTTCTTATTTACCTGTTTTGTTAACAAGTCTTTATCAAGGTGCCACCAAAAGTTATCTTTTTGGTTGACGCCTTGATAAAGCTCTGTTGACATTCTTATTTATCTTTTTTTTTACTGACGGTATGTCAGTAAAAAGTTTTTCGCTTTTTTCATTGATATTCTTATTCTTATGTATCTTTTTTTAAAATATGTGACAGGTGGATTTGGTGGGAGGTTATTATGACGCCGGAGATAATGTTAAGTTTCAACTTCCGATGGCTTTTACTATAACGATGCTATCATGGAGCGTCATTGAATATGGCGAAGATATAGCCGCCGCGGGTGAGTATAGATACGCGCTTGAGGCAATCAAGTGGGGGACGGATTACTTCGTCAAAGCTCACACTCATCCTAACGTACTCTGGATTCAGGTTCGTGTTAAGAAATTCATTAAATTATATGTTTACGTATAAAATTTAAAATTTATTTATTAGTATTTGAAGTCGTTGTGCAAAAATATCCCTTTAGTCACGCCCAAAAAAATTGAAGTTTATGAAATTCATCTCCTTGATTTCTAAGTGGGTCCATTTTGTAATTGTCTTTGTGGACGTAAATCAAGCTAGTAATTTCTTTGAATTTCAATGTTGGGTCATACCATAGACCATAATTATATATGGCTGACTTATTATTTTTGACTCTTTCAAAAATGCATATAATATTTAAATTTTGAATTCGCCAGGTGGGTGAAGGAGATACGGATCATTATTGTTGGCAAAGGCCGGAAGATATGACCACATCTCGTCGAGCTTACAAGATTGACGAGGATCACCCCGGGTCGGATGTCGCCGGGGAGACGGCAGCCGCGTTGGCGGCGGCGTCAATTGTGTTTAGGAGAACAAATCCTCATTACTCTAACCTTCTCTTGGTCCACGCGGAACAGGTAATTAACTAACATTGTTTGAATACCTTTTTAAAAGGACAATTTGCTAAATATTAGTGTAACACAAGTGGTGATACATTTTTTCTATAAAGAAAATTCCAAAGTGATGGACGATATTTTAAATTTGAAAACAATCAATGTCGTACTTTTCATTTATTCCTGATGAGACGCTTTTATTACCACATAAGTTTTAAATATGTCATATTTAATATCATAAAATTTAAAAGTTTATACTTACACACAAGGGAAGAGCTAGAAGACGCCAAAACATTACATTGTGTCTAGAAGGTTAAAATCATATGTTTTAAATATATATATAGATCACTTCTTCGCGTGTTCACGTCTTTATACTCTGAATCTTCTTAGTGAAAATTCTTGATCGCATCACTAGTTACACAAATGCTCTCATGTATTTTAGATCACAAATTTGAAAAATTTTCATTTCCTTATTAAATTCATGTCAATAAAAGTCAACTCAATGAACTAAACTTTTGCTATGTGAGTACTTGTAGAAGAGTCAGACCATAAGTGTTATCCTGCTTTTTTACAAGAGACTTTTTTCACAGCTCAATAGAACTTGTAACTTTCTAATCACATGACAACTATTTTACCAGTAGTTACAGAGGAATAAACATTTTAAGTGAGATTCTAAAGAAGATATTCCCAATTGTTGTTTGTTTTAACTACATATTTAATATTTAATAACTACTACAACTAATTGTTTATTTTCAATATTGTAGTTGTTTGAGTTTGGTGACAAGTTTAGAGGGAAGTATGATACAAGTGTTGGAGCAGCCAAAGGTTACTATCCATCTTTGAGTGGTTACAAGGATGAGTTGTTATGGGCAGCTATGTGGCTCTACAAGGCCACCGACAAATCTCATTATTTAAAATATGCATTACAAAATGCTCAATCTTTTGGGGGTACAACTTGGGCTATCTCTGAATTCAGTTGGGATGTCAAATACGCTGGCCTCCAACTACTCGCTTCTACGGTAAATTCTGATTTTAGTTCTTGTGATATAATATATAAAAATATGCATTTTTTAATCTTTTCGCTCGTTGATTTTGATAAATTTAACAGTTGTTAATCATTCCACTATTAAGTTATCTATGTGTCATGTTAAACTAGTAATCTAATATATATTTTTTTCATATATAATAGGATAAAAGGTTAGATGTGTTGAGTCATAAGTATATTTTAAGGACCAGAATAAGAATTTATCAATAATTGAGGGACCAAAAGTGTTATTCCTACCACTTTTATCGAAAGTCCTCAATGTTTAGAATTTAATAAGTGTTATTATATTAGGCTTCTTTTTTTTTTTAGTTAAGTAAGTACATAGACTAATTTGAAACTTTGATTTTGATGTGTTACCTTAATATAGTTCATCTATCGTTTGATTAGGTAGAAAATATATGCTTTAGTTGTTAATCCTATTTTATATTTATATTTATATTATTGAGAAAAATGAGAATAATATGAATGCATGCGTGATATATGATTATTTTCACTCATCTCTCCTTTTTTTTCATTTTAATTATTTTAGACATGTACTTTATTACTTGCATTTACATTACATAGTCAAAAATTAGGAAAATGTCAATAAAACATGTGTGTTTTGACACATGTTGAGAGTCATAGATGTACGCTGTGAAAATAGTGAAACATTTAAATGAGATTATTTTCATAGCAACAATATTTTGTCCTTTAGAATATATACAAACAACATATCGTCACACTTTATGTTAAATCAATTACTAATGGTCGGAATTAGAATATAATTAGTCCAAAATCAATAAACATAAACATAATGAGTTCCCTCCATAAATTTGACACTAATCTAGCCTGTTTTTCAATGCAATCCATGTTCTATGGTTAAGAAGTCTCCATTTTAGAAAATAATTTAAGTTATATGTTTTGACGCGACACTTATAATTTAACCAATTATAACAAGTTAATTATGCATTTTTTATTCTGTGTAATGTTACTATCAAGTAAAGTTCATTGAATTGAGTTATCTGCAATTATCATGTGCATGTCAGGGACAAAATTTACACCTTTAGTACATAGAATTTAAATTCGGCGAAAAATGGCATATACCAATTAAATTAGGTAAGTTTTGACACATGTTGAGATGTCGATGTAGGCTCAAGAAAATAGTGATGATTTTATGTTAAATTGATTAATTAATTTCATAGAGACAACAAGGGACCCTTGTCCTTGTGAATACAGACACCATATGTTAGGCAAAAACTTCTCATAAATTAAGTTGTTTGTAGAGAGATCGATAGTTAGTCCAAAATCAAATAGAGAACCAATTAAGAATTTTCTTTCTCAATTTTAGTCCACTAATTTGTTGTCTCTTTTATGGTTGAAGAACATAATAATGTCTTAATTTATGACATTTGGTCATTGGTATGTCCCCTAGATCTACGATATGAAGATTTCTTATACTATTAATATAATTTAGATCAAAGTTTGTTCCTATTTGAATCATGAAATATAAATTAGTTGGTCGAGCAACTGGTTTATATAAACTACTCATAATTAACACAAAATGTTACTCATAGTTATATTATATATATAAATGATCATTTTGTTCGTATATATTCTTGTACGATCGATGCATAAAACTTAAACTCTTGCTTCTGCAGTTACCGAGGCAAGGGAAGGGAGAGAAGGAAGACGATAAAATTCTCGAAGAATATCGTTCGAAAGGCGAATACTACGTTTGTTCATGTCTAAACCAAAATAATAAAACTAATGTACATCGCACCCCAGGGGGGCTATTGTACATCCGTCAATGGAACAACATGCAATACGTATCGAATGCAGCATTTCTCCTCATGGTGTATTCCGATCATCTCAGGGAAACTAATCAGATGGCTAGATGTGAACGTCGTTCGGTGGGCCCTGAAGAAATCTTCGCCTTCGCAAAATCACAGGTTAAATTTTAATTTTTACGTTACTATAATGATTTCGACTTAGTTTGATGTGATTTTATAAGCATACATGAATTCACAATTTTTTGTATACGTATGTTAGTGCTCATTGGCTGACCAATTCTAGATCATGAAAAATAACAGGTTGATTATATCCTGGGTTTGAACCCGCGAGGTGTGAGCTACTTGGTTGGCTACGGACCCAAGTATCCCCAAAGGGTGCACCATAGGGGTGCATCGGTGGACTCATTCAAAAAGCGTAAAAGCTTCATCAGTTGTACCCAAGGCTATGATAATTGGTTCGGACGTAAAAACCCGAACCCGAATACGCTAATCGGGGCACTAGTCGGTGGACCGGATAACAAGGACCGGTTTAATGATCATAGGAGAAATTTCATGCAAACAGAGGCTTGTACTTATAACACGGCACCTCTTGTTGGGTTATTTGCAAAATTGAATGGGCTAGACAGAGGAACCGACATTGAAGATTCATCATTATTTTCAGCTAAATAAATAGTTTTATGTGCCACGCAATTGTTTTATTTACTTTTGATTGATTGAAGAAAGAAATATACAACAAAAGGAAAAAAAGTATATAGACTATAGAGTATAATTCGCTCGATGTATTCATCTTTTGATGTTCCACGGTTCACTTTTATGAATAAATGAAATTTACATCTCTTCTTCATTTGCTCTGTGATTATTTTATTTTTATTAATTGATAATGAAAACATCAACATATTAATTTGAAGTTGTTATAGAAATTTATAAACTTCAAATTTGAATTTTTTTTGAGAGAGATTCACTCAATGACTTTTTTTTTTTTGATTTTTCATCTAGTGTCTGATACCCAAATTGGAGTTTGGCTAAATTTGAATCGCGTCGAGAGGTCCCAACATTGGAGATAAAACGCTTTCTAATAAAGACGATTCTGTATCCAGGGGACTCAAACCCGAAACATTTAATTAAGAATGAAGAAATATTTATCACTCTACCTCAATTCTTATTGGTCGATTGATGACTTGTTATGAGTCGATGTATTCTTCTTAATACATTGTTGGTATACAGTATGCCGACACCATATATAACCAATTTCTTTGAAGTTTATTTAAGAGGGTGAAAGGTTGTTTCATCGTAGGGACTCGTATTATTGTGCAATCGAAGGGTCAAATCAATGACTAGTTGTCAAAAATACCAAGTTCAACTCACCTCAAATAACTAAAAAAAGTTCTCAAAAGATTTTGGAGGCTTATTTATGAAGTTTTGTATAAAATCTCAATTCAATCTGAGTCTAGCTTCAGAGTTTATACACGTGCTAGTAGCCTTTTCAGTGCTAAGCGTATATTTCATATTAAAATGACGATTCAAATTTCTTGACATGTACTCCCTCCGTTCAATATTATTTGTCAGGATAAGATCATGCACAACCTTTAAGAAAAAATTAATATAAGGTGTAATTTGATTAATATAATCCTACTATTAATCATTATTAAAATGGTTTGTACTTTTTGAAAACGGTAAAAGTAACTTTTTTCACGTTAAAATAGTTTTGTAACTTTAAAAGCAACTTTTTTCACATTAAGAGCAAAATTGGAAAAAAGTGACTAATTGTTTTTTGATTGTTTAAATTGACAATTAATTTTGGACAACTATTTTTAGTATACCTGACAAACAATAGTGGATGGAGGGAGTAGTAAAATATTCTTTTAGACGAATAGAAAACATCTGAAGATCTCTCAAATCACCATAATAGTCTTTTTATCTTCTATACTAAGCGTAGTCATTCTGTATTAAACTGACGATTTAAATTTTCGACCTCTAAAATATTCTATCATAAAAATAGAAGGCATCGGAAAATCTCTCAAATCACCTCAATAGTCTTTTTATCTTCTCTACTAAGCGTTTAGTCATTTCATATTGAATTGACGATTCAAATTTTTGACCCGTAAATTATTCTATTAGAAAAATAGAAGGCATCGCCAAAAAATCTCTCAAATCACCTAGTAGTCTTTTTATCTTTTCTTCTTAGAATTTTCAAAGAAGAAGGCGCTCGACCCTCTCCTTATCTATATATTTTTCTAATTTATATTCTTGCATTGTCTCACCACTTGGCAATTTACCCAAGTAAAATAAATTTGATTATTAATCGAAATAACGATATTTAACCTTCAGAAATTGGGTCAAATCGTTACGGCCGATAGCCAGAATTATGGACATAGAGACGAAGCCCAATTTTCCCTCATATAAACCCCAAAAGCCCATTTCAGGTATATAAGCTCGAGTTTGATATCACTTTCTATGCCATATAGCAAATCAAATATATATTTAAATTTGGTTAGTCTGATAAACATGTATTTTTAAGACTGTCAATAATTCACGTTAAGTTACTACTCTCTATCATTAAAATAATAAAACTTGTGACTAACTATAACATTCCTCCAAAGCTCTTGAGAAAAGTACCAAGTTAGCAAAACTTACATGTCATGAGGTTCATCAGAACTACTACTACTATTAATTATTTAGATTAAAAAAAAAAGGTAGCACCACTAGGTTAGTTACAACTCTAATTTCAAATTAAAAAACAAACTCAGATTTTAACTACTAATTTGGTTTTGTGGGTTACTTTTAAGTAGATCATCAGAGTCATCACACTTCTTATGAGAATTTTCTTTTCCAGTAGTCTCTTGTGCTTTGTCTACTGTTTGGCTGCTAAAGCCTTGATGTTCTTTTTCCTCAGCCATTTCTTCAGCAACTCTTGTGAATTCTTCAGCTGTGGTTGGTGCTTTTTCTTCTGCATGATGATCATAATTTTCCTTGCTATATCTCTGCATTCATATATATATATTAAAATAAATTAAGGTTGTAACAATGAAGAAATTAGAAGGATACAAGATAATAATCCATAACAACAACACCAACATATATACCCAATGAAATCTCACTAAGTGAATTTGAGAGATTAGAGTGTACGCAAATCTTATGAGCGTGGAGAGATATAAAGAGGCTGTTTTCAAAAGAGCGTCCTCAAGCAGAGGAAGAAGAAAAAAAGATAATAATCTATAAATATACTCTCTCAGTGTCTAATTACTTGTCCATTTTTGAGTTGATATACCTATTACGAAAATAATGATTGACCTAGTGAGTTTACCATTTTACCCTTATTAGTTATGAAGTAGATGAATTAAAAATCTAAGATTTTCAAAAAGTTCGACATTTTTAAAAGTAATTTAATAGATAAAAAGTATTTGCCCTTCCTTAATTTGTCAAAATAAACAAATAATTAAGAAAAACTAAAAAAGAAAAAATGGACAAGTAATTAGAGACAGAGTGAGTTTTATTTTAGTTCAAATACAAAACTTGTCTTAAAAATGCATGGGATATGTACGTATTACTAATTCAAAATTCATAAGCTTCAACGTAAGTCTAGCTCCCTTACCTCCTAGTCCGTTCAAAAAGAAAAGATCAATATCTCCTTTTTTGTTTTGTTTTGGCTTTTGGTCCAACATATTTAAAATCACTAGATTAAGATTAAAAAATATTTTAGTATATTTACCATGTCTTTAATAATTTCAAACCACAAAATTCTCTCTCTGGGTTAAGTGAAACTATAATTAGAATATGATAAACAAATTGAAATCGAGAGGTATCTAACTTGAAGAAACCACTATTTACCCGTATAGCGTCAAGAAAGAAGGGCTGGCGCGGGCGTGCGAGGAGTTTGATGCGAGACACGCGCGAGATAGTGTAATAGTAGAGAAACTGATTATAGCCACCCATATTTGGATACTCCTTCTAACTTCTAACTTAGCTTAACTTCACTTCACAATTTACAATTTGTTACAATGAAGATACGTCTTTTAACACCCAATGAAATGCAACTTTTCTTTTTCCTTTTCTTCAGCCTTAGAGTTTGGCAAATTAAGGATGAATAGACAATAGGTTAGGGGGCAAGTGGCACACGAAGAGTCCATGAGCTTTGAACACATAGCACTTGTCCCAATACGTGGTGGATCATTTGCCTGCCTCGTCATGTCCTGTCCACAGGCCCGCACCATAACATATCATCGCTTCTCATTTTTCATTTTTTTTCTTAGTGGGTTAACTTATAAGCTAATAATATGTTATATTTATACTTTTATAGAGTCGTCGACATAGGGTTTAGTTTTATATTTTTAGTTCTGACTGTTTCAAACTCTCAGTTACATTCTAATAAGATGCCAACGATTATTGAGAAGAAAATAATTGTCAACTGATCATTTGTGGTTTATTTGATGTCATTTTATTTCTAAGTGATTTTTAATTAAATTTTTTTTCGTGAAATCTAAATAGCTAATCGAACCGATAATAACGAGTAATCATAAATTAATATTTTAATGATTTAATATATCTATAAATCGTTAAACTTTAAAATCGAACTAAACCAATCGACTTAGAATGTACTTAACTTATTTCTTTATTTTTTTTTAAAACTTTTTAAAAAATTATTTGACCAAGAAAATTGAAAAACTTTTTAAAAGGGAAATCGGGTCGATAGGGTTTATTAACGTGCCTTTATATCGTCACCAACGCCAAAATTTCCTTGTTCGACAACAATATTCATATTCTTCCTTAGCTTCTATAATGGATTCCAATGGCGTCGAAGCAGCTCGTATTCGCCGGGAAATCGATTCCTTAAAGTCCAACAAGAGAAACATAGAGCGACAAATTTCTGCTCTGGAAGCTCAGCTTAATCAACTTGAAGTCAATTCAAGCACAGTATGTCCTCAGCCGCTTTCCAATGGAGATTTGAGCAATTCAAATGGTTTATCTCCCGATATGATTTACAGATACAGTCGGCACTTATTGCTTCCTTCATTTGGCGTTCAAGGTTCGGTTCAGTTCAATTTGCAGTGAGGATAGTTAATTGACTTGAATAATTAACTATTTCTGTTTGATAATTGAGATTTATTGTTGGAATTAGGTCAGGCAAATCTATTGAAATCTTCAGTTTTGGTTATTGGAGCTGGAGGTTTAGGATCACCTGCTTTACTATATCTTGCTGCCTGTGGAGTTGGTAAGATATGTAATTGAATTAGCATATTTTGCTTAAGTTAGTAAATGGAGTTGTACATTGCAGTAACTAAAAGGATTTTTCGAAGATGCAATGCCGTTGAGCTACTGTTAGTTATTAGGAGTCACGTTTTTCGTATGGTATTTTGCAGGTCGAATAGGTATAGTTGATCATGATGTAGTGGAACTTAACAATCTTCAGAGGCAGGTAGTTTTTTGATCAATAGCTATGTGTTTAATGCACTGGTTTATTGAATTTGATGCGGGTTGTTTTTGTCGATTTTGAGATTGTTGCTATTTCTGTTAATAAGTTAATTGGCTATGGTGTTGACATTGTGTTCCAGATAATACACACTGAAGCATATATTGGAAAGTCAAAAGTAGAGTCAGCTGCTGCTACTTGTCGCTCGTAAGTCGCAGATAGATTAACTTCGTTTTGCGTCGAGCCTGCATTTAATGTTCTAATTTATTTGTTTGTTCATTTTAGGATCAACTCTTCCACTCAGATTGTGGAGCACAGAGAAGCATTCCGCACGTCCAATGCTTTGGAAATTGTGAGCAAGTATGGTTTAGTAACACCTATTTATATATGGCTTGCATGATTTATTTCCTATATGCATCTCTTTTGATGTTTTTTTGTTGGTTCAGTTTCCTCTTTTGCTTCCGTAGAGCGGTGATTTTGACATTTCCTTGCTTAATGATCTCTCTCAGATATGATGTGGTAGTTGATGCAACAGACAATGCTCCAAGCCGCTACATGATCAATGATTGTTGTGTTGTGCTTGGGAAGGTTAGCTGTTTCTTGTGATGTTATCTTTTTATACAAATTTTGCTGGTACTGTGATATTTACTGAAAGCTGGATACGGAAATGATATAAACTATACAATTGCCTTCTTATGCAATAACGTTTCCTTTTGATCTTTCATGTTTAAGCTAACAGGAGGCTTTTTCATATAGCTATTACCCTCACTTTTAAATTGCCATGCTAATGTTCTGGTATGATCATGTAACTGTGGTAGTAAATATTATTGCCTGGACATACCGACACTGATCTCATAGTGCTAGTATGAAATTGGATGATGAGTTTTATTTGGATGTTGATCCATTTTCTGATAACTGGCTTACTTGTATTAACAGCCTCTTGTATCTGGAGCTGCTCTAGGACTAGAAGGGCAGGTACCATTTCCTAACAGCATTCATCAATCCCAGAGCTTTTGTGTTTCCCTAAAACTTCAAATTGATTGGTAACTAACTCTATACTCCGAATGGTTTGTATAGCTGACAGTTTACAATTACAATGGAGGTCCATGCTATCGATGCCTATTTCCAACTCCTCCACCCACAAATGCTTGTCAGAGATGTGCTGATAGTGGAGTACTTGGAGTTGGTACGTTGTTCTTCTCTCAAAATAACCATCTAATCTCCTGTCCTTTTTCAAGAAGTGTCTGGATTCCTTAGATTATCTCATATAATATCTCTTATGTGTGAAATTTCCTTAGTTTTCCGAAACAAAGTTCTCACTATGGTTTGCGTATTTGTTAATCTACTTATCTTGTTTATAACAATGGTAGAGACTTGGAGAGGAAAGAATTGATGCCACGTCAAACCTGGAATTTTTTGGAAATGCAACTGTTTTCTGTGTATTATTTGTAAGGTTCAATTGTGAAACATATGGTGTTGCCAGCGTGATATTACTTTAGATCCTTCTCTCAGTATTCATTTTTCCCTTCACTTCAGTTCCAGGTGTTATTGGATGTCTTCAAGCCTTAGAGGCCATAAAGGTTGCTAGCTTGGTTGGAGAACCACTCTCCGGAAGAATGCTTCTTTTGGATGCCCTGTCAGGCCGGTTCCGTAATGTGTGTTAGATATTCTAATTCCTCATACTTCCAGTCAATTTGTTCTTTATTCTATCTGAGCAGATGATATATTGCAGTCTTTTTTCTTTTTTTTTGCATTCTGACATAAGCAGTGAGCAAATAACGAAATTAGGTAAAACTAAGGCGAGGCATAATAATAATTTTTTTGATAAATCCTTTTGGAATAGACAATAAACTTTTAAATAGATAGTAAGTAGGATGTGAAAAACAGGGAGAAAATTATCTGGAATCGCTATTAAAAAAAATAAAAAGATTTTTCGAAGTAGCTAGCCCACAAATACTTCCAATAAATGTGTTTTTACACTTAAGGATCACTGTATCATATATCTATTCTATACATGCCTTGTACTTTGTAACTAATTAGGACTTCCACAATCTCTTGCACATTATATCAATTTATTTGGAATATCTTCTTTCAATATTTATTTATTTTCCCATGTTGCTCTACCTATCTTATTTTTCTTTTGGCATTGTCAACATCTCAAATCATCATCACTCTCACAAATTTAGGTCAAACTACGTGGAAGGTCATTGCAGTGCGAAGCTTGTGGAGATGATGCAGTACTGACAAGACAGACATTTTCGGAGTTTGATTATGAAAAGTTTACTCAAACTCCACTATCCACGGTGCATTTCTTTTTCACAACTTTTCAATTGTATTTGATTGATTCACCCTTTGATACTGTATGCAAATGAGGACATAGCTAAGAATTCATCATCCGATAATTGATGATGGTTTCAGGGTCCATTGAAGTTGAACCTTCTTTCACTGGATGATCGAATCAGCAGCAAAGAATACAACGAGCAAGTGGGGAGAGGAGAAGCACATGTTTTAGTGGATGTTCGACCAAGTCATCACTATAAGATTGTTTCACTTCCCAACTCTATGAACATACCTCTATCGACGTTGGAAGGTAGATTGCCTGAAATATCTGCTGCTTTGGAAAAAGAGGCAAATAAAGAGAATGGTTCAAATGCTTCTCTGTTTGTAATATGCAGAAGAGGCAATGATTCACAAGTTGCTGTTGAATTGCTTCACAAATTGGGTTTCACTTCAGCAAAGGATATAATTGGGGGCTTAGAGTCATGGACTCACAACGTGGATCCAAAGTTCCCTACCTACTAACTATATTATATACCTACAAAATTGTCATTTATTCCTCAATTTTTTTTTGCCTTTAATCAAAAACTTAATTTATGTTTCCGATTGAACTCTTATTATAGATTTTATCAAGTGTTAAACTCAATGAGGTTGTCCTACTATTAACATGGGTGTTCATCTCCTTAGTTGATGGGTGTATAATATATATATGATCTATGTATACCATCTAGAAAAAGTAGACAATAGCTATTTGCAAAGGTCCCTATATTTTTTATTTAGTTACGCGTCATTAATTCCTTTTTAAGTGACTTTATGTGATACTTGAGTAAGGTTGAGTCACTTTATCATTACAAAAAAATAGTTTAACGACTTCGATACAATAAAGTAAAAGTTAAGTGATCATCTATGAAATTATCCCAGAACTCATGTACTGCAGAGGAAGGTTTAACAAGAGTATGTCCAACTATACATGACCTTCACCATAATGACAATCCAGCAATCCCATGATTGCAATTAGTCAATTTCTGTCAAAAGCTTTTTAACACAAATTGGGGTGTCTGGGATTAGCTTGCACACATCCGTAACTACAATATATAGATAGATATATATAGACATGCGCACACACAGACATTTAAAACCAGCAAATACATATAATCTCTGGCATGAATCTTTTCAACACCAACAGCTATGTAATGACAGTTGATAATGCAAATTTATAGAGTCTACAAGGAAGTAACTGATCAGACCTTCGATGATTAGACCAATTAGAAACCGGAGTTATCGATCCCAGAGGTTTTAGGGTACCCATCATACTCCGGTTTAATATTCATCGTTGCACAAATAGCTCTAAATTTCAGTCTCAAGGAGTCAATAATATCGGTAGCAGACTCGTTCTCTGGGTCAGAGAAGGGGTATTTATTGAGCAATTCATCCATCTGTTTGATGCTTTTCTGCACTCGGGATGAGAAACAAGTTGGATCTACTAAGATAGCAGCATTCCATACATCAATACAACCTTTGTAAAAACCCAATTCTTCGCCTACTTCAAACCCCTTTTTGAGTCCTACCTGTTTGCCTTCATCTTTACCAGAATTTAGGCCATCCGTATAGCCTACCGAGTAGCCTTCTTTGTAATGAATGTCCTCTAGATTCAATGATGAGTCAAAAATGTCCTCACTTGAATTAACGGTTTGACAACTCATCGATGCTTAACCAAGATTGTTTGGAGAAGAAAACCTGAAACGGTGAGATGTTAGTTGTTAACTACTACTTGACAGAAGGTAATGGAATCAAAACTTGGCAAGACTCAACACAAAACCCTTCCAATTATAACACAACCTAATAATCCAATCCAATATATTTTGGTTGAATGGCCAAATTTTTCTAGCAAGATATACCGTTTGGATTGAAAAAAAAAAAAGCACTACTTTCCGAGCAAATAAAAAAGGATGAATAGTAACAGCAGAGAGATGTTGAAGGCTGACTTAGCAAATACCACTAAATCACTATATACATTAGAATAATATCAGAAGCAGAAAACCAAGTAAGCAAATCAATAACACCTCAATATTTAACCAAAGAAGTAGTTTTGGCAACGTTCAATGGAAAAAAATGAATCAAATGTCCACACAAGAGACAAAAGATACTTTCTCAACAAGCTCTATATGTGAATACAATTCAACGTCATTCTGAAGCAGCCTATATGCAACGCACTGACTGGACCGTTGACTTCTTTCCAAGCTCTCTAAATCATACTACTCCATATGAAATAGACCACGGAAATAAGAGAAAATGGAGTTATGGCAGTCAAAGATACATGACAATGGCTGTTTCCTTGGTGGTATACAAATTCGATACAAGGATACAGAACACTTTGGAAGTTTGGATTAAAACACAAAATCGACAATGCATATAGCAATTTTTTTTTTTGTAAATCATCATTCAAAACTTAATGAAAGCATGAAGCTTCATTCAAAACAAATCGCTACCTTCTCAACTTTTGACTACTGGTGTTTGTTAGAATAGCAGACTACTACAATAGAACAGATCAAGAAGTCGTGACAATCATATTGTGAACTTTATTTATGGTCTTAATTAGAAGTTAAAGTCATTAAAAAATCAGTTTAATTAAGTCCTTAAGATATAAAAAGTTTAGACCTTTAAAAGGAATTGAGCTGAAAACCAAAGTTTTCTCACATTATAATTCTTCATTTATAAGAGAGCTTGAAACAATGTGAGAAAACTTCGGTTTTCAACTCAATTCCCCTCTCTCAAAGACTAGCTTGTATTCATTTAAAATTCTCACTTCACGTACTAACTTTTGAGGTAGAGTTAAGCCCAAGTTCCATTTTTCAAAGCATGCATTACAAATATGTGAAAAAAGAATTTGCGTAGTAGAAAATGTCAAGACATCAGAACTAGCTTTTGGAGACAGATTATAGGGGTGTTGCCCCGTTATGTGATGATTCCTGCCACATTAACACCTTGTTTGGATGGTTGTTACACATTGTATTGTATTGTTAGTTTAAATACAATATTTGTTTTGATTGTTACTCAAAATTCTATTGATGTAATCGCGTCGTTACCTTAATAACTTTTTTCTCATTTTGTGTTTATTTATTATTCAATAATTCAATTTATCATTTACTTTTCATAGTAGTTGTACACCATACCCTACTTCAACTTCAAATTATGGATGTGTGACATTATGTAACACAAAACAATACAATCTATCTAAACATTATATTCATCGTACAATACATAACAATCATTCAAACAAAGTGCAAGTATATAATTCTAGCAAAAGGAAGCAGTGCTCTGTGGACACAAATTCATAAGAAATTTGCAAAACCAAAAGATGGAACTTTATTGCCCGGTTACATGATCACTAAACACAAAGAAATTGTCTATGATGGAAATTTTTTGGTATTTCGGTTTTTTCAGTTCTTGCATTTGGTGTACCGAATATCGAACCGAATTATTTCGGCTCTGTTCGATTTTTGTTAATTCGATTCGGTTTTTGTTAGTTCGGATTTTGATCAGCCATTTATATAAAAAAAATTAATTTCACAATTCACACAAATCAGAAAGAAAAAAAAAACGGAAGATAAAATAGAAATCAAATCAAATACCATACCTGGACTGGTCGCTGCCGCTGGTTGGCTGCTGCTGGTCGCGGCGGTCGGCGGGAAGTGAGAAGTGCTGCGGTGCACTGCTGATCGCTGAAAAGTGGACAGTGGTGACCTAATTTTAAATTTTGTTTGCCTATAATATTTATTATTTCATATTAATAATTAATACTCCTATGATATCAATATATATTTTAATATAATATATTTCGATTAAATCAAAATATCGAAAATCGAATCAAAATATCAAAAATGCAAAAATATATATCAAAAATTGAATTGAAAATTAAAAATCAAAATTAAAATAAATTAAAAATTAGATTTAATTCGATATTTCGATTTTTCAATATTTATGTCAAGCCTACACAATATAAATTTACTACTCCTATATTTACATATCTTTGCTTAAGATAATTACTTATAACCTAAACAAAAGAACAAAAAAAAAAAAAGCAAGAAAAAAGAGACTAACCAAAAAAAAAAAAGAGAGGGAATATTGCCTTATCAATAGTTGTCCAATTAAATTTGAAATATTCTCTTTTTCACCTTTTAATTGACTTGTGTTTCTTTTTTGCCTTTCTAGCATGTTCTCTTGTCTCCTCATACTCAAAATCTAAAACCTCTATGGGTAATTTCAAAAGTGGAGTATTAAGAGAGTTATAAGTAGATTTTATTTTTATCTTGATAGGTAGAGAGATTATTTTCGATAAATCTTGATCGACTCAAGAAAAAAACTTATTAAAGCATATAGTATATGTAGATTTTATTTCTATCTTGGTAGGTAAAAAGACTATTTCCGATAAATCTTAATTGACTCAAGAAAAAACATATTAAAGCATATAGTGTACATAGATTTTGTTTCTATCTTGATAGGTAGAGAAATTGTTTTAGATAAACCTCGATCGACTCAAGAAAAAAATCATACTAAAGCATATAAAAGTATGCCCAAATATGAATTTTTCAACTTAATTTTAAATACTAGTACTATTTTTCAAACACCTACTTGGTAGAGCTATGGATATGATAAAGACAAAACCTAGACTACCTTTTTTTCACTCTTTATTTTATGTTGTTATAAATATGAAGTTGGCCAGGCCCCTACATTGTCCCTTGTATGTCAACCTCTATATAATATCAAATCAAAGCCATCTCCAATATCCTTCCAACTCCATCACCAAAAGAGCCAATATTCAGGGTGTTCACGTGTTTGAATCTCACTAGCAACAATTTTCTTCATCAAAAAACACTTTTCATTCCTCAAAACTACCAATAAACTTTTCCATTCTACATGGACAAGATTATGAAATACCAAATTTTAAAGCTTTTACTTATAGCTATACTTGTACTCATGACTCCTCTAATATCTTCATCTCAAAGAACTCCTTATCTTTATTTCATAGTTAATCTTCTCATTATCTCATTAGGAGTTGATGCTGGCCTAATTACCTTTTTCTCCAAATCTCAAAATGATGACAAAAATAGTCCTCCTTCTCTTTCTCCTCATACTACTAGTATTATTAAGCAACAAAAAATTGTCCCTAAATTGGTTGAAAAATGTGTTTCTGAGAAAATTGTTGGGGTCACAAAATTAGTTGTGAAGGATGAAGTGAAATTACAAAAATGTCCTTCCACACCAAGTTTGTTTTTTATTGGGAGTAGTGAGGATAGAAGTGAAGTAAAAGAGGAGGAGGAAGAGGAGATTAGTGGGGAGGAGTTGTTTAATAAAGCTGAGATATTTATTGGTAATTTCTACAATCAATTGAAAATGCAAAGAGAAGCATCATTTGAATCATTGAAAAGAGTGAGCTTTGCTTCTGATCTTAAGATTTGTGTTTAATTTAAGGGAGAATTGATTCAGGTTAGGATGTTAGTGGAGTTTGAGCCTGATAAGATGTTCACAATCTCGTCAATAGGTTCGAGCTTGGTAGGATGTATGTAGTTTCACTAGTGGGGTCTAAGCGTGATAAAATAGGATGTACGAAGACCTTATTTCTATTTTTCTGAGGTAAAATGATTGTATTCGATTTCGAAGAAGCATAGCAAGATTTAACTTAGAGGAGTATTCTAGCAATATTGTATTCTACATTTATATAAGTTTTGGATTTAGAATTTAAGAATTAGTTTGTAATTAATGTTGTTTTTTAATTGTATATCGTAATTTGGGGGAGTACCTAGCATATTATACATGTATGTTTGCACATTTTATGAGTTAAACCTGCTTTTTTTGTCTAACTATTTGGTGATCAAGTTTTTTGACCCGATTAATTCAAATACTTGTTGTGTAGGATTAGTTAAGAGGAAAGTGTTCTTTAATCGGAACTTCTTTCATATCAAGAATTTGAATTTGAAATCTTTAATTAAAGATTGAAAAATCCTATTCATTTCAAATCAAACTTTTACTTCGTAAACTCTGGTTCCTCCGAAGCAAGGTACAATACATGCTATGGGTCAGTTGAGTTATATAACTGTTCTCAAAATTGTATTGACATTTTTGAAAGGTAAACTTATTCTTTATACCCTTTAATACTTTATTCGATATTCTACTATCCTAAAAGGAAATTATCCTCAACTTTATTCTAAAAAATGTAATTTTCAGAATATTATCCTTAGTAAAAGAAAAAAGAAGAAGCAATTTCTTTGAGATAAAGAAATCTCAATAGAGGGTCGAGTGCTAGCTCAATTAGTGAGCTATATGCATTCTATCGTTAAGGAGGTTTAAATATTTTCCTTGTATCGAACATGGTCAAAGCCAAAATATATAATGAATAAAAGGAAAATCGGTACTGGGATAGCAAGAAGATGCGTATTGGCTAATAATATATCTATTATTTTTTTTCGGTCCGTCCCATAACAAGCTTCCTATTGGCTTCTCAAACTTTAGCAGCAACTTGTGTTTGTGTTTTATTCTGCCATGATAGCAACATAACATCGTCAGCTTTGCTAAGGATCTATTTGTACTTATTAATATTGGAATTTAGTACTTTGGACTTATATTTATATATATTAGTAAGTGATTTCTTGACACAATATAACATTTGAGCGAAACGTTGACAAAATTCTGACTCCGCCCCTGATCACAATCACATGTTTCCCAATAGAATTATGCAAAAAACTAAATTATATTACTAGGTTAATTATAAAATAACTCTATATAATCGTTCATAAAAGTGTAGCAAATAACCTAAAAAATAAAATGTTACAATCGGGTAAAATATACTTGGGAGTGTAAACAAGTGGCGGATCTAAATCATAAGCTATCGATTCATAGTAACCAATAGGCTTTTGTCACGTGACTTGTATATATATAGTAAAGAATTCACTAAATATTTATAAATATTGATTATGAACCTAATTGTTACTATATTATTTTGAAATAGTTATGAAAAACATAAACTTTAAAATTTAAACTCGCCTCTATAATAAAATATTCTTGATGTTATCCATTTGTAGTAGTTAGTTCCTTCACAAATATTCTTTTTGTTGTGGTAAGTAAAAAGTTGAAGACTTGAAGCTCTTTTCCTTCCTGCCATATTTATGTGTGGTTACCATACAAAAGAGTGATAATATTGTTTTCTCTTAAAAAAACTTCAAATTCTTTTTGTACGTTTTGGTCTATGAAGAAATGTTTTTTTAAAAAGTTTTCCTCCCGATGTCTAGTATTTATCCATATTGAAGCTGATAAATTTGAATTCGTGCATTGTTTGACTCATTTCAAAGGACGATGCTTCCAACAAAAATTTTTTTCCATTTCCACTCGAATTCAAGATCTCTGATTAAGAATAGAGTAATCTCAATCATTCCATCACAACACATCTTGCTATTCAGTGCTTACTCAGCTTGATCATCTCCTTATCTCTATTCTTTTATATGCCCTTTTTCATATATGTCTGTTGTTTGTTCGACTCTTATCAATACTAAAAGCCAGTCAACCACTCTTTACACCCTTTTCTAGAAGAGTTTAAACTGTATGCCCTAACAATATAAAAGATATTTAAAAAGCAAATTCAAGATTTGAAATTTATAAATTCTAGCAATTCTGATTTCTACCAAACATGTAGAATAAATTGTGTATCATTACTGCTTGTAAGGTAATTACTTACAGTTTTTTTATGATAAGCATTGCATGGCAACTTGAAAGAAAATGGTAGCAACAAATATTGTATCACAAGTTTTTTTTTTTTTTAATCATACCACAAGTTTATATACGATGATAGTTTAAATTTTTATATGGACTGCAAATTCAACTCCAATAATAAAAGTAGAGATTAGATAGAATTATGGTACCTCAAAGCAAACAATGAAAGTATTTACTCTTCATATTCTAAATATATGACAATAGATGAAGATGTAGCATGCAAAATTAAATAAAACTGTCTGAGATCCCAGCAATAGTTTACAAGAGCTGACTGTTAGAGGCCAAACACATCTACAAGATAAATGTGGGAGTATACAAGATTGGACATAATTAGAAATGGTTACAATATAGAATAACATAAGAGAATGTTGCATGAGAATGGTTTGGTTCCGATGTAAAACTCAGGATGTATGCCCTTCTCTTAGAGATGTTTGTATATCTTGAACCGATAACTTGATACCCACAGGCCACAATGTTTACAAAACATGACTCAACATCTGATACCAAATTGAAGTTCTCATCAATTTGAATGCTCTTATATACACTGGCAACTTTAAAGGTATCAGAGCCTGCACCCCGTTGGTGTGTTTGTGTATCCTTAAAGTAAGTGATGGTTTTACTCGAGGCCTGTGAAATCTTAATCTGGCAGATGCTTATGACCCCCATGACAAGCCAAAAAAATTTCGTCCATGCCCTCATTGCACAGGAGAAGCGACTATCCGGATGCTGAAGGCAAAAGTTCATGATAATTGACTAGCCAACAGTCTGCTCAAGAATCACAGAAACTCACCTCGGAAAGGTGTCAATATTGATCAGTGTAAGGGCAATGTAGAACCTATTAAAGATTAGAAAACAGCCTGAATAAGCTATAAAAGTTTCATAGATAAGCACGAAGGTGCTTCAATACATGTTTTGTATCCGAGTCAAACTGATACATAGTGTAAACGTACCTTTCCTTTTGTGTCATCATATGAGGCACTTTGATTACTAGAGTGATCATGCTCTTAGAATTCGGGTCAACTTGTAGACCTGCAGGAGTTGAACCAATTAATCAAGCCTTCGTCGGTCATGGGCTGATGATAGATGAATTAAAAAAAAATCAAACCTGAGCACTTCTACTTGGCAGAGGCACTTCCAAGCAAAATCTCATTCCATCAGCTCTGAAATGGAAACGTTAAGACATGCATTATATAGAAGTTTAATATGGATATCATGTAAAAAAAACATTGGAATTCATCTTCCTAGAAGAAGTAGAGAACATAAGTAAGTGACTAATTATGAGTCGTGTAAAAACAAGTGAAAAAGGAAAGCAATTGATTGGTTACCTTCTACTAATGGTTCTTTGAATATTTTGATCTTGGCCAAGTAGTCCTCTACCACCATACTTGTTTTCATCTGTATTTAATGTGACCTATAAAAGTTGACCGAACAATAGGGTAAGAAATAGCCAGTGAAGTTACAAAATCCATAGATCAAGTAATTAAATGATATGTCGACTGTGTTCCTCGATAGATGTACTATTCTCTGGAATTTCAAGTTATAGCTAGAGAAGTAAGAAAATACATAGGTCGAGTAATCAATGATATGTCAACTGTGTTCCTCATAAATGATATAGCATCTTAGGACCACAAGTTTCAAATGTTATGGCATGATGGCATGTTTTAAGACTACTAGTTCCAAAAGTCATACTCCTTTTTTTCTTAAAATCTGTACCTAGTTAAATAGGTTTCACATAAATTGAAACGGATGGAGTAACTTCTTCATGTTCATGCGGGACTGAGAGAGAGATCGAATTAGGAAAAGAATGATCCTCTACTCACACAAGCTAGTGGTTATTCTATTAATTTACTACGGAGGCAGGCATAGAAGTAGGGATAGAAACAATAGCTACATAAATCTTTTCAACTTACATACCCATTCCAAGTTGATGATCCTTTTTTCACACTTCACCGTTATGTGGGAGTGAGAGATGAATATAGGAGAACTTTAGACAGGCATTCAGCAAGAAAAGGATAAAGTGACACTTACTTGATACTCTCCAGCTTCTTCCACACCTATAATGTATCTTTCATATGAATTGACAGGATGAAAGTTGAACACAAAGAGATTGGGACCTCTCAAGTAAGAAATCACCTGTTCCAAAAATAATTTCACTCTTTATATCCAAGAAATAGATGTTTGCCATAGAAACTACCTATATTGATAAATTCCAGCACACAAGCAACTGTTATGATGTTCTTCTCCACCCCCCCACCCCCCCAGGGTCACAGACCACTAAAATATGAAATACTCTCCATAGTTAGGGAACCCCAATACAGGGCAACTCGAGCATCACCTTCTAATTATCATCAATCAGGCACACTAGAAAAATGAGATACAGAAAAAAATTGAAATGGAAAAATATCAAATAAATGAGAGACAATGTTTGTACCATGGTAGTATCATTGACATGGTGAATGTTGGCAAGACCTCTGGACAAAATTCTCCCATTTTTATCCAAGTCCATCATATCCTGAAAATGGAAGGAGTCATAACTCTCTTCTTTCTTTTTCCCTTTGGTTGCAGAACAACTATTCCAATTTACAGCAGAGCCAGAAAGAAAGAAAGAGATGCATAACATATGCCTATAACTGGATCAAACACAAGCTATCTCATCAACCAACTAAAAAGAAAAAAATAATGGTTATGGAGAGGTGATAAATACCATTCAAATATGACATAAAACAATAAAGACAGGAGTAGCACATGAACCTCATTTACTAATGCATAGCTATGTGAGCTACCTTTATTGACCATACAGTATATCGTTTCCACATAATATCAGAAAAGGTTGCTATGGCATGTGGAAGCCCTAACTATATATACCCCTTGATGAGAAATAAGGGAACAAAGCAATATGTGGTTTCCAACAAAATATCTACTAAAGAGTACACTATTTTTTCAGCACAGAATATCAAAAAAGGGTTGCTGTGATGTGTGGAAGCCCGATCTTTACTCCTTGACGGAAAAAAAGGAGGAAAAGCAACATCTAATATCAAGCAGAATATATACAAAAAAGTACACTCAAAGGGCAGATCACTTTAGTGACAGTCATTTACTAATGCGCAACAACTATGCCTACCTTGCATTGCTCGTATGGTGTATTTTCTCCACACAGTATCAGAAAGACATTATCAGGATTAATAGAAACCCAACAATGATGTATGAAAATGGAACAAATTTACTCCTTGGGGGGGGGGGGGGGGGGGACAAAGCAACAAGTAATATACAACAGAATATCTACTAAACAGTACATCTCAAATGCAATATATTCAGCAACAGTCGTATAAGGAGATTCTACACAAACACACACACACATGTGTGTATATATATATATATAAGTATATTTAGAGAGAGGCAGCAGAGCGCATTTTGCATAATTAGAAGTTCGATGGTCACCTTATCAAATGAGAACAATTGATAATGTACAACATCTTCCAATAGATCCCAGCAACGGTTAGCCAGTGAAAAGGAGAAATTGTTGCTTGACATTGGAAACTCTACTCTCTGTTGCAGGAATCAGGTCATTTGGTACTAAATCTACTGTAGTATAGTTGTAAACGTCCACAAATCATATATGCAGATAATAACTACTCACCTTTGGGTGACCAAATTCATTGCCCATGAAGTTGAGGTATGCATGACCACCAATTGTAGATGTAATTAATCTGATCATCTATTTAATACAAGAATATTCCAACCATAATTAGACAAGCCCAAATGCATGGGAATATCACAGAACAAGCAGGCAAGTAATCTAAAATTGTGCTGAAAAGAGGGAAATAGATTCCCTTGGGTAAGGAGTTTATCTGAAGGACTAATCTATTAACCAGAAAATCAATGAAATCAGATTCATCAAGCTGAACTATTTCCCAGAAGAAGAAAATATTAAAAGGCTAGTTCCTTCTTGAAGCACATACAAGTTTCACCTGAATGCCCCTACTTATTGACTGCAACATCAAGAACGACGACAACTGTACAGAGGTTAATTTGACCTCAAATAAGAGGTAAGCATGAAAAAAGAGGCAGTCTAGTGCACAAAGCATCCCGCTTACCAAAATAGAGGGAGACTATATTTAAGAGACAAGTGAAGGGTGGCTGTTCATAAGAGTCAGACCTGATCAACCAAGAAATGTCAAGCAGTTTCCCTAGTGTAACAAGCAGCCTCTAGGTAGTACCAGATATTCACCTTCTACATGAAGTGTAAACCACAAGTAAAGAAATTACCTTGTGTAACGAGCAGCCTCTAAGTAATGACTCTTGTGATATGGAAGATTTCCCCAAGGAGTTACCAATCAGTATTTCTGCGAAGGAACGACTTCCAGAAATGGACTAAAAGAGAAGGGAGAATTACAACCAGTCAAATAATGTAGATTGTCAAATCAGACCTTTACAATATGAAAGAAAAGTAAAGGAAAGGGGAGAAAACTCATAAATACATGACAATAAAAAAAAGTGTAGCTACCTGGTTGTGATTTTCTGCATACAAAAGCATTTTATCAGTATTTTGTCTGTCGCCCACTAATGTGCTAACAATCTGAAATAAGTCAACCATATTAAATTCCACCAACTACCATAGCATTAGATGTTCAAAAGGAGAAAAATCCTGTAAGCCAATGATGCAAGGTTCAACCTTACTCATGCACCATTCATGATCAGGAGTATTTTCAAGTAATGCAAGCCACATCTCTGAGGCAGAAAGATTGGCAAAATAATCAAAGCCCAGTCCACCTTGAGATGTTGGATCGCAGAGTCCAGGATACAGAGTTGCCTATGTAACAGAAAGAAATCTTTATGAAAGGACAGTTGGGGGTCTGCAGAAATTAGAAATGTAGAGTTTGTAATGCAGGGTTAGTGATATACAGAATGTAATTCAAGGATTAATAATGAAAAGATTGTAATTTAACGATTACATGCTATTGGATATTTGATTGTTGTATTAAAATTTATTACACAATGTATTTTTGAAAATATGTTTTTATTTTTTAAAAATAAAATATTAGTTACTACATGAAGGGTTATTCTTTTCATTTATTGTTCTAATCCATGTATTACTAACCACTGCATTCTTATTCCACATTCTATCCCACATAAATATAAAATAATACATAGATTCCCACATAACTTATGTGAGTATTAGTTATGTAGAAAGGAAAATTTGAAACCAAACACGTAACAGATTATGCTAAGTTTTACGTGGAACAGAAAAATCAAACCAAACATTGTATTAAACAATGTTGAATTTTATGTGGAGATTATTTCTCCATTACTCCAACCAAATGTCACCCCTTGTCTCAAGCTACAAGTTGCATGTGAAAAGCAAGGAAATCTGGCATATCTAGTAATACAAGACTAAGAAATAAGCTTGCACAAGAAGAACACTCAACATTGAATTATCTTTACTTATCAAGAAACATTTAGTGAAATCCTCTTTTCAAGAGATATCTTGAAGTATCATAAGGTATACTCAGCAGAACTAAGTTAAATAACAAAGGATTTCTACTCGAAAGCATCAAAGGAAAGCGATGAACAATTCAGAAGAATTGAAATAGTTCACTTACATCCTCCGCAATCGTGATCACATTAGGATGAAGAGCATGTAATACTTCATTTGCTAAAATGAGGTACAATAAGGCCTCCTTGTCAACATATTGGTTACAGTATCTGCAACAACAAAAGTTTTAGATTGTCGAAGAAAAACCAACCAACAGAAAGATAGATGCTCATAATTTTCCAATGTTTAACATACATTCTAGTCACATAGTTTTCAAAATTGAGGTCCTTCTAGCTTTGTTTTCTAATCCACATTACAATCTCTAGCACTTCCTAATCAAGATAGATACCAAAATCCAGTTAAAAGACTGCAAATATATGAATCTTAAATATATGTCATTGGTGAACAATGTGTAAACATTTTTTAATAAGTAAACAGCGCATGAACAATTAACTTGACACAATTGAACTTTTGATGCTTACTCATCCATGTCACCAGTAAATGAAGCAAATCCATTATGCGTATACAACATGGACGAGAGCGAATGAAAATGGAAGCCATCGACATGATACTCCTCCACCCACCTGAAAAATACCATTGTATAAGCAACATGTCAAGAAAATAGTTTCTTGCACAATCATGTCTGTTAGGTGAGAGCATTTCGTTTCAAAAAGAAGTTTGTTTCTTATAACAGAAATCGCTCACGCTCATGCATCAACCATGTGAACGTGGATCTATGAGACTTGACAAAGAAGAAAACATACATACTGCCAACTGCCAATTGACTAGGTAATGGCCCTCTCAAGCTCTCATACCCTGATATCTTTTCTCTAAACCAGCAACAAAGGGCTGGCATTAGTGAAGTTTGGAGCAATCAGGTATGGAATTTAAGTTATAGGAGAGCCTTGAATGACTGGAATTTGGACAGATTTGCTGAGTTCCTAAACACCATCAATCAGTTCATTGGAACTTCTCAAGCTCAAGACAGGTTGGGGTGGATAACACAGGCACTTTTTCAGTCAAAACAGCTTATCACAGTTTGAAGCTTGATAACTAGCTGACCTAGTTATGGCCTTGGAAGCACATCTGGAGAACTGAGATCACATACAAGGTGGCTTGTTTTGTTTGGTTGATAGTCGAGAGAGCTTGTTTGACACGGGACAGGCTACAGAAGGGGAATACAACTTTGCTTTCTTTGCCACTTATGTGGAAAGTATACACAACTTTGGGACGTCTTCCTTGCTATGATTGGTTTGAGCTGGCCAGTGTCAATGTCTTCGCTTGACATGCTTTCCAGCTGGAACGGAAGGGGAAGCACAAAAGCTAAAAAAGAAGATGGAATATGATCCCAGGCTGCATATGGTGGACAATCCGGAGGGAAAGAAATCTTAGATGTTTTGAAGGAAAGAGAAACTCAATCCAGAAGATAAAGCTTAGTTGTATTTTGCTTTTTCATTTTTGGTATAAATAAGTGTACATAGGTGACACTGAGGCCCTAATGCAACTTTTAGAGCCTCTGTAGTGCAATATAATCTTTGCCTAGCTTGGTTTTTGTTCACACTCTGTAATTATGGCTTCACAGTCTCTTTTAATTTTAATACAAGTTGTTGCCATCTCAAGAAAGAAACATCAACAAGGCGATGACACTCTAACAGACTTACTGTTGACAAACAGGCTCACCTCCACTAGGTTGGTAGATGAATTCTCAGCTTACAAATTTTCTTCACAAGGTGCCAAATCTCTAATCTCTGCTTACTTAAAGCAAATTTTTCTTTCTTCTTTTTCCTTTCTACTGGGGGGCTGGGGGCAATGGAAATTCTTTGAGAGGAGTGGTTCCTGTTCTAGCTTCATGTGACATGAATGAGGATCATTGAATTCGGACCATGTGAGAGGGATGGAGAGGACAATTGTCTACAATTTCACTTTGATAAATAAAAATGGACTTCATCTGGGAAAGAGGCAAGAGGACGCATGCCTGTGAGCAGAAGCAATTTAGAATTTTACCAAGAGTGAATCTACTCTGATACATTGTGAAATTGAGGAAGAGGACTTATTTTGTATTTCCCACTTGATACAAATGAACTACAACATAAACCTATATATAGGTGTAAAGTACAATAAAATATAGCATGAACTTAATAATCAAAGGATGGTGGTGCATTTATTGCACGGCCAGCAACATTTATCAGGTGCCAAACCTTCGACTTCTAACAAAACTTAAAACTAGCAATGAAACTGAGAGAATAGCATGCATAGGATGGAAACCATATAACAATAAACTCACCAGTTCAGATTTGAAAGAAGAAAGTGCAGAACATCAAGATCTCCATATTTGAACATCCGTGTGCCCCAGAATTTGTGGTGTCCACGTTTACCTAGTTATGCAGTAAATACAGAACTCAGGATCCAAAAGGAAATCATATGATATAGAAGTACTGAAAACATTTAATCAGATATAGTTCTTTTACCAAATTACTGAAGAGAACTCCAACTAATTAGAACTTCCATCAACATAGGAATGCAACAAAAATAGTATATTAGATTTACTAGTAGAATAAACAGTGAATATGGTGTCTCACTTGCTTCAAGTTAGAATTCTCTCCAACCCTGACAATCCTCTTGTTATGTTCTGTCCTGACCAAGCTTGATATGAAGTTTATATTTTTATGGCCATGTACAATAGAAGTGCTTGTTGTTTGCATTAAATTTAAAGAGTATTTTGCATAAATATATAAAGCGGTAAATGAGGAAAACAAATTAGAAAAGGAACAAGGTTAACCTTTCATGGAAGATTCCACTACCTCTCATTTGTGCTTATATATTTTGTATATGACAATAATTTACTTTATTATTAAGGCAAACTGACACACACACACATAAGCACGTCTATATACATTCATGTGAGTGTATATGCACTCCCACAGCTCTGTTTATGAATAGTGGAGATATAACTCTAGTTTGGAGAAAACCAAAAGTAGCCAGGCTATAGTCACCTATGCACTGAGTGTTGTCTCATCCTTCCTAGAGACACAGATTGAGGTTATTGATGTTCTATTTCCACACAGTAAATATGAGAATCAAGTTTGGGTGAATGAAAGCAAGAAAATACAAATTCTCAAAAACTATTGCCAATCGCAAAAGAGTGCAAGATGAAATAAACACACATTAGCTACTAGGCATACTAGGGCAAACGAATAGCGACCACTACTTTAAACTGCACCATGAAGAGCATGTGTCACATAAATACACATTTGGTTTAAGCATACCAATATTGCAAATGCCTGTGTCACGCGTCACACATGGCCAGTGGTTTAGCACGTGGTCACACGTGTATACAAGCCACAAACAACTATTTTCCAATTTATCTTTCCAATTTTTGATGATCTTATGGGGAAAATGATGGGAGTGATTTAGGGCTTTTCAGCATATCTATTTTCAAATCCATTACAGGCTCTTCAATAAAAGAGAGTATGAGTGCTGCATTGGGTTTAACCATTTAAGGAAAGAAAAGATTTTGATTTAAACATATTCATAATTTGACATCAATTTGATCTCCCATATCAATACCAGATTCCACTCCCTTGTTGAATCAAAGACACTGTTATTGAAGACCATACATCTTGTTCAATGTACACTTAATTATACCTAAGGGAAAACAATTGTGCAACAGATATTTGAGCTAGTTAGAGATCCCTACGTAGAGCTCAAACTTCTTCCAGAATGATGCAGCCTGTAGGCCTAGCCAGCAGTCATTTTTGTTGTGTAGTACTAGTAGTTCCAAGTTAGATACTAGAATAACAGAAATGTAAGCAAATTGGTTGGCGAATCCCAGAACCACATGTCACAAATGACACATGCATCAGGGAACACAGTGTGATTTTGTAATGTAACAAATGAAAATTAGTCAGGGAGTGAAGTGCTTCTAAACATTCTCTTGAAGACTATACCAGTGTGGAAATAGCAATCATTTGCTCCATCAAAAAGAGATAACCCAACCATTTCATCTGCTGCTGCATAAGAGTGCACAATCTCCAAAAAGACAAGCAGTCCAAGCCCTGCAAAACAGAATACGATTAGTAAAACCAATACGGATAAAGAGAAATCATAACAAGAAGGTGTATCACAATGCTATCCAGAATGTTCATTAATGTAATATGACAATGTCTATAATTATTACCAGCACTCACAGATTAAAAGCAAGAAGAGGCATAAGCTGGAAAGGGTCTTGAAAAATCTTTTCTTAATTTGAGAAAGCTAAGTTGACATGTCGTGTCTTGCATCTTTCTTTTTCTTTTTTTTTTTTAGAGAAGGAATGTTGGTGTCTGAGACATCATTATTCGCCTTAAAAAGAAGGAATTTAAAGCTATCAACATGGTTTTTAGACGTTTCTTGGAATAGTTTGAAGGCGACGTGTCTTAGAATAATTTTAAGGCTCACAAGATAGCATCCTCTAGTTGACAGGACTATCTGTCAATACATGTCATTCCCAAAAATTATAAAATATGTTCACACTTCACAAGGCTCCTACTTTCCTTAGCAAGTAAATGGTGTTTTGTGCTTCCGACGCAGCAAGCGTTGGAAGGTGGGTAGGTTCTGAAGAAGAGTAAGGCCTTAGCTTAAGGCAACTAGCTGCAAGGACTTGATAGGATAAAACTCGTTCAATTCTTTTTATTCAGGTTGAGCAATCTGCAGACAGCGGCATAGACGTTTAGGTTTATGGAATATCCAGTAATGAATGAACATCCTCTAAGTACAAGAAACCAAATGGAATGCATTAAGCAAATATAGCTTCCAAATGAACCTGGCAGAAAGATAATGTCAACGAATTGCTGGGGTGAAGACCGTCGGAGAAATTTACAAGAGACTTAAAATACCATCCCTCAAGCCATTTGGTGGACTATTTGTCTTGAAAGAAATGATAGAATTATGAAGGCCGTAGGAGAAAATTACATTAGTCTAAAACAAAGATGTCTTATTTTGCTAGCTTTTTGGTGCAACCTGGTTATTGTACATGATGTTCATGCAATTTTAGATATAATCAGGGATCTTCATAATCTGTAGTTATGTTTTCTTGGACTGGCTTAGCTTGTGCTTGGACACGCGATTTCAAGTCATGATTTTTGGACATGCTATTTGGGATCATGATTTGAAATCATGACTTCATATCCCAAATTCTCAAAAAAAGAAATCATTTGGGATTCCAAATCATGATTTCAATTTTTTTTCAAATACAAAACTAGACCCATAAGTTCATATTTTGTAAAAAGAAACCAGCATTTTAAATTTTACAAAAAAGATTCATGCTCAGCATGAAGTGATTGCCCCTACCATGTGAAAGAACTATATTAAAGAATAGCTAGTTATCAGGAAATGACACCTCTATCACAATCATAGAGAATATGGTTATCAGATAATTAAAAGGAAAGAGAAAGCAAATAATATGCAACATAAGTAGTCACTAACAGCATAGCAGGACGTAAACCATATTTGCCCAGGTCAAACGTCAAGGATTACCATGTGCTTCATCAACCAAGCGCTTGAAGTCATCCGGTGTGCCATAACGGCTACTAACAGCATAAAAATTGGTCACCTGTATAGGAAAAAAGATGGTGAAATCATATCAATGGTGAGGAAGAAGCTATAAATCATCGTAATCAAAAAGAAATTATAAATCATAAAGGCTGAGCATGTTCCAAATCTATACAAAAAGGTTATAAGTAGTTGCCCAATACACTATCCTTATAGCTAAAAAGAGTGGGGGGGAAATGAAGATGCAATATTTCAAATGTATAACCGGACAATTGGTCAACTAAAATTGTTCAATTTACACTGTGTTCATGCAGGATTCATGAATTTACAATCTGTTAATTTTACCAGACTTGAAAATTGATTAAACAAAAACCAGATTATGCATCTGGTATATTTCATATAGTAATTGAATACAGGGGCATTGTCGCCTGTCACCAAGTTCAAGCCTTGTTGACAATGTAATCCAAAGTAAGTAAGGTGAAAGTCTAATTACATGGCTCACCTTTTTACAGTAGGAAGCACAAAAGTCCAATTTTGAGAATGTATCATATGTATCTTTCAGAGATAGAAAATTGAGGAGAAACTAATTCTAACTCACTCTATATCCAACAGTGAAATAATCCTTGTGCTCAACAACTCCAATAATTTGTATTGCATTGTATCCAGCTTCTTTTACATGCGGAAGGACCTGGAATGACAAAAAGAATTATTAAATGAAGTCAACTTGCAAATACAAAAAAAGTGGTAAAAATTCTTTATCCATACAAATGTAAAAACATCGAAGAAAAGAAAAACAATCTTTCAGCATAATACAGAAATATTTCTGATAAAACAGGCCTTTCTTTTAAATAATATGGATTAAGTTCAGATATAACAACCTAAACCAAAGACTGGAAGACAATCATATTTCTACTTAACAAGATTTTGAAGAGTGAAAGTTAAAAAGTTTTGATGTCAACACGAATTGTAAGACAAAGTACAATGTAGTCACCTTGCTAATAAAATCATTGAAAGATGAAACTTTTGGTTCCTGGCCAGAGATGCCAACATGACATTCATATATGCGCAAGGACTTAGGCTTGACTGGTAGCTTGTGTTTCCATTTATAAGCATATTCAGGAGGTGGTTCCCAATGGACTGCTAATGCTTGCATCCCGTCTGCATCTGCAAATGAGTAAAGGAGTTCAGCAACATCAAGAGAAGGACTACCAGTAGCTAAGGAAATAAGAAATGAAACCAACAGCAATGATAAAACCAACAGCAGTGATATGATTATGTCCTGCATCTCTTTTACAGCGAGCATGGAGATTCAATTTAGAATTATCTACTCAAAATGCTAATCACAACGCACAAGTCAATTATGGAGGCCCCTCCCTCTCCCCCATACCGCTTTTGACCAAATGAGGGATTAGATTGATTTCCTAGATCACGGAACCAGCTAAAACCGAAACGACAATCAACCAAGCTTAAGTTAGCTCCTTAAGTTCGTGCCTCTACTCGAGATTCATGCACTTTCAGACAGACGCAGATTACGATTTGTTGTGTAGGAAGGGGAAGAAAAAACAGAAAACCTGTGCTTGTCATTCGTGTTGTGCTTTCGGTCCGTAGTTGTGGCGCTATTTCCCATTCTCAACTTTAATCTCTCTCTCCCCCCCCCCCCCTCCTCCCCTCTCTCTCTCTCCCTCCCTCCCTCCCTATTCATGCAACGATTGCTGACCCCTTCTTCCCTTCACAGATAAGACTAATATCTTCTTTCACCGAGATAAAACTTTATATAATGCATCAGTTTATATATTCACAAACCTTTAAGGTAAATTATACACACCTAGAATATATGCCACTTACCACTCCACCACTTCAATTCAAAGTGGTCACCTACCTTTTCCCATTCAATCTAAATGATACTTGATGAACAAAGATTTACCTCCAACTAGGTTAGGGGTTGTTAGATCTAACCTCCAACATCTTAATGCTCCGTGCGCTACTCAAGCTTCTTAACAGCAAATTATTAAATGGGGTGTATGAACAGGACATTCGAAGCATGCAAACATACATGCACTAGTTATGGATAAATCATAATAAACACAACACATATTGTAGCTTGTTGCACACCCAAACGTGTGGCCTAACGGTCAATGAGCACACCCAAACGTGTGGCCTAACAGTCAATGACACTGGAATGAATTATGGGAATCAAATACGCGTGGAAGCTAGCGTAGACACCATTGACAAAAAAATATAGGCACATATTTATGTATACGTGTGTGTGTGTGTTGTAACTTGTCATATCTAAATGCAATTATAAAATCCTAAGCCTGTAAATACGCATACATTTATGAATGTCACTGACAGATCATTTAGGCAGACAAACTGAATACACCAAAGAAAAATATTTATAATTCTAGATGCTTCCATGTTTCTTCTTGTTATATCTCGGCTAATAGAATATTAACCAGTTATGGATGTAAAAACAGTATGTAAATTCCAATAAGCAGTGCTTGTTTACCTGGAATGACAAAATTGGCCCACGCAGGAACTCGTTCAAGAGGCCCATTTGGTGTGTTAAAATACACCCTGTATTTGCTTCCATGAGGTAAAGCAGGCATATATTTCTGTAACCAGCCTTTCCTTCCCTTTTTAGTTTCTAACCAGTAAGCAATAGGAGGCTGTTTCATACGAAATTTCTTAAACGATTCAGGATCACCTATAATATTGTAAATATCATATTCTTTTCCACTATCTACCACATCATACGATGGCAAATTGCTTGCTGGATCCTTTTTTTGTTGCTCTTTCCAAGTTTTGTATCGTGTAGCTGCATCAGGCATTGCTTCTAGTTCCTCTTCTGTTTGAGGTCCATTTGGTCCGAACATTTCCTCATATAACTTTGCTGCCACCTCATAACGTGATTTAATGAAGCGATCTTCTCCAGGTTCCCAATACTCATCATTTGCTTTTTTAAAGATTTCTTCGACGGTAATACCCGTGTCACCTTTATCATAGTCCTCCGTGTAATTGTACTGTTGAAAATACAATTTATCAGGTTCTTCTCCTTCACGTAATTTATCTTCAAGAATAATAAACCAATACCCATAATCGTCATGACCAAAATGACCCTCTCTGGCACAGTTACCAGTTGTTGACCACCCATTGAAGTCACCAATCAGAGCACAGTAGCGAGCACCTGTTGCAACATCTTGGCACTTGTATTCAAAACTATAAAAGGAAATAAAAGCAAAGAAATGATTGCTGCCCATCAAGTGCTAAATCCACTCCCCCATCCCATCCAATTGTGTCACACAACTTACGATACACAAAGAGTTACATTAACTTGCATATAACCTCAGAGTTGGAATTAAAAATCAATATATTATTTACATTCATGCATAAAAATAACTTTACATGGGAAACCCCATATCAAGTCTTTTTCCCCAGTGATATCACACCATAGTCCTAATGTGAAACTAAGTGAATTGGATGGATAGAGAACTTTAAGGCAATAATGAAAATCAGAAGATACCAAATAGTGAGCCACTTTCAAAATGTCATGTAGTGGATGGATGAAGTTTGAAACGTTGATGGAGTTTATATACTAAGTATTTGCAGAATTGCTAATGTCACTAAAAATAAGCACCAAATGGTCATATCATAATGAAGCGTGAATTAATACAAAGAAATTAACATTAAGAAGATAAATTCTGATATATTAAAAAACACATTAAGAAGATAAATTCTGATACATAAAAAAAAACATATTAAGATGACAAATTCATGTATGGATTTGAACCTGGAGCCCATTCCAAGAAATCCACTCGATGTTGCATGTTACGATGCATACCCATTAATTCATACCTGTAAAATAGACATCTAGAATCAGTCAAAGACTAATCAAGATGCATTATATGATACTATTAGCAAATAGACACACAATGATACTTGGACACAAAGACAGATAGGAGAGAGGAACGCAGGTGTCGACGAAAGAAATTCGCGCACAAACTAACCCAGTAGACATCTCCTTGAGACTGAAATGACGAGTCAATATTTCATCCTTCAAGTCCTTCAATGATTTATATCTGCAAAACAGAATGGTAAAAGAATGAAACACCCTGAAAATGTTGCATATCAAATGGTTCAAAAATCAAACAGAGGGAACCGTCCAAGGATACTCGAAAAAGTTGCTGCTCAGTAATATTTTTGTAACGAGGTTTCCAGAAAGGCAAAAAAAAAAAAAATCATAGAAATATGTTATGTGCAAAATAGGAAGAGGGAAACAGTTGGAATCTTGACAAAAATCAGTTGTGAAATTACAGGAGTTATTCTCAGTTTAATACTGTTAGTTCTGTTCTGTGAAGTTACAGGTGCTGTTCTCAGTTCAATACTGAAATTCTCCCCTCATGAGCTAAGCTAGCTTTTGGCCTTTTTGAGCTGAGTTAAAGCCAAGGTCCATTTGTTCACAGGGGGCAATAATTCCTTACTGCATGAGGAACTAATGAAAATATTACAAACTCTTATAATTGCTGATTGTGTACAATTCCCATTCAAACTCTAACGACAGTTGATCGCTCACAGTTATCGTCCTTTAGGACAAGGACATTTTCTAGAAGGAGGCATATGTTAGTGCAAAATTGGAATAGTTTGAATCTAGTTGTGAAGTTATAGCAGCTATTTTCTGTTCGCAACTTTTAGTCATTTTAGTTTCTTTCATCAGCTTCAGTGCAAATGACTTCACTATATAAGTAGCTCAAATTGTAATAAGAGATATTTTGAATTATGAATATTCTCATAGAATTCTCATTTCTCTCCCTATTTCTCCTGTTAGCTGAACAAATAGCATAACAAACACAGTACATAACACAATTTAAGGCATTGTAAAATCACCTTTCACGAAGAAATTGAGCAAACGCTTTATGAGTAATGCCGTATTTGCTGAGAAATCCAACAGGATCGATTCCTTTCTCTTCCTCCGACTGTTTGTACTTCTCCGGTCGTTGCTTCCGTCGTTGCGGTGGCGGTTGCTCCGTTGCTGAGCATCTACACCTCGAAACTCGAGCCCGGCGGCTGCGAACAAATTTAAGCTGGCGACTGGTTCTGCTTCCGGTTTGAGATAGAAAGCTCAGACGAGAATCGCTTAAAGGTGAAGAAATTCGAATTGAATCCGTCAGAGAGAGCATTGTTGATGCTAATTTCTCTCAATGGAACTAAGGAGGGAAGAAGATGAACTGGTGCTTGTTTTTTTTTTTTTTTTTCGCCTTAGTGATAAGAGGCGGGTACTGTAGCCAATTTCTGTAAACGGCTACCGGGACGGACGTAAATGGTAGGGAAAATGACAAAAATGGTTCCTCATGTTTTATGGTAAGTTAAAATTAGTCCTTTTATGTTATGAATTGAACAGTTTTAGTCCTTTAATGGTTCGCAGACTGCTACTCAATAGTCATCATAGGAGTATTACTTTATTATATTCAATTATTCATGATTTATCGTGTTTTAGTATCTTAGTAATATTCATAAAATAAATCAATGTTTTAAAGGATACTAAGTACTAACCTCTTTAAAGAAACGAGACAAATGAAAATAGATAGATAATCATCGGTATCCTTCTTACACTACGATTTAAGAAAAGTAACATAGGGATGGAACACTGAAACTCATATATTCTTAACATCAAACAAATATCACTCCATAACTACTTGAAAATGAAAGGAAAATGACGCAACAAAAAAGGATTCATGAAAGTCTCTCGGAAACCTCACTTACCCGATGTAAAAACCTTCCAGGTCAAAAGTTAAAAATATCATTCTTGAAGTTTTGGCTACAAGAAAACCAAAGGTCAAAAGTTCAAGATCGACTATTTTCAAGGCCATTATTGTAAACTATCCAAAGTCCCTGATCATTTTTGGCCCAGCTTTGACTACAATAAAATACATAATGGGCTCAGAGCAAACTTGGATTTCCAGTGCCCCAATGAAGATGTACTGCTTAACTGTAGTGGGCTTAGTAATGGGCCTATTGTTCACACTACAGCCCACGTCTAAGGCCCATAAACAAATTAACAAACAAAAGCTCCGAAAAGTTTGTGATTTGAGGATTTTCGGAGTCTTTTAGTCACAGTTCGAGGTCCTAGCACATTTCTTTTAGCCACTGTTCGAGGCCCTTGGCACGTTTCTCTTAGCCTCAATTCGAACCTAACTAATAGAAGTGTGCCGGACTCAAACCGTGGCTAATGAATATGTGTGTTAAGCTTCCTTAAACGGAAATTCTGATCTAAATGGTCCCTCGTAAGAAATATATACGTAACAAATATAAAAAGGATTAAACGTGATTCTCTAAGTTAATAAAAAAGAGGGGAAAATGTGATAATATGAGAAGAATTCTTTAAAACTTTTATTTTAGCATCGTAACGTATAGACAATAGGCCAATTAGCATGGTATTTTTTCTATGTAGATCATACAGTTAGGCAGTTAGCTTGTTCAATGTTCATAAATACTTGTGTGTGGCCGCCAACAAGCCACGATAAAAGCCTTTTGAAGTTATAAATACGAAAATAAATAAAAGTTATTACCATATGTTTTTTCTGATAAAAAGAAGACAGAATCAGAAAATAAATAGGACTCCTTGTATATATTTTTACTTGTAAGTTTGAAAATCATATTATTTATTATTTAGTTCTTAATTTACTCTTATTAGAAATTATAATTATTTTTCAAAGCATTGAATTATCATATAGTAAAATTGATATTTTATTTATTATCTTTTAAAAATATCAAATTAATATTGAACAAGTAAAAATAAACTAAAAAAATTAATAAAGATTAAAAGAAAGAAAAATAGAGGGGACAATGTTTTTCTCGTTTACTAAAAGCTGACAAAGTAGGACGATCCAAATTAAAGTCACACAGCATAGAAGGGTAGAGTGTGATTAAAGCAAAGCCAGCGGCGGCCGGTGATGAATTAAAAAAGGAAAAAATGAGTGTGTAATATACCCACTCATTGTGGAGGAAAAGAACATTGTAGTTGGATAGCGTTATCTCCAAGAATGTACACTCACATACAAAATACTCTCTTCGTGACGATATTTGATTGAACATGAAATTTAAGAAAAAACATGAATAATTGCAAGTACTTATCGTTAATAATAGTATTTGACTAAGCATTAAATTTAGTGTGCGATATTTTTTGAAAAAATACCTAAACACACAATTTATTTTACTATATTCTCTAAAATTTTCTACTATTTGAAAAAATTATAAAAATTCCTACTTTACGCAATATATCAGTCGGATACATCACTTTACGTGATGTATTGATCAGAATCAGATACATCACTTTATGATGTACCACGACGTATGTAGTGTATCGGGATGCTACTTTACGCTATGTATCGGGACATACGCTATATATTGGGACGTTAATGTATCCGAAACCAAAATGTGATATCAAAACGTTGAGAGATGTATCTGAAACTCAGACGCAATGTACCGTGACATGTTAGGATGTATCCAGATTCCACCAAATTTAAGGGATTTTTGTAATTTGAAAAAAAGTAAATATATAATGTAATTAGCTCTTAACACCATGTGATTTATGCAAAATCTACCTTCTTCTTTTTTTGCGAAGCCAAATTTAATCAAACATCAATATGCCTATGGAATAATCGAGACACCACATAAAAAAAACCAAAAGAAAGATACAAGTGTTTTTTGTTACCCAAAGGATCTTAAAGAGTTCCAAAATGGCGTGAATCTTTGCCTCTCTTTTTTTAACGTGTCACAGCAGTGAAACCAACGCAGTTCAGCACTGGGCACACAGCTTTTTATTTTTTGGTCAGCAAGAAGGGAATGGGCATGATGATAAAAGGTGTGAATCAAAGCTGTTTTGGCCTCTTTGGCTTCTCACTCGAAATTAATGTGCTGCCGAGTGAGAGTTGGCCACCGCCCACGTTTTATTGCATGCCATATATCTTACTAGTAAATTTATTTATTACTACAGCATCTCATCTCATGGATAGTTAATAGGACTTGACACTTGACTTAGACGGTGGTGCGATGGAATAGTTCAGATCCTTTTATTCTTAATTAGAGATTTTAAGTTTGAGTTTTGATAATAATAAAATGGTTGGGAGTGTTGTTTTTGGAAATGAATCTTACAATGCGTGAATCTGTATTTTGCTGGACGTTAATATATATATCAAATACTGAGTGGAAAAAATGAAAGGGAAGAAGATTTTGGCTGACATATATGCTTGTGTAATATTTAATGTCATTTATTCAAGATATATTAAAAAGGGTGCGAAAGATTCTTAAATTATGATTAGAGTTTTTAGTTGTTGTACAATAGGTTAGTTGAATTCATAAATATAGCACCTAACCTAAGTGGTTACTAATATGGTCCTTTTGGTGGAGTTTTCAAAATATGTTTATTTGTTTCCAATAATATTTTTAGTCATAAGTGGTTTGGCAAAAATAGTTTTGAAGATTATGTTATAAGTTTTGTTTCACTAATCAAATTTGAAAAATATTGTTTCGGGTGATAAAGCAACAATAAAGTGTTCAAATAACTATTCAAACATTTGATCAAACATGTTATACTTCACAAAAGTTATGACAAGTTACGTCCTTTAATTTTTTTGCTTTATATCTCTCATAAGTACTATAACTATAATTTGCTACATGTAATGATACAAATTAATTCACCATCACATAGAAATAAAAACACGTCTCACGTTTGCCTATAATTTAAACGTTAATTATCAACTAACATTTGTTCATGCGTTTTATCATATACGTCACAAGTATCTAATGATATGTGCTTTATCAACAAGTAAAATATGCATTCCTCACTCCATAACACATTATTATGTAAAAATATGATAAAATTTAATAAATATTCCTCCAATCTCAATTTAGGCAATAACTTCCATTTTTTATACTCATTTAAATGCAATGAGTTTGGCTAATATGAATTGTGTTAATAAATGGATATAACCAATTCAAACTTTAACAAACTAGACAAGTTATATTGGCGTGAACTAATATTACCATCAAACCTATATATATGAAATACAAAATGCATATCCACATAAAAAAAATCATTTTAATCATATATAATCAATATAATTTCCGTCCAAGGGAATTCAGATGAATTCCTAGACCTTTACTAGCTCCGTCCCGTCCATAGGCTTATCTTATCTTGGAGGACAGTTGTGGGCGGCTGTGCTTAAACTGTTGTTATGAGGTTGTGGAATCTTACTTTAACAAGTATAAAGATGCTATAACTACTGATGAAAAAAAGAAGTTTGTTGTACCAACTTTGCAGCCGTTAAATTGGCTTTCAATTTTTCCTCTTGTAGCTTTTTACCTAAATTACCAAACTAGTGTAGAACAATATTCATTAATTTTTCTATAAAAAGTGGTGGTAGTTCGACCAAAACGACAAGGAACTAAATGCTTTAATTGTGTTGTGTGGATTCTTTTTTCTTGGCTGAGCTATACGATACGTCAGGTTGGCGCGCACAGATATGTAATGCCTTTACTTCTCTATTTAATCGCTGGAGACGACGGAGCCAAAAAATTTACTCGGGTTCAAAATTTAAAGAAATGAACATACTATAACTAGTCGAAAAAGATTTGATATCGAGCATATATATATATACATAAAATATAATTTTAATATCATATAAATATTATAATTTTTTCGTTATAAGTAATTCAGATGAACCCCTAAGCTTCACATTTTTTTGACCGAAAATTAAAAATTGCTCATCACAATTTTTACGCCTTCTTTGAATGTGATAGAAATGTTATTTCTATTAGATCATCGGTTAAAACATATTTTTTTTAAAAAAAATAGGTTAGAAAAATATAAAGTTAAAGAACTTTTGATAAATATGCAAAAAAAATAAAAAAAAATAGAGGACGGGTATTTGATCAGATGAAATAGAATTTTTTATTTGATTAAAATAGATTGAGTTTAATATTTCTATTTATTTTTTCTTAAAAGAACATACGTCATGACATTACAAAGTGACTAAATATATTACTTTTCAGATTGGATGAAATAACAAAAGATATATAAATTTTCTAATATTAGAAAAAAGAAAGTAAGTTTATTTTGTTCATTTATTTTCAATAGTTCGATGATCATTTAATAAATATATATACTCGTACTTCTTTCTAATATAAAAAATATTTTGTCACTCATAATATCAAATGGATGCTTAATTTTGATTTTATACCAAAACTTATAATTTTGCGATTGCGTTAAGTATCTCACATAATATATACTAGATTTTGTTGCCCGTGCATAACATAAATGGTATGTTTTGGGGCTAATAACGAAGTTTTTGAAGCGATTGTTTGCGTGGATAAAGGAATAAGTTTTTTTATCACAAACCTGTACTTTCTTTGACGCTATTGAAGGCACAATAAGACTACCACATACAACATTTTCGAACAATTTTATGTTGTCAATTATCACGATTTAATTTTAAGAATCAGTGAATTTTTTTTCTATTTTTTTAATAAATATTTTAAGTTGTCAATTATCACGATTAATTGTATTTTATACATAATTTTTAACGATAGATTAATTTCAAGAATCAATCGAATTTTTTTAAATGTATTTATTTTTGAAATATTTTATGTTGTCAATTATCATGATTTATAGTATTTTTACGATAGATTAACTTCAAGAATCAATGGAATTTTTTGTATCTTTTTCAAAACATATTTTATGTTGTCAATTATCATGATTTATAGTATTTTTACGCAATTTTTAAATATAAAAAATTGAAAAAAATAAGACAAATAAATTAAAATGGACCCAATATATGTTATTTTTGTTGTCTCAATTTATGTGACACAAATGAAATTTGGAGAGTCATTGAATATTATATATTATACTTGGGCATAAACTCTCTTACGCATGGGCCCAATAACTATTATTTTTTGTCCTAATGTATGTGACACAGATAAAATATAGTGAGTTATTTAAATTTAATATGATTTTTAAATATTTTAAGTTGTTAATAATGTAATTTATAATATTTTTACGTAATTTGTAAATACTTAATATATATTACTCCACTTGTCTTAATGTATGTAGCATAGATGAAATTTCAAGAGTTAATCAAAAGTTGTTAATTGTTAAGATTTACAATACATTTTACGTAGTTTTCAGTAATTTGACATTAAATAATACATATTACTACTTTTGTCTCATTTTATGTGACATTGATAGATTAATTTTAAGAATCAGTCAATTTCTTTTTTTGTGCATTTTTAATAAATATTTTAAGTTGTCAATTATCACGATTTATTGTATTTTATACATAAATTTTAACGATAGATTAATTTCAAGAATCAATCGAAATTTTTTATATGTATATTTTTTTAAATATTTTATGTTGTCAATTATCATGATTTATAGTAATTTTACGATAGATTAACTTGAAGAATCAGTGCAATTTTTTGTATCTTTTTCAAAACATATTTTATGTTGTCAATTATCATGATTTATAGTATTTTTACGTAATTTGTAAATATAAAAAAAAAATTAAGACAAATAAATTAAAATGGACGCAATATATGCTATTTTTGTTGTCTCAATTTATGTGACACAAATGAAATTTGAAGAGTCATCCAAATTTGCACTTTTTTTAATTTTTTTTTTTAAGTTATTCATTATTGTGATTTATAATATTTTTATGTAACTTTCAAATAACTTCCTAATTTATGTGATATGGATAAAATTACAAAATTAACCCTTTTAAAATGTCTTCCAGATATTTTAAGTTGTTAATTATTATTATTTTTAATACTTTTTTGATAATTTGAAAATGATATATGTTTTTTTTTTTGTCTCAATATATGTGACCCGGATAGAATTTTGAGAGTCAACCTATTTTATGGTAGAATTTTAAATATTAAATATTTTAAGTCATTTGTAAATGATTTATTATATTATATTATTATATATTATATTATATTATATATTATATAAACTCCCTTAGAAAATAAAGATATATTATATAGTAGAATATGTTTGACTTCAATTTTTATATTATATAAGTCGTCCCTCTCCTAATTTCTTTTATGTATAATTGAAGAACTAAAAAGAGAGTCTACGGTTTTTAATATTTAAATGCTGCCTACTTTGTAGCTATCGATATAGCTGCTATGCTTTCAAGCGTCAATGACGCTAGCATTTTTGAGTAAGATTAAATGTATCATACACCCCTTCAACTTTATTTATAGGTTTATTATGCAAAGGTATATGTATATCTACCTATAAAAATTGTGGTGGAGAGGTAAGTATTCCTTTATTTTGCTTTTGCTAGGGAGCATTTTATTCCAGTGTGGAATTTTCTTGCGAAAATTTAAATTTAGTCAAACTCTAATTTAATTATCCGAGGAAACTAACAAAAAGGTATACATATATCCCAATTAGTCAAAACCTTTAATATAACATTTTTAATATTAAAATGCTAAATCTCCAACACTTCTTATTTAGTTTCTTGTAAAATCTATTGAAAATAAAAAATATCGCAAGTCATACTGGAAATTAAAAATTCGTCCGTCTTCATCTTGAGTCCTTCATTCTATTGGCAGATAGTTTTAAAACTTAAAATATATGATTAAAAAAAGGATCAATTCAGTGTAATAAAACTCTGGTTATGCATGAGATTCAGGAAAGGAGCGGATCATAAGACACTTTTATACGCAGTTTTATCAAGTTTTTCTATAAGAGATTATTTTTCACAACTTAAACTACGTAACCTCCAGATCACATGACAATAACTTTATCAGTTACACGCAAGGCTCCCCGTGTTAACAAAAGGTAAAAACATGAAAAATGAGGGGGAAATGTATGTTCATTTTACGAAATTGCCGGCAGGCTTAAGGGTATTATGACGGTAATGTGAATGCACAAGACTTGGACTTGAATTAAATTTGATGAATTGACTTTGTATAAACATTAATTACAAATAAAATTCTCATGAATACTTTGCTTCATAGTTAGTTTTTGTTGGACTTTTAAATTTGAATAAAAGTTTGTTTGGTCTATTGATCAATATTGATCATGTGAACATACCATTTGTTCTTAGTTTCACATTTGTAAGCACATTGAAAATACTGCAATCCCCCAAAGACTTGCCGAATCTTCCTTAGACTTGTATTGACCTTTCTCGAACTCGTGTTATAGTCTATTTGATTAAATTTTTAAAAATATATCTTGTCAAAATTGTTTTGAATTTTTTTTTTTTTAAAGAGTATAATTTATATTTGACTAATTCATTAGAAAAACACCCTCATCACTATTAGAATAGTCATTTTTACTTTGCCAAACTTCCAAAGAGTGTTCACGGAGAGAAATTACTTCTTCAAACTTCTGCTACTATTCAAAGATATTTATTTGTCCTTTTAAAAAGATTGTCAAATATCTCAACTTTATAAAATAGGTACTTTTAAGTTTCCACTTGATTGTGAATTCAAATATTGATTCTTTATATCTATATATAAAAAAAATCTACATATTTATAAATTATATTAAAAAGTACTCCTTACAATATCCCATATAACTAAGAATTTTAAAAACTTACTCCTTTCATCTCAATTTATGTGATATAATTTGATTTAATATATATATATTTAAAAACTTAAAATTTAAAATAAATCAAAATTATTTATATGATTATAAATTATTTCAATAAGTGAAAAATAAGAATTTTAAAATCAAGTAGTAATTCTTAACATAAATATATAATTTTAAAGAAAATTAATTAAAATAAATAGACAAAGGAAGTAGTTATTAGTTAGTAGTATTTAACTCTTCAAATAATAATAGCGTTCACATAGAATAAAATGAACTTGAAGGCTCCCCATATTAATTAGTATAGCACTATACACGGTAAAGATTTAAAGCGCGGCCTGGTCCCTTACGCAAACAGTAAAACGCGCCGCAATGTGAAGTGGAAAGCAGAGAAATATGATAGGCAAGGTATTACAATAGCGGTGATAGCGCAATTAAAAGGCACATTTTCACGTGTCTTCATGTGGACGCCTTTTTTCTTTAGCTAAGGAAACGTCGCTCCGCAGTCCGCAGTCGGCCCAAGCTGTCAACTCTTCTTCCCTTCCAACACGTGGTTCACTCTCCACTTGGTTTTTTTTCTTGCCTCTCAACTTAGACGGAGAGGCAAAATTACATAGGAAGGAGATGTTGATCGGATTAGCTTGAATGTACCTCGATTAATTATTTTTTTACGTATTTGTTATTTTTTATTAACATGTAGATATTGAATAATTTTGTTCATCACCACTTATATGTATTAAAAAATAATATTTAATTGCTTCGTTTTAATTGATATGACAGTCGTTTGACTTACTACAGAATCTAAAAAAAAGACGTTTGAAAGTTATGGTTTCAATTATAAATCATTTCATTAAGGATAAAATGAGCATTTTAAAGTCAAATTGTTACGAAATATAGAAATTTTATGATTTTCAATTTATTTCATTGATAATATATCCTTAATTAGATGCTACACGCAAGGGGTAAATTTAGTGTAAAGCTTACAAATTCGACTGAATTCAGTAATTTTAATAGAAATATGTATTTATCTTAATCAAGTTATCATTTTAAGCCTAATAACCATCTTAAATTCATAAAATTTAAATTCAAACTCTGTTTCGACTACAAGGAAGGAAAGGACTTAATAGTGAAAAGTACAAAAAAGCAAATACATTGCTGTCATTGGTTCAAATACAATGAAGATTCTTTGTACACTTCACCTACTTATAAAAGACCCCAACTCCACTCAATAGCCATTAACTACTTAGCTGCATTTGTAGGCAAAATATTTTCCACCATATAAATATCACCACCAAGCATATACTTCTTTCATTATACCCAACCTTCTCTTCTATTCTTCTATACTATCAATTGAGCTAAATACAGATGAGTCGAGCTGAGTCAATCGATTCAATGGAGTGGACTCGGGGTCCGACAATTGGTCGTGGCTCTTCCGCCACCGTTTCACTCGCTACCAATTCTTCTGGAGTGCTCTTTGCTGTTAAATCCACTGAACAATCTTGTTTGCAAAGAGAGTATTCTCTTATTTCTCAGCTAAATTCTCCGTTTTTAGTCAAGTGCTTAGGCTTCGACATCGCTTTTGAGCAAAATAAGATAGTTTACAATATGTTTATGGAGTATGTACAAGGTGGAACTCTTTCTGATTTGATCAAGAAACAAGGAGGTGCGTTGGATGAATCTATGATCAAATTATACGCTAAACAAATCCTACAGGGATTGGATTATCTTCACTCAACTGGGATTGTGCATTGTGATGTGAAGGGGCAGAACATTTTAATTGGCGAAAATGGGGATATCAAAATTGCTGATTTGGGATGTGCGAAATTGCTGAGAGATGAAAAAAATTCTGGATTTTCCGGTACACCGGCTTTCATGGCACCTGAAGTTGCTCGAGGCGAAGAACAAGGATTTGCAGCTGATATTTGGGCTTTTGGTTGTACAATTATTGAGATGGCTACAGGATCAGTTCCTTGGTCTGAGATCAAGGATCCTGTTTCTGCTCTGTTTAGAATTGGTTATTCAGGGGATTTGCCACAATTCCCGAATAATTTGTCAAACGATGCCAGAGAATTCCTCGGTAAATGTTTGATGAAATGCCCGAATGAGCGTTGGACGGCTAATCAACTTCTTCAACATCCATTTTTGCAATCTGTAGAGTCTAATTCATGGAAATTTGAAGAATTGAAGAGGGATTCTCCTACTAGCATTTTGGATCAAGGATTTTGGAATTCGTTCGAGGTGATGGAATCTTCTTCATTAGAGTCAACCAACACCGTTGATTCCGCTACAGATAGGATCAGACAGCTGATTGGTAATGTGGGAATATCATGCTCTTTGATGCCTAATTGGGTTGAGGAAGACGATTGGGTGACAGTTAGATGCAACGACACAGAAGAAAATTCGATAATTTCAGAGCCAAACTGCGAGATGATCGATGGTTTTGGAGAATTGTTGGATATGGAAATATCGGAGTCAATAGTTTTTTCTGAAGATGAGTTTGTGACCTCATTGAACTTTGAAGCTCTTTTAGTTGATTGCATTAACTATGAGATTATTAGCCTTTTTCATACTGTTAGTAGTAGTATAAATTTGATTATTTCTCCTGAGATTGTTGGAGATGTTTTTGTATCTGAATTCAATGATTCTGAAATAAAAAGATTGAAACTTTTTCGTCCAATTGTGTATTCACTTTCTCATATCACGTTGTTACTATTTCCATATTAGTTGTCATATTTTCTTCTTTTCGAACTTGAAGATTTTTCAGAAACAATCTCTACATCAACATAAGACAGGAATAAGGTATGTGTACAGTGTACACTAAACCCTCTGTAAACTCGACTGGTGGTATTACACTGCCTATTGTAATTTATCATTAACAAGGCAAACGGATAAATGCCAGTAAGTACTAGTTTTGTCACTTTGTGTCTTTGTGACATGGAAAAATATTGTAAATAACAAGGCTAGAATTAATTAGATTTAAATTACATGTACTTGTCGTGTACAGATATTTTATAAGTCTCTTACTTTATTTTTAACTTTTTTTGCCTTTTTTAGTTCAGTAAAACCACTCGATAGTGCAACGCATCTTTTCACCATTTAGCGTAAGAATTACATACAATAATATGTTTTCTATCATATTGCAAAGAATCATCCTAAACACTTTTTTGCAACTCTAGTTCTTTATCTGAATTTGAAATTAATAATGTGAGCAAGTTCACGAACAAGCAAATATTACATCACCCTATATGACTTCTACTTTTTCTAAACATAAAAAAGTGGGCGTGGACTTTTTTTTAAGTAGTAATTGTTCTGTTGAGTGTGAACGCAATGGACTTTTGGAGGAAAAGTAGAGTCAACTAATTTTTGGCCATTGTATTTGGAGCATTCTAAAGTTTGAATAAGATTAGGTGAATGGGCGCAACTTTTGTGATGAGGTCAACGGGGAAAATTATATCGTTTTTTCTTCCATTGGGCCATAGCATTTGAAACCTTCTTTATTTTGAATAGATTAGGCGTGTATTAGAGCTATAAAATGAAGTCAACGGACCACCAAGTGTAATAATGAGTGGAATATGATCGTCTTTTCACGATTAATCAGAAGTTTTGAATTATAGCTATACGTATAAAAAATATTTATGGTATAGACGTTTTCCCTTTTTTATGTGTTGTACACAGAGTAATGGAGCCAGTGTTGAAATCAAAGGTTCGGCAACATCTAGTAGTTTTGCTCAAATTCTGTAATTATATTCAAAATTCAATCAACATGTATAAAGAAAGTAGAAGCAAAACAAAAAATAAATAAATTAGTTCATCGGCTCCGGACCATAACTAGTTTTGTTGATTAGGTTCTGAATAGATTATTTTATGTGTATTAAATGAAATTTTAACATAAATATATTTGAGCTATAACAATTGACTTCTATCGAAACAGTAGCTATCGAAGCAGCTTTGCTCATACTTACGTGTTGTAGATCCATATTAATCGAGACTTTTAATATAAGTGTCGCACACATGTAGGGGCAGACCAAACCTAGTAACTTTGATCGAAATTCTATAATTGTCTCAAGAAATCTGTTGAATATGTATAAATTATCAATTTAGACACAGTAATTCAATTGAATTAAAATCTCGTATTCATAAATTTTAAATTTTGACTTCTCAGAAAAAAATGAATGAGGTCAACGAGGAAATTAAAGTTGTTTTCCCTTTCCTAGACTATATACTAGACTCATTGAAATCCACTTTGAATTAGGCAACATTTTTTTTTTGTCTTTTGGAGTTTGGAAGAATAGGGGTTGGTTTATTAAGTTTTACTCAATTTGCCAAACAATGATTTCATACTTTGAAGAGGCAAAGAACACTTGACTTTTTCCAAATGGTGCAACTAGTGTTGGTCCACAAGCCATACTAGTGGGGTGGTTGTGTCAAGCTCCATATTGTTGTGGACGTACTTCTTCTTATCTACAAACCGACCAAATGGAAATAATCCAAATTAGGATGTAAGTAACATATCCAATCATTATATATACGGATCGAGAATTTTGAATTTATAAATTTCAATTTTGAAAAAAAAAACTAACTTAGCACCACTCCAGCTTCACCTTATTCTATTATATTTATTAAACGTGACAAATGGATGAATTATGTCAGATTTATGCTAAGACATAATTTGCTAAAAGGTCATAAATTGGAGTCCGGAGTCTAAAGGGCAAAAAAAATTGTCAAAAATTTTAAAAGGGCACATCACTTTTTATTCTAGCCAAAAGGGCAGCAGCGATTTTCCTCTGACAAAATGACGAAATAGCAGCGATTTCGTCTAAAAAAATTTTTTAATTTTTTTTAATTAAAAATCGCTGTGATTTTGTAATTTTTTTAAATTAAAGATCGCTGCTTTTTCTTTAAAAAAACTAAAACGGCACATCAAAAAATTTTTTAACCAAAAGGGCTTCTGACAAAACAAAAATAAAAATCGCTGCATATTTTCTCAAAAAAAAAAAAAACTTTTTTTCTTCAAAATCGCTGCTATAGCAGCGAATTTGGTTAAGAATTTTTTTAAAAAGTTTTTTTTTAATTTAATATTCTTTTATTATTATTTATGATATATAATTCAATTTTCCTCATGCTCCAACAATTTTATTGAGTATACTGTCGTCTTGTTTATCATTTTTATATTATTAATAAGTAATAATAGGCATGAAAATAATAGCACTCGGCATGAAAAACGCTGCCCCTGCAGCGATGTGTAAGGAAAAAAAAAATTCTGACTTAAAATCGCTGCCACAACAAAAAATAATAATTTGTTTTTTACAATGGCAGCGATTTTTAATAATAACAATAAAAACAAAATTTAACAAAATCGTTGCTGTGGTAGCGATTTTTAATTAAAAATTTTTTTTAGACGAAATCACTGCTATTTCGTCATTTTGTCAGAGGAAAATCGCTGCTGACGCAGCGATTTTGCCCTTTTGGCTAGAATAAAAAGTGATGTGTCCTTTTGGAATTTTTGACAATTTTTTTTGCCCTTTAGGCTCCGGACTCTCATAAATTGGTCTATCAAAGTTTGTTTGATGGATCAAATAACGGGTCATAAGTCACAACACACTATCTCCCTCCTTTTTATTTTGCTTTTTGAATAAATAATTAAAACTTTTTTTAACAAAAAAAATAGTTTTTTTTTCCTTTCTAATTTCTAGATTTGATTTTGTATTTTTGGTTTCATATTGCAATTTCACCCATTTTGACTAATATTTGATAAGTTATTTTGAGTTTAACTCGTTGAATACAAATTAAAATTTAAATGAATTGTATCGTTTACTTCAAAGATTATTGATTTTGTCACCTACTATCCTTGATTTTTAAACAAGAACCATGGTCAATCTTGGAAATTAACAACACTTTGCTGAGTTATAACAAGAACATGAAATTTTCACCATATTCCCATGATTATAGATTGGAATTATAAAGCATATTATATATAGTACAAATTCAAATAATTTAATCCCCCCCCCCCCCTTTATTTTTGGGTCATGAAAATAAAGCAAATAAATTAATGTCATAGTCCTGACTATAGCAATGACTTCACCTAGTATATGTAAGGATTATACACTCTTCAAATATCACATTTTTTTCTATCCAATTGTATTCTGACTATATTCCTCTTTTCATTTTATTTTATATTATTCCATATTCTTCTAATCATCAACTACTTTTATTTGTATCCTTAGGAGTGAATCGTGATGCTACCTTTTCTATAATAAAATAAAAAAAACAAGTTGTTTGGGGCATTGTACTTGTGAATATACTTTTTATCTTAAAAAAGTTTTACAGAATATTTAGAAGAAAAAATACCTGGCCAACATTTTTGACAATCAAAATAGTTCTTGAAAATCAACCACCATGATATCCAACCAATCACGTTTGATAGCTTCGAGCTTTCGATATCAAAGATTTAATTCTAATTACCTTTCATGAATGATTACTCAAATCGTATTTTATTACATTAAATTCAATAAATCATTTTTTGCAATCAAATAATTGTTCAATTTTATATAAAGTCACTAATTTTTTTATAACAAAAGAATAATTCAATTTATCTAAAACATCACAAAAAGAGATATTTGTATAATATCATAATGACTTTCAAGAATCACAACAATACTATACATACTCAATGTAATCACACTATTGAAAATTTGAAAAAAGATGATTTGTACGCTAACTTTACCCCATATCTTGTGAAAAGGTAAAAATATTATTTCATATAAATCTTTGGTTCAAGTAACACATTCAAAGTCAAAGCCATAACAACATTCAAGAATCAACACATAAAATTTGAAAGAAGCAACAAACGTCCCCTTTAGTTTGACTTTACTAACATTTATGTCTTACAACTTTGGGTGTGCACAAGTAGACACTTAAATTTGTATAAAATTGAACAAGCAGACACACACATCCTACATGACAATTTGCGTGACAACACTTGAACTGATTTGTATTATGTCACGTAAGACGCGACTCTACTTGTTCAATGTTATATAAATCTAAGTATCTACATGTTGAAGTGTTAGTTGAGGCCAAATTAAAGTTGCCATTTTTCTTTAAAGATATTCCAAGTAGGCCCAACATACCACTCAAGGCCTTCTAAAAGATGGGCTCAAGGCCCAGATCATGTTGCCAGTTATCGGCCCAAATCAATAAGTTTCTAAATATGGACTCAAAATTAGAACCTTTTCATTTTTGGTTCAGTCAAGTTTTCAAAAATAGCCATTCCTTGAATTCCAGCTAAATTAACACTCATACTTTATTACACTGGTGAACCAGAAAGCTTGAAGAAGAGAAAAATGGAGGCGGCCAGTTTCACTTCTGCTTCATCAACGACGACACCGGTTTCATCTTATTCCTCCACTTCTCAGTCTCTCCGTTTCCTACGTTACAAGCCTAATGCGAAACCTCTGAATTACAAATCTTCCAGAAGCTTCTCAGTCCGCGCTTCCGCCACCGGTGCCGATGATTCTGGTCTGTTTATTAATTTTCTATTTCTCATGTTGAGTACTATTAATCAATGAGCAAAAACACTTATACACTGTTAATTATATGTAGAATGATGGCTTAATTTGATGATAAGCAGCCTATGAGATTGTAATGCTTGTTGCTTTAATTGTTTTGCAGTGGTAACTGTACTTGATTATGGTGCTGGCAATGTGCGGAGTCTCAGGAATGCAATTAAACATCTCGGTTTCGACATCAAAGATGTACTCTCTCTGCTTTTGCTGTTGTGGCTTTTATTTCTAACTTGAGTATTTAAATTGAGGTCTATTTGTAGGAAATTAAGAGAAATGCAAGTCAAAGATGAATGTATTATGTATATATCGCACCAAATTAGTTTTCCATATGCACATCATTTACTTAGTTCAGTGGTACTTTTATGTTCATACAAATGAAGTTTGCACTCTTATAAAGTAGTGGAACTGTATACAAATGAAGTTTGCACTCTTATAAAGTAGTAGAACTGAAATTACCGCGGCTTCTTGTTTCCCAGTGTCTTGGTGAGCAACAATGAATGGATTTTCAGTATATCTGCCCTTCATATGTTCTTTTCTTTTTGTCATATCAACCTTTAAGTGTTTGTATTTCGAGAATTTTCTCTTTGTCATATCAACCTTAAGTGTGTGTACTTCGAGAATTTGAGTATATGCATGCCCCTTAATCTCTGTTTTTTAACTGATGAATCATGGAATAATTCTTAAGTTTAATTATTGTGGGGAGGTGTGCAAAGTTTACTACAAGAGCGTGCCAAAGCCAAAATGAAGAAAGTATGCATGCATCTTCAGTTTTGTTTACTCTCTTTCCGTACCTCTTTCATTATTATTTTTGATCAAGCTCTTTGCATACCTTTTCTTTTTCAATGTCTTCCAGGTCCAAACACCAGAGGACATTTTGAAAGCAAAACGACTCATTTTTCCTGGAGTTGGTGCTTTTGCTCCTGCCATGGATGTGCTAAACAAGAAGGGGTATGGTTTTCATTCATATTACGCATAGGGACGGAATTGTTTATTTGTTCAGTACTTCTTATTGTAAATAAACATTTAAATTACTATATTGCCATATGAGAAATTCAAAACTTAAGCATGGTTTTGGCCTTTGGGATAATACAGCCTCTTGCTACATATACATGTAAAAAGATAGTATTTGTTTGAGAGTGATCAACCATTATTTTGTATTTACTGTTTTTTCTGCAAAAAAGTACTAATAAAGACTCACCAACAACATATTTGACGAACCAGTTAAAAATACATTGTACTAATTTATTTTAGTTAAAGCTTTTGCAGCAATAAGAACATGTCTGCAGAAAGTTCGTGCATATCTCTATTTTGTTCTTTCTGTTTAATTTTCTCATTCCATATTATTTTTTTCGGCTTCGCTGAAAATTATGGGGAAAATTGTTCTGCAGAATGGCTGAAGCACTTTGTGCTTACATTGAGCAAGATCGCCCATTCCTAGGCATTTGTCTTGGACTGCAGCTACTTTTTGAGTCAAGTGAAGAAAATGGACCAGGTCACAAACTAACATTAAGTATATTTATGGCTTTAGACATTTGATATTAACTGAGTTCTAGTGAAGTGGCTTTTATCTAAGTGTAAAGAGGGACCTCATGCAGCAAGATGCTTAACTTATGAACTATAAGGTTAATGTATGCTGCAATAGCAGACAGGATCACTTTAGTATTTAAAATGGTTGTATATTTTGGAATGTATTATCATGGATGAGGATCCAAGGCGTGCAGTTGTAGCTACAAGAATTTTACTACGAAAGGAAATGAGATTGGGCCGTCCACCAGCTTTACATTGTTACCTTATTGATGTCATACATTGAGTCCTTTGGTTTCACTTTTCCAGTTGCAACTATATTTTGAATTTTGATAATAATTTCATTGCATAATCCATCTTCCAAATTCAAGTGATTGTTACACTCTAATAATGTATCTCTATTTGCTTTCCCTCAATTTCATACACCGTTTTAACATATAGCCGCTTCATCTGAGAAATTGACTTTGTAACACGTTTATCAGTAAAGGGTCTAGGTTTGATTCCTGGAGTAGTTGGACGTTTTGACTCTTCTAAAGGGATCAGAGTACCTCACATTGGCTGGAATGCACTTAAAATAGCAAAAGATACTCAAATTTTGGATGACGTTGGAAATTCACATGTCTATTTCGTACATTCTTATCGGGCAATGCCGGTACTAATTCTCATTGAGTAAATATATATTGACAGTGATTCCATCCTCTTTTTTCTAATTTTTTAAGTTCATTTAGTACATACACAAGAAGTTTGATTCTAACATTTCTCCTAATTTAGTCAGATGAAAATAGAGAGTGGATATCATCGACCTGCAAGTACGGTGACGATTTCATAGCATCCATTCAGAAGGGAAATGTCCATGCAGTTCAGTTTCATCCTGAGAAGAGTGGTGGTACAGTGACTTCCTCAAATGTTTTGAAGCATGAAAGAAAAGAAACAATTATGAAAAAATTCTTGTTAACCTAATTATGTTTGATCAATTTAAATTATGTTTTATCTGATGAATGTAGCATAGAAGGCATGGAAGTGATCATAATGTAAGCACAGCCCTCCAAACATCAACGGAGAATTTGTTAAGGATATAGCCAAAAAAATTTCTAAATCATTAACAATATTATAGGCCCTTTTAACCTTTTGCATGTCGTTCATTGATACTTAAATTTGTTTTCTCATTTTTGAAGAGCACAGAAATGACCCTCGTTAATTTTGACCTTTATGGTTAAACACAATATTAAAGTTGTAAATAAAGAGAGAGAGAGAGTATGTGTGGGCGCGCACACACACAAAAAGAACAAAAACATGTGATATATACACAAGCACACACACACAACCCCTTGAGCTTTAATTTTTGTCTTCTTATAATCAGTATATCCTTAAACTGGTGGAGTAATGTTTCCAGATGTTGGCCTTTCTATATTGAGGAGGTTCTTGAATCCAAAATCCGGGAGAACACAGGTATTAGTGATGCTTATGCCTTAATGCTTTACTTCTCAAGTTAACTGTTCAAAGCATCTAACACATGAAAGCTTCACGCAAGACAGAAGCTAGTCCAAGGGAATGCCTCTAAACTTGCAAAACGGGTAGGTCATAGTTGTCTTAGTAGGAATTTGATTCTCAGGATTTTTGATTTATTTGTAATGCTAAAGTTAGTGAATTTGTGACTACTTAGGTTATTGCATGTCTTGATGTGAGGACAAATGATAAGGGTGACTTGGTTGTAACCAAAGGAGACCAATACGATGTTAGAGAGAATACAAAAGAAAATGAGGTAAGTGAGCATTAGTCATTGTTTAACCATCAGCTCCTTTTGAACTCTGTCAGTTCAAATTAATCTTTTAAGCTGTTCAACGTTGGAGTTGGTCTGCAGATAGTTGAAAGTTAACACTATAAATTACAAACTCTCTTTAGAAAAACTAAGAGCCGACAAAACTTATTTAGAAAAGGAGGTCATCAAGAGATGTAAAAAAGATTACGAGGAAAATAAACTTTTGTCATTTTTCTTTATCGAAAAAATAAAGGGATTTATTCTTCCGCTGTAAAAGGGAAAAAAATTGCTAGTTCTTATTTTTTGTCAAATCTATTGCTCTGAGATTAGAAAATGGAAGCTAAAAAGTTGTAAGTTTTTAGGTTAGCAGACCTGGTGGCACTTTGTGATAAGTGGTTCTGGACTCATACTTGTAAGTTATCTAAATGAAAACAGAAGGAACAATAGAAAAATAATGAGGAAGCTTGTTAGCTAGCTGGTTTGTGTCCTCAAAGGTTCTTGGTGTCAGGCACTTGATTCTTCTTTTTTGAGGATAAGATACCGAGGAGGTACCCAAAAACATACAAGCTTTTGTATAGCTGTATCAGTTAGATTTCTAAAACACCTATAAATTCCATCAGCTGATCTAAAGTTATCTACTATATCTCCCTTACACCAAAAGTATAAATTTTGTAGACGTCTACTCTTTAAAATCCCATGTGGATGTCTTACTTGATTCTATTTTTCCAATACATTCCTTTATTTGAAAATGATTGTCTTTCCTGAAGGTGAGAAACCTTGGCAAGCCCGTGGATCTTGCTGGACAGTATTACAAGGATGGGGCAGATGAGGTTTATCTTAGCATTAGTTATCTGTAACTCTATGTTACTCTAACCTGACCCTAGACTAATTAGTTGCTTTCTGTGGTTTAGGTCAGCTTTTTAAATATTACTGCTTTCCGAGACTTCCCCTTGGGCGATCTGCCAATGTTGCAGGTGTGTTCTTTAGTTCAATATTCTGATTAATCGTTCCCGATCAAGAGGATGTTTTGTGATAGTTTGTTCTATTTGATTTGCCATTTAGGTATTGAGGTATGCATCAGAGAATGTTTTTGTGCCATTAACCGTTGGAGGTGGTATTAGAGACTTCAAAGATGCGAATGGCAGGTTTATGGCTATTTGTTATCCTGTTCATACCATCAATAATCATTTGCTTTGAATCTTCCAGATTGTTTGCCTAAAGCTGAGTTGAAAAATTGAATAATGTTAGTAAGGGATTGTGGACGATGTTCAAACTTCACTAGTTGACATATAAACTTACTCGCAGATACTACTCTAGTTTGGAAGTTGCTTCAGAGTATTTTCGTTCTGGGGCAGACAAAATTTCTATTGGAAGTGATGCTGTTTATGCTGCGGAAGAATACTTAAAATCTGGAGTATGTGAAAGTTAATCTGTTTATTTTCAACAAAAAATGCTTCCTTATTTATAGTAACGTCAATCTGTTTATCGTTTCACTTACTGTCTTTGAAGGTGAAAACTGGAAAGAGCAGTCTAGAGCAGATCTCTCGAGTTTATGGAAATCAGGTTGATTTGAAGCCATGTTAAACTTTATGCTAGTTTCTTCAGATAGTGATGTCTGATAGTAATTATAACACATTTGTTGTGTCACTATCCTAGATTGAATATCTTAGTTTCCAATTTTCTTCTCTCTTCAGTCATCACTAGTGGTGGAAAATGGACGGGTTGGGTCAAATTTGGTCGGGTTGAAAATGGGTCAACATAAAATGGGTAATAATTCAATCCGCCCATATTTGATATGGGTAAAAATGGATTGGGTAACAAATGGATTGGGTAAAATACTAGTTTACCCATATTTTCATGTATAAATAGTACTCTACTTAAGAATTCAACATGGAGAAAATATTTTATTTTTTTTAGATGAAAAATGTTGAAAATGCCTCATTTAGTTTTATTGTATCATAAAAGTAAAAAAAATCCTAGCTTTTCAATGTAAAATAAATTTATATAATAACAAGGGGAAAATATTTTTAATTTCAAAGTAAATGAATAGTTGCATTTTTGGACTAAAACATGCTTAATGCACTTTAAGGCTTAAGCAATGTCAATACTAATACATGATTTGCTTATTTTATACTATTATTTAATCTCCAATATAAAATTAAATAAATATAAAAATATAATTATAATTAACAAAAGAAATGTCCATTTAAAATATATATTTTTGGAGGGCCAAAGACTTCACCTTTTCAATTATAGAGAAAAATAATTAGTTCTATAGAAGAACATAAAAAGGAGGAGAAGTTTCAATTTTTTTTAGTGATATCATGAATTTTGAGTGAATAGAAGTTAGAAGCTCAACTCATTTGACTTATCCATATTTTACCCATATTTTTATGGGTTGAATATGGGTATCAACCCATATTTTACCCATGTAAAAAGTCATTCACCCAACCCATTAAAATATGGGCGGGTTACCAAAATATGGGCTCATTTTGCAGGCACTAGTCATCACCGATGAAGAGTGACTCAGACATATTAGTCCATAAGTGCTTTTCCTTATCTGCTTGCTTTCATATATGAATAGCATACTCATTATTTAGTGGGCAAGTTGTGCAAGAAAAATATTGTAATTGGTTGGATGTGTTGTGATATTGTAGGCAGTAGTTGTAAGCATTGATCCTCGAAGGGTGTACGTAAAGGACCCCAAGGCTGTGGAATTCAGGACTGTGAAAGTGAGAAACCCAGGTAATTGCATTCAGATATTCTCTTCCAAAGTAATTTAGTAGTTTACCTGCATCCAGTGTTTCCTCATAGAAAGAGAAATCATTTGCCCAAGAACGGCTTAAAATCACATTATCACTTGACCAAGAAAAAATGGGGCAAGAAGGTAATGACTGAAGTGTGTCTACTGGTTTCAGGTCCAAATGGAGAAGAATATGCATGGTACCAGTGCACGGTGGGCAATGACTCTTTTTTGTTAAATTACAAACCGTTATTCTTGTAATCTCATTCTCTTATTGGTGTCACATGGAATATCAAGATTGTTTTTCAAGGTTGATAGTTTTTATATATTCACCCTAAGTTCAATTTATTTATATGTTTCAAGGTGAGTGGTGGGAGAGAAGGCCGCCCTATTGGAGCTTATGAGCTTGCGAAAGCTGTTGAGGAATTAGGAGCTGGGGAGATACTGCTAAACTGCATTGATTGTGATGGTACGATGTTCATGAATTTGACGTATATATATCCTACATTCGAGGTCGTGTTAGAATGGGTCTGAAGATGGTCAATGCGCCATAATTTGGTATTTCTACATATTCGCCAAGCAACAGTAGCTGTAGGGATGGCAATGGGGAGGTGCGGGGTGGGGGTGGGGCGGGTTGAGCTTAACCCGCAAATTTTTTAATCCGCCCCGCATAACAACTTTTTTCCTTTTCAACCCGCCCCGCATAACAACTTTTTTCCTTTTCAACCCGCCCCAACTTTTTTAATATTTTTTTTTTCTAGTTAAGTTTCTAAAAATAAAATTCATAAAAATAAATTCTTTTTTTCATTAAGTTGTATTAATTTAATAGGATAGTAACTTAAAAATTTATTTTTTAGAGGTCAATTGGAAAACATGTAAGAAATTGTATTATTTTGATATTGAATCATTTTCATTTACTATCTTGAATATTTTAGTAGATTTATAGAAATTATCTTAATAAATAATGCTCTATCACTCTTATAACATGTAAAAACTTAAAATTAAATTTGAACCCACATAAAATCACATATACCCATAATCCGCCTTGCCCCGTATTAATTTTAAAAAAAGTCCACTTCAACCCGCCCGCCCCGCACAACCTTAAACTTGCCCTGCCCCATATAGCCTTAAACCCACCCCGCCCCACTGTCATCCCTAAGAGTAGGATTTGCATGTCTTTTTTGCTTTTGTTTGTCCAGAAATTGTTCCCATTGCACTAGAAGGGAGTTGTTTTAGAAGCAAAGAAATAAAAAACTCCCTTTTGTAGTAGCAGTTCAAATCTGTGAAAAGTCAAAGAAAGCTTCATCTTTGAACCCATTACTTGCCTTGTATTTAAAAGTTTTTTTAACAAATGGTAAAATTGGATGGGAGGAGTATTTGCTACATTACGCCTTCCTTGTGTAATTATTTTTCTATTTCTCCCTTCTTAACTTACATGGTGTGATCCATGGTACTTGTGAATGGAACCATACAAAACCTGCATAGTTGGCCACTCTTAATATGACTTTTTTTATTGCCTTAGGACAGAATTTTCATTCACCCATTAGCTCTACTCCAATGCTTGCAATTTTGTGTTTTTTTTTTTTTCCATTCTTGTTAGGATAACAGATTGGTCATTCAACCTGTGCGTTCCTTTTTCGCTCTTTGCAAGAATCCGCTTCATGTATTTGTGTGACATTGTAACCCCTAATTATTGCTCTTCTTATGCTTTTTCAGGTCAAGGAAAGGGATTTGATATAGACCTAATTAAGTTGATTTCAGATGCTGTAAGCATTCCTGTGATTGCAAGCAGTGGAGCTGGAGCTGTTGAACACTTTACAGAGGTCTTCAGAGAAACAAACGCTTCTGCTGCCCTTGCTGCTGGAATTTTCCATAGGAAGGAGGTAAGATGACTATATTAAACAAATTTTTCTTTTTGTGCCTTTAAGTCGATCAATGTTCAGTTTCTGTGAGCTCGATAACAAAAGAGATTGATTGGCAGAAGTTAGATGAGAGACACGTAAATCTTTGGATAATCAATAAAAGGTAGATGCCGATGTCTCTGCTGAGTGCTGGCAGCATGCACCTCTTCAGAGAAAGCAGATATCTACGATTTGTGTTTAACGAGCAAAGCCTCACCTATAAAGGGGATTTTAATATTTTCTTAAATGGATCTAAGGAATATCTGTCGGTTGTTAGCATAATTAACCTCTCTTGAAAATGCCTTTTTATTTCTTCCAGAAGTGTATATTTAAGTGACATATATGACTTTAAACAAAGCCATGTGTCATGTCCCGCCACTTTGCCAATTTAGAGTTGTGGAGAGGTTTATGGAGAACTCTAGAACTCTTAGATATTTTCGAGAAGGCTTTAGAATTCTCTAGAACTTGTAGAGAATTCTATAATGTGGATCGAAGTGTAAATATAGAGGGAGAATTCTAGAGTTTTGGAGAGGTTTATGGAGAACTCTAGAACCTCCTAACTATTTTCAAGAAGGCTTTAGAATTCCCTAGAACTTGTAGATAATTCTAGAATGTGGACCAAAGTGTAAATATAGAGGGAGAATTCTAGAGATATGGAGAGGTATATGGAAAACTCTAGAACCCCTAAATATTTTCAAGAAGGCTTTAGAATTCCCTAAAACTTGTAGAGAATTCTAGAATGTAGACCAAAGTATAAATATAGAGGGACTTGTATTGTAAATATTATTTACACAAAGGCCCCTAGGAAGTAGTATAAATAGAGGGTCTCTCATTTGCAAACTCATCCAACAAAGTGTAAAGCATTCCACAATCAATACAAAGCCTTCTTTCAAAGTTCTTCTACTTAGTTTCAAAGGGCTTACTTGAGCTTACAAGATCACAAGACTTTAGTGAGACTCTAAGTCCGTGACACATGGTACAAAAGGATGCAGTACAGATCCTCATGTTTCATCCCGAACCCCACCCACCACCTCATACACACTTAACACTAACGAGATAGTAAAAATGAACATAAATATGGTTGAACTAGAGTTTTTGGGAGGGAAGTGTTTGTTTAAAACTAACCTACAACATGTATTAATTCTGGAATACAACATGAATAACTTGTTTCTTGTCTATTTACCAAACGTGGTATAATAACATAAAACAATTCTGAGATAAAACATTTTTAAGTTCCCTGTTGTAATATAGGCACACATAATATGGAGCTCTGATGTAGCTTGTATAATTTGTCTCTTTAATTTCAGGTTCCGATCCAAGCTGTGAAAGAGCACCTGTCAGAGGAAGGCATAGAAGTTAGAATGTAACCACATTTTTGCTATCGAGCAACTCGATATGCAGTCCTATCCTCTGCCACTCCTTGTTACTTGATGTTTATACCATTGACTATCAGTTTCTTTTATCTTGTTGCTGCAAACGAAGCATTTTTCAATATCTTGCACTTGTAGCCTCGTGCCATTTTTGAACAGATTATTATGTAAAATTATATTGCTAAATTATTTGTGTACACTTTATGCAGTATATCAGTTTTTACTAGGACATGTATGTGGGTTATTAGTTCTGAGTATCATTGTGAATGAATGAATATACATTTCGTTGACTGTGAGGAACAAAGTTCACAAATTTCTTAGCTAATATTAATTTCCTATTTGATCGTGATTTGATTTTTATATTCTTTGAACTCCTAGCAATCAATATTGTTCATAACACATCCTTAATAATGTGGCTTGTGACACTGTAAAATGTTTATTTAATGCAACAAAAACTTTGTTTAATCGGTTACAAACTTTGTTTACATACATATATTTTGATAATTGATTTACAAACTGGAGTTTGTTAAGAGAATGAATTTTTTGGGTTTACCTTAACTATTTGAGCAACGGATTGTTGGAAGCTGGGATGCATGTTGACTTCTTTAAATTATGACATAAGCTATAGGCCTGGCTGCTTTACTCACTCCAAGAGCCATAGTCATGAAAACAAGAGTCAATAAATTGCAAGAAAATTGGGGCAGTGCATGTTGGACTAGTCTGTTTTAAAGTGTTCTATATATTAGACTAGGTCGACCAAAAGATATATTATTTTTGTATTTACATCTAAGTGTCAACTTACAAAGCATATTTATCATAAAGTTTTAGATTCGGCCAACCTTTAGAATGTCAAGAGGAAGATAATGTGCGTTATAATTCAAATTTTATGAAGGTTTTTAATTAAGTGGATAAATTTTCATCCATTAAATATTACTGTTACAAATATAATATTTATGTTAAGTTTTGGTTCTCACATTAATTATCTTCAGCTATATTATATCTCTAATATATATATGTAAACTCTTGGTTTTGTGTATAATTATATCTGGTAAACTCACTTTATTTCTTTCACTAAATACGAACACCAACAATGAAAAGTAAGGATTCTTCAACCCTTTTTTGTCTTCTTAAACTAATATTACGTATTAATATTTTAGACTATTTATTTATTTTAACATGTTGTAACAGATAATTTACTTGTTATTAAATACTTATATACGTATTTTATTTTCATGCAGTGTCAACACAATATTCGAAGGCATTTATTTTTCTAATTTTTTTGGGAGTATTTGCACGTGACACGTCAGCTAGAAAACTCCAGGGAGATGCAGTAGCTACAGTCTTTGAGATTCCTGTTGAAAATGGCGTAGGATTTGGTCAAATTATAGGAGGAGCTGGTGGCAGTAGTGAAGGTGGCGGCGGCGGCGGCGGTGGAGGTGGTGGTTTTAGTGGTATAGGTGCAGGATTTGGATTTGGCTTCGGTAGTGGCCAGGGATCAGGTAATGGCGGTAGCGGCGGCGGTGGTGGAGGTGGCGGTGGAGGTGGAGAGAATGGAGGACATGGTGCAGGAATTGGGTTCGGCTACGGTAGTGGACAGGGGTTAGGTTCCGACGGTAGGAGCGGTGGTGGAGGAGGTGGCGGAGGCGGAGGTGGCGGAGGCGGAGGTGGCGGCGGAGAGAATGGTGGTAATGGAGGACATGGGGCTGGATTTGGCTACGGCAGTGGTCAAGGATTGGGTTTAGGCGGTAATGGCAGCAACGGAGGTGGCGGCGGTGGTGGCGGAGAGAACGGTGGTAATGGTTATGGATTTGGTATCGGAGAAGGTTTCGGCGGTGGTGGAATTTGATTCAATAAATTTGCATGGGGGAGTTGGAATAGGATGAACACGAGCCAATGCATGGAGTACAAGTCATGATGCATGCATTAAGAACTATTCATGCATGCTTTTACTTCTTCTTTTCTTTCTTAGCTTAATATTATGTACTTTGTGTTTCCAATTGGTAATATAATAATTTCCTCTTCTTAATTTCACTCTAAATTGTAAGCGCTGGTTGGATTTGCACATATTATAAAAAGGGAGTTCAAAATTCATATGGTAACCACTTTCACCTTTAACTCTAAGATCGTAAATTCAAGATCATCGAAAGACCAAAAATAAGTAGGAGGTATTTTTGTCATCCATTGTCTCCCTCTTGTTGCTCCATGTCCATTTAGGGAAATGTATGTGGAGATGCTAAAGCTTGGAGAAGAACTTGAATTAATCATATTTTCTTTCTTGGATCATTCTAACATTAATTGAAGTCCCATATTTGGAACATCAATAATACTAAAAACAAGTTCAAAATCTAGACTCTTCCAAAAATATTATGATGCAAAAAATAAAAACTTAAACCCCATAAAAAAAATTGCCTTAGAAGGAGCAAAAATTGAAGACTAGCACAAACAAGGAGCAAAAGTGTAAATGACCCAATTATCTATGTAAGATCACAAATCGCAATAAAGATCCCCATTTAAAAATTGAAAGGCTCATAAATGCCCTTTAATAAGAACGCACCAACATGGGATAGTGGTATGGTGAGATTGCTTCGAAGCTCCATGGAGAAAATCTTGTTGAGAACGGAGCTCCAAACACCAGGTGAGAAACCCAAAATGGAAAACATATGCTATCCCCACCCACATCACACACACACAAAGCAGGTGATAGCAATTTAAATCAGTATTAAAATAATGGGACCAACATGATGAATATTCAAACGTGTATGAACTCCAATACAGAATAAAATACTATAGCCAAAAGGCAAATGCAAGTGTGTGCCAATTCAAAGAAAGTTCAAGTTGGTTTAATATTTGAAACGAGAAATAAATATCATGCAAAGTAAATATAGTTGTGAAAAAGGGTGAATGGGAAGGAACGCAAAATCTTTATGGTTCTATCTGCAAATCTCAAATACAGCTGTGGCTGCAATAATCAGAGGACCAAAGCAACACCTCAGGCCAACAAAACTCTGATATTGCCATTTATTCTGGTTCTATGATTGAGTTGTACACTTAGGTATACCCCCGGACGGATCAAAATCAAAAGCCAGATGTTGTTGCCAATCTTCAAACATCAAGGAGCAAGCGACGGGGATCTTCCACCACATCCTTAATTCTTCTCAAGAAGAACACTGCCTCTCTTCCATCGATCAGCCTATGATCGTATGTCAGAGCAATGTACATCATTGGTCTAGGAACAATATTGCCTCCAACGACCATTGGGCGACTGACTATTGAATGCATTCCCAAGATAGCAGACTACAAAATCAAGCAGCAAATTTTTGATGGTGAGATGTCTCTATAACTATAAGGTAATTGCAATCACTTCCTACGATACATACCTGGGGAGGATTTATGATAGGGGTACTGATAAGACTTCCATACACTCCACCATTTGAAATTGTGAATGACCCTCCAGCCATTTCATCAATAGATATGCTCCCATCATTTGCCTTCTTAGCAAGCGTGTTAATTGTCTTTTCTATCTCAGCAAAATTCATCTGCTCAGCATTGCGGATAACTGGAACAACAAGACCCTGAGCAAGGAGAAAAAAAGATACTTCATATCATGCCTAAAATCTCTCTCTTGCAGTTCTCATTTTACTTTCGACATCTATGAAAACACTGCCAAAAACTCAAAAAGTAGAGCATATAAAAGAGAGTTTGCAGGACAAATTGAGACTGATTAGGAATTATGCAAGACTGGCTAATCTGAAACTTGTGCTAGCTTACCTTTGGTGTACCAACAGCGATACTGATGTCTATATAATCCCTATATATGATGTCATCACCATCGATAACTGCATTAACTATTGGCTGATTCTGGAGTGCGCTAACTGCTGCCTGAAATTTATATAAGCATTTTAGGCCAGATTTTGACAATGAATATGTAAAAACAAACAGAAAGTAGTCCTCTCCGTACTTTCACAAATCCAGACATGAATCCTAACTTCACTCCATGCTTTTCAACAAAGGCATCTTTGTAATCAGAGCGGAGCTTCATCAAATTTGTCCTGAATAGGGCAACAATGAAAAAAGAAATACAACATAAGGTCAACACAGATGCAAAAAAATACGATATCACATATGATAAATGCCCACACCCCTCCTAGGTCAAAACAGAGACCAATCTGCTTCTAGGAAAATAAATTGGAAAAGGCAACTGAAGTTTATAACCTTCAATTCCTAGATCAATTTTCTGTTTCTCTAAACGTATGATAAGGTGCAGAAATATTAGCACAAAAAGATAGTGTCTTATACAAAATCAAAGTCCAAACTTACATATCAACTTCATTGAATGTTGTCAGCAAAGCAAATGTGTTCTGAGAATCTTTCAAACGTGTGGCAACTCTTTTTCTGAGCCTGGTCATGGGAACCTGTCATCAAAACAGATTATAGAAGATAACACACAGTAAGTGCCAAGTTACATAAACGAGTAGTGCCATGACAATGAGATTACAACAGCATTAGCTATTGACTCACTCGTCTTTCCCGTTCTTTGGGAGGAAGTTGGAGCTCTGTAGGCGAGTGTTTAGGGGGTGGAGGTGAACTTCCCTTACGCTTCTCCTTGACGGGAGTCGTCTCAACTTGAGGTTTTGCCTTTTCCTCTTTCTTATCCTCAGCTGGAGGAGCTACTTTCTCAGAGGACTTCTCAGATGGAACAACATGTTCCACACCCTCACCAGATTTTGAAATGATAGCAACTTTATTGCCTGGTTCGACAGTGTCCCCTTCCTTGGCTACAAACTACAGATATTCAAAACCAGATTCAGCAGTTGTCGATCAAAAAACAAAATGTAATAAACTAGGTGGTCGGAGGTTGAGCAAAGCAGAGTTCCAGTGCCAAAGATGTTCTACCTTTTGGATTACACCAGCTTCCGGACTGGTAACATCAATGGTTACCTGTCAAATAAAGATCATTCAAATATAAGTGCCATTGATCTCCAGAGAGACCTGAGATAATGTGATCGAAATCAACTAAAATTAGAAGCTAGGTACCTTATCCGTTTCAATCTGAGCAATTGGCTCATCAATTTCTACTCTGTCACCAACATCTGCCCATATAGAAGGAAACATGAAAAAACAGTAAGTACAGAGACTCTATGAATACTACTGCATATAAAATAGATCAGAGACCACATCAATAAGGACATACTCTTCAGGAACTTGGCCAGTGTCCCATCACTTATGGATTCACCCATATATGGAACAACAGCGTCAACGGTATCACCTTCATTACAGTTATTGACAGGCAAATAAAAGAAAAAATAGTGAGTAACTGTAGCAATACAGAATAAGGGAAAAGGAATGGCAGAGAAAAGGAGAAAGAAAATGAAAGAACAATTAAAATATAAATGGAAGCTTTCAATACATTATTGCATGATATATTAAGAATTCCAACATTGTTTAAACTGTAAACGAAGTGCCAATTTCCACCTAATTCTTAATTTCTTCTACTCCACCAGATGCTAGGCTTTAAGATAGGGTCATTAAACTAATTGAACTAGCTTCTTATCATAAATTCTTTAAACAATAATGATTTCCACTTATTGAAAAGAATCATATTGACATCTGTGACCCTTGGATGCGAAGGCAACATTGGAGTGATCACGTAGTTCCTATGCGGCGAAGATGATGGACAGGCCCTTCTTGATGGCATCAATGTTGATGATAATGGCAGTCTTGATCCTAGAGATGATACAGAACTTTATACGGAGTTGAAACTGCTAACTACCTATATTTTTTTGAAATTGAGCTAATTAGTTATATCCTCCAGGTAGATAATGCAAATACTTCTTCCACTTCCAAACAGAAATTTGCAAAGGACCACAACTAACAGCCAATCATTTGGTACAATAATAGGAAATCAAAAGATACCTCTCACACTTTTAAGTATCTATAATATAATTCTATATAAGACCGCAATCCCAAAAAAGAGGAAAAGAAAGGGTAACTTCAATAAACTATGTGAAGATAACAATAATTTAGAAGAGAAGGTACAACTGACTTAGGAATATCTAACTGATAATTCATAAGTTCAAAAGTGCTAAAGAATACATGTGATGGGAGTTGGGACCATGATCAACTGCAGGAACAATACCAAGAGACCAAGTTACATATTTGAACAATATTATATTCAGTGTAAGCATGTCATGACTAATTTCATTTGCATCAGTGTTCCAGCCAAGCTTAATAAATTATTAGAAAAATATACCACTATTTGCACAGAAAGTTCTGCTCCAATTTGATAGTATTGGACTTGAGCAAAGATTGGTCACAGCCCTGCAAGCAATGCACTAATTCATATAACCAACTGGTGCGTGTGTGTGTGTGTGTGTGTGTGAGAGAGAGAGAGAGAGAGAGAGAATGAACATATCACCAAGTCTCGTATTTTTTCTAATTAACATACAACAACAAATATGCCTCAACCCAAACAAGTTAGGTCGGCTATATGAATCCAAGCATCACAACAAGGTAATAATTGATGTATCTGAACATTCCCAACGCCTATACACTTCAAATTGGGTAAAATACATATTATAAATTAGGACAATATATGATTTTTGGTTGGACCAAAAATCAAGTATCTAGGCTTCATTAGTAGAGCACAACTAAAATTGTTAACATATATAATTATCTTGATTGCTATCCCTTTTTAAATTTGCATGGAAATTCAATATAATCTTCTTCATGTCAAGACTTCTTCAAGTGTTTTATAAGTTAGCCAATCAAATTGCATTAGCCGATTATTTGCTAGGAGTCTTTTTAATTGGTTATAAGGGAAAATGTGACATTCAGAGAAAGAAATAGCAGAATTTTTAAGGCAAAAAGAAGAAACATACAGTGCCTTAGATTTAGATGCGTTTTGGTGCAAACTAGCTTTTGATCATCAAGTTGTAGATGATATTTTAGACACAATAGCTGATTTGCACAACTTGTAATTACACCAATTGCACTGGCTTAGTTCAAATATTTTATACAACATATTATATACACATAAAAATAAAAAGTGGCACTATTGATATCACTTTAGGACATCCCAAATGCTTCAAGACAATTTCAAAATATATGAAGTTGTGCACAACAAACTAACTAATCACACAAACTTCAACAACCTTCCATAGTGCAAGTTATTTAACTTGTTGTCTCTTTTGAAAATCAAGCTATGTGACATGCACACACTATCATTATCACACAGGTAGTACATTCACTAACAGAGGTCCACTATCTCCATCTCCTCTAAGGACATGCACACACTGGCACTCCAACACAGAGTAATTAATTGGAGTGTCTCAACTTTTAGTTACTCATTCAACCAAATGAAAATACAAAGCAGATCCAACAACACCGATTACGTCCCTAAGAAATGCAGATAATAAAACTATAAAGCAATGGAAAATTCTACCGAGTTTGACCTCGTCAGAGAAAAATAGAATGGCTACTTCGATAAATACATTGTGCATTTATTCATGCTCTAAGATTCAAATAACATATGAAAGATGTTTAGCAATAATATATACTAACCTTTCTGGGCGCAAATTTGATGAGCACCCTGGATTAAGAAGTAGGAGCTCATTATAATAGCACACCAGTATAAATGCACTGAGTCATCATAGATTAATTACACGTACCAGGCAGCACAAGCTGATTGAAATTTCGCACATGACCACATTGTCTAGTAAGCAATGATATCTGTTCTCATTTTCAAAATATGTCATCACAACCTTTTAAATGGGATTAGAAATAAAAACAGCAGCAAGACAAATAGCATGAAGGCTCATGTTCAATACAATGAGGCGGAGGACAAAAAATAAGAGTCTGAATGGTTAAGTATCAGAAGGGTTGCCATAGACAGTATGTCATGGAATCTGAATAGCTTACTAAGTCAGAGCATGATGTTATAGAATCGATCACAGAAAAAAGGCTAGTACCAATACATTGCATAAGGAGAAAGTAAGGATAGCCACATGCAATCTTAACAATAGTTATGATAAGAGTACGACACTGTAAAATTTGAAACTGTTGTATCAAAATCTTGATAAATTTAAAATTTACCATACTAGAGTCTAGAGAAAACAATAATCCTTTTCCAGATAACTTGTACCAATATCAAACAGGTTCTGTCACATTTATTTATCAATAGTATGAACTACCAATTGATGAAGATCACATATTTCAAAATTGTGGATATAAGCAATGTGCTTATCTGCACCCAAAGGTATAGCATAGCCTAGTGGTCAATGAAGTGGGTTGAGAACCATGAGGTCTCATATTCAAAATTTCAATAGGGACAAAAGGACGAAGTGATTTCTTTTGGATAGAGTTATCTGGTACCAGTTGCTTGTGGGAGGTGATAGGTATCACGTGAAATTAGTCGAGGCGCGTGTAGGCTAACCCGGACACCGCGGTTATAAAAAAAATGTGCTTATCCCAAAAAATGGCCGAAATTTAACAACATGCCATGAACTTGGCTTGAGCTAAATGGAAAAATGTTCGTATTTTTTTTTGCCAAAACATATTCCAAAATCAATTTAATAAAAATCTCACCTCCATAAAATAGCAATTTATCTTTGTATCCTATTAAGAACTCCGACCACTTAAATGAAAAAAAGAGGATAGTTCATAAATAGACATTACCTCTTCTGCTGCAGCAGATGGAATTCTAGATTTACATACTGCAGGTCGAACCGTATGCAGAGATTTCCTTACACACTGGTCCACCAAAATCAATAATTTCAGCAACTCATTATACAAATATATGCAATTAATACATCAAAACAAACGCAGTAAAACTACATCAGGATTCATACCGAAGTAAAAGAGGCGCTAGAAATAGCTTTGCGCCTTAAAACACCTAACATCGCAGCTCTCGATCTCTTAGAACTGTTCAATCAATACAACAAAAAATCAAAAAAAAAAAATCTACGAATTACTGTAAACAGATCTTGCGTAATATGAGAAAATGAACAGTGAGAATGAAGATTTTGGACCTGATATTAATGGAAGAAGAGTGAAATTTGAAGAGATTGTAGGGTTGGAGAAGAAGGCGCCGATTGAATTTTCGCCCACGAAGAACAGCTGCTTAAGCTTTCTTTATTCAGACCTGTTGTTTCCTTCTTTTTTTTTACCGTATTTCGCTATAGATGGAAAATGGAACTGGACCTGTCAGTTTGTCCTGAAAATAAGCCAAATTATTTACTAATTGACTCGTGTTTTTATTATTCGTATTTTTACGTTATATATCCATTGACCATGATTATTTTGATGTCGATCAAATATAGTAAATAAAATCCCTTTATTTGGTATGTCGTACTTCCTTCGTCTCCATTTATATGATATTGAAAATAATTTTAAATTTGACGCAAATTATTAGTTTAATGTCCGAATGATTGACAACCTGACACCTCTTTACTTAACAATAACAAGTGATTTCAACTCTTAATAAAAAATCGAGAGAAGTGTTGAAAACATTTTAAACATGGTGAGAATTTAGGGTGTATCTCACTCATGTTGCAAGATTTAAGGTGTATTTAACTCTTCAGTTAGTTAAATTAAGGATTGTTTTTAATATTATTAATAGTTCGGGATGAAAATAGCAATTCGCGTTGAGTTTAGGGGTGTTTTTCAACACTTCTTTTATTAAAAATATTCTCCATGTTTATTTTTATTTGTTCATTTTGAATTATGTACACGTCTCTTAACAAAACAATGATTAATTTGAATATTTTACGACAATACTCATATTAATTGATGTATAGCTTTAACTCTTGAAAATGATTTGAGAAAAAAAGTACCCATTGAGGTGAATTAGGAAAAAATAATTCTCTTTTCTTGATATTTTCAAATTGACAAGTAGAAGTGAATTTTATTTTTTTGAAATAGTGGATAAATAAAAGTATTGAAATGACTATTTTTAAAATTTGTAGTCTAAAATATTCCTTGACTATTTATGTGATTATAGATCATTTTATTAAGAATAATCGAAGATTTTTTTTCTTTTTGAGACGGACTAAAAAAAATTATATTGGTAAATTGAGATAGCGGGGTGTTCATGTTGGGCTACGTTAGGGATTTCAGTTTATAGGTAAGATGTTAATGTGTTATTATTAGCTGTAGCCATTTTTCAATATATATTTTAAAATATTAAATTTATTATATGTAAAAACTGATATAATTAAAATTCTCATTATGTTTCGAATTTTAAAAATGGATGTGCGTGGTTAATACTTGATCCAGATAAAAATAATCGAATAGAAATATTTATTTAAGACAATTTCATCCACAGAAATTTATAAAATATACAAATTAAAGATCGGAGAATAATTGTCATCCTATTATAATTTTTTAATAGTAAGTGGTTCGTCATTTCATAGAAGTCGCGCATAGGACCTTCACATTATGTTTTTATAACTTTGTTTAATGTTCGATCAAATTATTTACATTTTTTTTTTAAGTAGTGCTAAATGGCAAGACACTTTTTTGACATGAATTGGCAAGACACGGCGAAATGACCAAATAGCCCTTAGGTGACAAAACCACTTGTGGTTTTCTCTCAAAATAGAAAACCACTCTTTGACTTTTTCTTTCTTATTTTCTCTCTCTCTTACTTTACTCAAATTTTTTTCTTTCTTCACTCATTAGTTTTATTTTATTTTGTTGTTAGATTTATATAATTTTAATAAGATGGATCCAAATAGTCAATTAAACGAAGTATTGAATAATGTTTTGGGTTTAGATGAGGATGATAGTTTGTTGTCCCAAAATCATGAAGATTTTGATGGTGCATACGATAGGCTTGAAAAAAAAAAATTAAAAAAATCTCGTGACCTATAGACTTAAAAAAAACAACTAAAAAATACCTAAAATTGGGGACCTAAACTTATATGACATATAGACTATTCGTTTAAGTTTTAACTATTTGCGCTGCAATAACATTCATTCATAATTACGAAAGGAAATATATATACTCTCTTTCATAGTAGTTGTTTATTGAATATCACTGAGTAAAGACATAAAGTGACACCTAAAGTTGTCTCGAATTTTCAAAAAGACACTTTAACTATACGGGTGTCCTATTACCCCACAAAAGTATTGAATATCGTTGTAAAGGGGTCATTTTGACCCATTTTCTCAACTGGTTTGTGAACACGCACAATACGTGCGTGAATGTTTATTTTTTCTGATAAAACCCAATTAAAAAGTGCCACATTTCACTAGTTATCCTTATTAATTATTTAAGTGCTTTAAATCATCTTCTTCCCCAAAACATTACGTTTCAAACTCAACATTACCATTTTCAAGCTCTTCTTTATAATCATCTCCATTAACAACTTCCTTAAAGTCTCAATTGAGCAATCAATTCTCAAATTCCCTCTATTTTGAAATCCTAATTTGACTGAAAAACTCAAACCCAACAAAATTGTTCACACTTAGTAAGAAAATACCGAAACAAATTCAACCCAAAAATAGAGAAAGACAAAAATCAAAGCAAAACCCAATTACAATACCAAGAAAGAGAAACAAAAAGAGAAAGATAATTATAAGACGATTTATCGATCTTCAACAAAATTGTACTTCGAAATAACTATGTCCCAATTCAATTCTTGATTAGAGCAATAATGGCCAGTTGAGGTCCAAGCTTCTCCTCAGCAACTTTCTCAGCCTTAACTCTAAGTTTTGCCTACTGCTTTCTCCTCTCGTATGCTACCTGCGCTCTCTCCTTCCTCTTGTTCTTGAGTTCCTTGATAGAGAGACAAGAAAATGTGAAGAATTTGGAAAGCTGAGAAATAACAAAGAAAAAAAGACTTTTCTACTTTAGTAAATAATCGGGTCGGGCTGAACGGGTTGAAAAGAGTGATCATCACGCGCGACAACCCAGACGAGGGAATGAGCCAAAATGGCCCATTTACAAAGATATCAAAAAGTTTTGTGGGGTGATAGGACACTTCCAAAGTTAAGGTGTCTTTATGAAAATATGAGACAACTTCAGTTGTGCCTTTATGTCTTTTCTCAATATCACTAGTAAATTTAAAATGAGATATTGTCAATAAATATAGTCTAATAACTATTAAATGTGAAGATAATTTGATCAAAGGTTGACATGTACCATAATTAATTGTATTACCCAATTAAAACTTGATCATGCATATATAATCGCATTCAATTAACTTGTATTTGTGAGATAGCATAGCTCATGTAATACTATATCCATTACATTTATTTTCATCATAATGATTCGACTTATAATAATGAAAAATCTTCAATTTTTGTGAAACAATCCAAATATAAACTTTTACAATCTTATTTACCAAATAAAATGAATTTTAAAATTATTTAAATCATAAAAGTTTCAAATAGTCTAATTATTTTAAAAGACCTAAAATTGGAACATAACCTAGATTCGAACTCGTGACCTATAGACTATTCGTTTAAGCTTTAACCATTCGTGTTGCAATATCATTCGTTCATAATTACGAAAGGAAATTTATTTACTCTCTTTCATATCAGTTGTTTAATGGATATCACTAGAAAATTTAAAATGTGATATTATCAATAAATATAGTCTAATAACCCATAATACGCGAAGATAAATTGATCAAAAATTGACAAGTACCATAACTAATTGTATTATCCGATATTGATCATGCTTATATAATCGCATTCAACTGACTTGTATTTGTGAGAGAGCATAACTCATATAATACTATATCTATTGCATTTATTTCATCATAATGATTCGACTTATAATAGTGAAAAATCTTCAATTTTTGTGAAACAATTCAAATATAAACTTTTACAATCATATTTACCACAAAGTAATATAAAATTAAAAATTATTTAAGTACTAATAGATATTGATTTTTAGGATAAATTTTTATATTCTATTATTTTATTAATAAATGGTCCGTAATGATTTTACGTATAACCCTCTTCAAAACTGGAAAAAAATAATTGTTCTCTTTGTTAGTATTCATGTGTTTCTCTTTATAATAATCAAATTTTATTGCATTTACTTCGTAGTTTAATTTATAGTTTTATTTTGATAATGTTGATAGTGCTTTTTCTTGTTGATATGACTCGTAATTTTATTGATTATTTTTATTTAAATCAAATATTAACAAGACATCTTAATATATCGTCGTTAAATAATAAAATCATTGGAAATAATTTATCATATTTCTTTAAAATGATTAAATTCTTAGATAATGTGTAATTTGTTTTTTTTTTGAAGGATCCTATATAGATGTACCTTATAAAATTTTTATAGTATCGTATATTTTTGAGAAGTCCACAAAAATTAAATAGCAAGAAAAATAAAAAAGGTTAAAGTGATGAAATTTTCACCTAGCTTGAATATCAAGAATAAAATATCGTATAAATTGACAGAAATAATATGTATTTATATAAGTATTTATGGATGCTTTCCCTTTTTTTAATTTCATGAAATTAGTATAAAAACTTATGTAATTATTTATCAAAAACATTGATGCTCTTTCCATTATATTTTCTTTTTGAAATTAGTATCAAAATTTATGCTATTTTTTTTTTACAAATTTCGTAAGAAATTATAAATAAAATGATAGCTTTACTAATTTACATTTAATTTTTAAAATTTATAAATTTTATTTACACTTACAAAAAGAAGAAAAATGTTATAATAAAAAAAAATTGTAATTAATTATATTTTGTAAATTAACAAATAATTTTATCTAACTATTTTTAGTAATATAAATAATTAATTTAAAATGTTAGAAATTGAATGAATATTTTCTTTTTGGATTTCATATTTTTATATTTTCCATGAATAAAATTATACAAGTATGGAAGTAGAGAAATTTGAAACATTAATTTGAAAAGAAAAGTCAAAGAAAAAGAAGTAGATAAAAAGTAGGAAAGAGGAAAAAAAGCGTTCAAGAAGAGCGAGAAAATCATTTTCTGAAATGGGACCCAACATTTCCACGTGGCACAATATAAGTAGAGCCAATGGTCAGCCACCTCTTGGAAAGTGTGACTGAAAAGTGGTTTTACTTTTTAAGAATAGTAATTTTACTTTTGAGGGTAATTTGGGTACAAGAAATTGTTGAAATTACCCAATCACCCTCAACTTCTCACACAAATTTCGAAATAAACAACATTTTTGTTCCTCGTGCCATTTCGTGACAAATTGTTGTCTTGCCATTTATATTTTCCGTTTTTTTAAAACGAAAGTGGAAATATAAAATATAAAATAATGCCTCAATACCAATAAAGTTGGGTCCATAATAGGAATTATTGTAAACCATATATTGTTTCAATTAACTTCATTTAGATCCGTATTTTGTACTCCTATATAATTATGATATTATTTTCGTTTTAATTTATTTGTCCAATTTTATAACTTAATATAAATTTAATAAAGTAAACAAGACTTTTAAATCTTACTATCTTAATCATGTCATGTAAAAAGTTAGAATTAAAAATTTGACAATAAAGAAAAAGACATTCTACTTTAAATAAACTAAAAAGAAAAGTAAGGCAAACAAATTAAAACGAAAAAAACAGTTTATTTATTTTTTGGCTAGATTAACTATAAAAATACTAATAGTTACAACATCGCAAGAAAATATTATACATAATGTTAAATTTATTGCGAAAATTCATTATTAATTAATAAATTTTTTGTTTGTTGTCAATTTATTGTAGTCTTCGTGAATTTTTTTATGTGAATTTGAGATCGATAATATAAGTAAGCTTACATTAATCACGATTCTTTAATTACTATATTGTGTGATTATCTTTGCTTTTAATGTGGTTACTTGTTCACCACCTATGATCGGTCCTAATTATTGTTCAATCATATGATACATTAATGTTGTGTACTACTTTCTTTGATTCTATTTTTTTTTATACTTTTGAAATATCTTGAATTATTATTATTATGGTAATTTATAAAAAGAAATTACATGATAAATTTATTTTTTTAAATCTTAAATACATATCCAAATTCACTATACATTTAAATTATTTGATTTTTGAAATTCAAATGATATATAAATTGAAATAAATAAAATACCTTAAACAATTTCCAATACTATTAGTTTAGTTTTTTTTTTAATGCTGGTATAATCTTCTCATCTTCGTGATTTATTGGCTCAAACTTTTTCAACTTCATGCCCCATAAATTTCATTAAAAGAGGAAAAACATCCTACTAAGAATATTTGTTTTTTCATCCTTAAAAGCTCAAAAACTTACAATTCCCTAGAAAAATAATTATTCCACTGTTTCTTTTTAATTGTAAGCAGCTTTTTTCGAATCGAACCATATAGATTTTGAATAATAATTTAAGATATGTTTATTATTATATTGATATAAAAATAATTACAATTCATAATACTTTTTTATAGTTTTTAAATATTTAATTTTTTATTTTAATATATCAATTATTTACTGTAATCTAATTTAGGTCTGAAAATACGATTTTCTTATTCTAAATTGGGTTTTTATCTTTAAATTTTTTTGGGAAAAGGGTCAGAAATGCCCTTAAACTATGTGAAAGGAACAAAAATGCCCTCCGTTTATAGTTTGGCTCAAAAATGCCCTTAGCGTTAATACTTTGGTTCAAAAATGCCCTTAAACTATATGAAAGGAACAAAAATGCCATCCCTTTATAATTTGGCTCAAAAATGCCCTTACCGTTAATATTTTGGTCCAGAATTGCCCTTATTGTTATTTAATGGGTAAAAAATGCTCATTTTTCAAATAAATATTTTTTTTAACACATTCTTTTCTAATAATGTTTTTTTTAAAAAAATAAACAAATGTTTATCCTACTTCAATTTAGAAAAAAATAAAAAATGAAAATATTTCTTATTTTTTATCGTTATATAAATATAAATTAATGATGGATATACTATAATCTTATATATGACATATATTATATGTCCAAAGGGTACATGACGTTATTCTATTTTAATTGATAAAATGAGATTAAGAAGAAAAAAAATATTTCCTACCTTTTTATTTGTTAAAGTGATTTAGAAGAAAGAAAACAAGAATAGTGTTCTTCAATAATATTTTAATTAGGACGAAGATGTGTTTAAAAAGAAAAAATATACATTTATTCGGAAAAGGGCATTTTTGACCCATTTTGTAACTATAGGGGTATTTCTGGACCAAAGTATTGACGGTAAGGGCATTTTTGAGCCACTATAAAAGGATGGCATTTTTGTTCCTTTCACATAGTTTAAGGGCATTTTTGAACCAAAGTATTAACGCTAAGGACATTTTTGAGCCAAACTATAAACGAAGGGCATTTTTGTTCCTTTCACATAGTTTAAGGGCATTTTTGACCCTTTTCCCAATTTTTTTTATGTATTCATGAAAGAAGGATATATTCTGATCATACGCTATATTTTAAAACTCCACATATAAAATTATACTAATTTATTAACCAACATTACATTATATCATTACATCCTACTCAAACATTTCACAAAGCACATAACATGAAATTAAAATGCAACTAGTAACATTAATACGATAGCTTTAACGGCACTGCTAGTTAAGTTAGTTAATTTCATGGCCATCCGCCGCCATATCCACCGCCGTACCCTCCGCCGGTTCCACTACCAGGGCCGCCAAATCCTCCACCTGCTCCACTACCAGGGCCGCCAAATCCGCCGCCAGTTCCACTACCTGGGCCGCCAACATTACCGCCTGCTCCGCCACCAATATTACCGCCACTGCCGCCTACGCCAGCGCCAATTCTGCCGCTTCCACTTACTCCACCACTAACCCCGCCGCTGCCGCCTATTCCAATGCCAGGTGGACTGCCGGCAGTACCACCGCCCATGCCGCCAGCACCAGCACCGACACCTACACCTCCTCCGGCACCGATCCCGACGCCAACCCGACCTTCAGCTCCTCCACTAATGGGCCCAGCTCCCATACCCAACCTTCCTCCGACGCCGGCGCTAACGCCACCACTAATGGATCCTCCTAGACCCGGCCCAGTTGGCTCACCTGTCTCATAAACACAACAATACTAGTGAATAATTATGACGAGAGATTACGAACTATGAAATTAGCTACGAATTTCATCGTTAAATTGTCTAATATCTAACAAAATAAGGTAGCAATTTTTCTTTCACCAATCGCTACCCTTTGGATGCACACTGAAAAATTTATTTTTGTATTAGTAATATCTTGTGAACCACTCAGGAATTGTAAATTATAGGAGTACGCTAGACATGTCTGAAGCAACAAACTCAACTAAAAAAATGTTGACAAGGAGAATCGAGCTCTAACCATCCTAATTATGTATAATATCTGCTGCACTAACTTATCGAAATGTAATTTATAGACAAGTTTGATGCAACAAACAAACTCAACTAAACAAGTGTTGATAGAAAAATCGATCTCTAATCTTTCTTATGAATACAAAGAGATGGATCTTTAACGTGTTTAAATATTATCTGTTGCACTAACTCAGTGACCACCTGATGAGGAATAAAATATTGAGTTGAAAGAAGGTCATTTGGAGGTTGTAACAATCATTTCTCTTAATTCAACACTTAAATTTATCTTCAATTTTAGTAAAATATTGAAAATTTCAAGTACTTTTATACATAAAGTTTTTAAATTTATTTTAAATTTTTTAACAATATTACTAAAAAACATCTAAGGTTCCATTACCAGCAGCAAATCCACCAGCACCAATATTATTATCTAATCCACCTTGATAATCAGTAACTCCATATTTTGCTGCAGCAAGAGACTCGTTTTCACTTTGTAAATTTCTAGCACAAACAAGAAAAGCTCCAAGTGAAAACACAAAAAGAAGTAATAAAATTTTAGCCAACATTTTTTCTAGCAATTTAGAAATTTAATATTATCCAAAAAGAGTTACTATAATATAATAAAAGTTGTGTGAGAATTTTGAAGGATTGTAAAGGGGATTTTATAGGCTGAAAAATCCAAAAAACTCAACGGTACACTGAATTTTCATTCATTATACGTAAATGAAGGCATGAATTTTATTTTGACATTTGTAAGCCATGCACGTAAAAATTTAATTTAGAGTTATCATCACAACTTTGAAGAAGTTGACTCTGTAAACGTTAAATTGATGACCATTTAATTTTGATTTTGACATATCATGTAAATACTACAGACAAAAGGATTTTATATACTCTGCGTTACTGTGTGTATTTTGAATCCAAGTATCCAACTGTTTTCACTAGGATCGTGTGAATAATTTCGGGTCAAATCAATAATTCAAATCGACAATAGAGTTATTTGATTAATGATTTGAGTTTTTGATTTGTCGATTTTTTTATAAATGTTTAGTGTTCTATGGACTATGATTATTGGATAATTGGTTTTGAACGTCTCAGTTTCGACCACTTTATTTAACCAGCTAATTAACTGATAACCTAATAAGAAAAAAAGTTTTTCTCAATTGTTTTTTAGATTATATATTCTAAGAATAATTATTAGAATTGATCATTCTTAAAAATAGTTTTTCTCAATCGTGAATTTTATGAGATGAACATGATGACTTTCTTTCATCGATGTAACTCGATCCAATAATATTATAGATAATAATCAAGATCAACTATTTACGAGTGGTGAGTGATACAAGTAGAATAGTAGTACTTAAGATCGCACACAATTATTAATTATAAAACTTTGTTATTTGACTCTTGAAATTCAGACTATATTATATGAAGGAAAAGAATAACGATCAATTAAATAAAAAAGTCACGACTATAAGCATAAACATGCCTATATTATTCACTAATTATTTATTTAAATGGAACAATTGCTAACTTTAAATAGTGAAATTAAATATTCTCATATATATACTAAGCTTATTAAATAAACATAAAATTAAATTACATATGCCACAAATTTATTAGATCAAATGCCACCACCGCCGAAACCTTCACCGACCCCAAATCCAAAACCACTACCACCATTCTCTCCACCACCGCCACCGCCACCGCCACCACCACCGCCGCTACTGCCTAAGCCGGACCCGTGGCCACTACCAAAGCCAAATCCAAATCCGCCACCGTTTCCGCCACTAAAACCACCACCTCCTCCACCGCCACCACCACCGCCGCCGCCGCCACCACTACTGCCGCCAGCTCCTCCGATAATCTGACCAAATCCTAAGCCATTTACACCAGCTGGGATCTCAAAAACTGTAGCTACTGCATCTCCTAGGAGTATTCTAGCTGACGTGTCACGTGCAAATACTCCCAAAAATATTAGAAAAATAAATGCCTTTGAATATTGTGTTGACACTGCATGAAAATAAATGTACATCATATATAAGTTTTTATTTTGATGAGATTATTAAATAATGGAAATTATCTGTTACAACACGTTAAAATAAATATATAGTCTAAAACATTTATACTATTAGTTTAAATATTAAATTTGAAGAATCCTTACTTTTCATTCTTGGTGTTTGTATTTGTGTGGAAAAGATAAAAGAGATTTTTCAAGATATATATAATTATACACAATGTCAAGAGTTTATATTGTAGAGATAAATTGCTGAAGATAATTAAATTCTCGATAATTAATGTGAGAACCAAAACTGAACATAAGTAATTATATTTGTAACAGTAATATTTAATGGGTGAAAAATTATCCACTTAAAAGTCTTTATAAAATTTGAATTATAACGCACACATTCTCTTCCTCTAATTAATTTTCTAAAGGTTTTGAGCAAATCTAAAACTTTATGATAATTCTTTTCTTACCTTAAACAACAAACAACATTATTATAATTACTCTTGTAGATAAAAAAGACATTTTTTAAAGAGCATCAACTTAAATAACGCACTAAGCGAGTTGGAAAAAGAAAAAATAGAGAAATAAAAAGAAAGTTCTTAATATTTATACTTTATGTAACTTCATGAAGTAACATAAATACCAGAGATTAGAGAACTGGAGTAAACTCTCTTTTAATTTTGATGTTTAATGAATACATAATCATGAGAAGAATGACGGGAAGAATTTCGTGTCATCTTATTTATTGCTGAAATAACTATATTATCCGTTTCATTTAATTTTATTTGTTCACTATTTTAAAAATATATTTATTTATTTCATTTATTACTTTTATAATATCAAGAAAAAATAAATATTTTATCTTTTAAAAAATTGTCGTGTCGTTGAAAACTTGAAAACCCCTTCTCAGATACCTAAATAGAAATAACTGAGAATAAAAGACATAAAACGCGATTTATGAGTAAAATTTTGTATCTTCTTATTTATTGCTGAAATTACTATATTACCCGCTCTGTTTAATTTTATTTGTCCTTTATTTTAAAAATATATTTATTTATTTCATTTATTACTTTTATAATATCAAGAAAAAATAAATATTTTATCTTTTTAAAAAATATCGTGTCTTTGAAAACTTGAAAACCCCTTCTCAGATACCTAAATAGAAACAACTGAGAATGAAAGGCATAAAACGCATTCAACGAATGCGATTTATGAGTAAAATTCCGTGTCTTCTTATTTATATTTGAAATTACTATACTACCCCTTCTGTTTAATTTAATTTCCCACTATTTTTTAAAAAATATTTATTTATTTCATTCATTACTTTTATAATATCAAGAAAAGATAAATATTTTATATTTTATATTTTAAAAAAAGTCATATCATTAAAAACTTGAAAAAACATTTCTCACATACCTAAATAGAAAGAACTGAGAATGAAAGGCATAAAATGCATTCATCGAATGCGATTTATGAGTAAAATTCTGTGTCTTCTTATTTATTATTTAAATTACTATATTATCCCTTCCATTTAATTTTAGTTGTCCACTATTTTTAAAATATATTTATTTCTTTCATTTATTATTTTTATAATATCAAGAAAAGATAAATCTTTTAAAAAAAGTCATGTCGTTGAAAACTTTAAAAAACCCTTCACATATACCTAAATATAAAAAGGTGAGAATAAGTCATAAAACGCATTCAGCAAATGCGATTTATGAGCAAATTTTCGTGTCTTCTTATTTATTGCTGAAATTACTATATTACCCCTTCCGTTTAATTTTATTTGTCCATTATTTTAAAAACATATTTATTTATTTGATTTATTACTTTTATAATATCAAGAAAAGATAAATATTTTATCTTTTAAAAAAACGTCGCGTCGTTGAAAACTTGAAAATTCCTTTTTAGATACCTAAATAGAAACAACTGAGAATGAAATGCATAAAACGCATTCAGCGAGTGCGACTTATGAGTAAAATTCTGTGTCTTCTTATTTATTGTTGAAATTACTATACTACCCTTTTGTTTAATTTTATTTGTTCACTATTTTTAAAATTTATTTATTTAGTTCATTTATTACTTTTATGATAACAAGAAAAGATAAATATTTTATCTTTTAAAAAAAGTCACATCGTTGAAAACTTGAAAAAGCCCTTCTCATATACCTAAATAGAAAGACCTGAGAATGAAAGGCATAAAACGCATTCAACAAATGCTATTTATGAGTAAAATTTTGTGTCTTCTTATTTATTGCTGAAATTATTATACTACCCCGGCCCTTTCGTTTAATTTTATTTGTCCACTATTTTTAAAATATATTTATTTATTTCATTTATTACTTTTATAATATCAAGAAAAGATAAATATTTTATCTTTTAAAAAAACATCATGTCGTTGAAAACTTGAAAAAATCTTTCTCAGAGACCTAAATAGAAAGAGCTGAGAATGAAATGACAAATAAAATAAAACGGAAGGGGTAATATAGTAATTTCAGCAATAAATAAGAAGACACAAATTTTACACATAAAACACATTCAGAAATATATATATATATATATATATATATATATATAGATAGATAGATCGTTATTTTTTGTGATCTATATAGAGATATTTCAGTTAGATAAAATGATATCCCTTGCGAGTTAATTCATACTTTAATTTATTTGTTTCTTTTTGACGATTTCATTTGCGTATAATTAGAGCTAAATTGAACATAAATATTGTTAGTCGATCGATAAATGCTTCTTTATCTATAATTTTGCATTCTTATATCAGAATAATCTGAACAATAAATATTAATATGTTTTATTAAATAATTTTATTGACCATGATAAAGTATTTATTTATTATACGTACTTGGGGGAATAAATCATATCAGTCATATAGAAAATGGAAACAGGATCAAATTGGTAGTAATTTTGTAGCTGGGGTGATGCAGAATTTAAATTAATGAAATTAAGAAATATCAAATATTAAATAGTTATAAAAGAGTAATTTGTTAGCATTTCGCGATGAATATATATAAAGAAAAAAATTGAACTACTCTACTCAATTTAAAATAAAATTCATTATTTTCAATAATAAAATCAGACAATCAAATTAATCGTGAATTCCCTTAAAACTTTGGCCACCACCAAAACCTTGTCCGCCCCCAAACCCTACATTACCGATTTGACCACCAATGCCTCCTCCTCCGCCACCTCCCATAGAAACCGAACCATCTCTACCTATGCTTCCACCTATTCCACCACCTCCACCACCACCAATTGACCCAACACCGGGTACACTTACTTGACCACCAACACCAACACCTACTCCAAAATCCATGCCATCGGGACCAACGTGTCCTCCACTACCACCTCCACCTCCAAATGAGCTACTAACTCGTGGAACCTTATTATTATTATAATTATCCGGAAAATCTAACCCGATAAGATTTCGAGCGGAACTTGTGTACATTAAAGTTCCCAAAATTATCATAATCATGAAATTCGAAGTCATATTTGTATGCAATATTTTTTAAAATTGCTAAAAACCTATTTCGTGAGTTAGGAATTGTTAGGACAGAATTTATAACAATGTATAGTTATAACTCGTATGTAATGTATATAAATGCAACTTTAGATTAATAGAGAAATAAGAAACGGAAATTTTGCATTAATTTAGAAATTTACAATATGTAACATGTAACTTTATTAAGTATGAATTAATGAACAATATTGTTTACTAGAAGTTCAATGAATATAATCAAATAGTAGGAAAATAATATCAGCTATGAAGTTTGTAAACTTTTCCTCTTAATAATGTGTATTTTTAAATATATATTTTTAATATTTTGATTTTATTTTTTTTATATACTTTTTACTTGGTTTTTTAATTCTAGTTCAAAAAATCTAAAATTCCATGTCCAGATTCACTAGCAAATTAAAAGTAAAAGATTTGACTCGTTAAATTCAAACAACAACATATAAAATGAGAGCTGAGAACATGCATTTGTTTGAGTCATGAAATTGAAAAATTGTTTGATAAGGTATGCCTTTTCTTTTCTTGTGGGGTTATTCATAATAAGTCAAAATTAATTGAATCAGTAAATATTAAACACCATTAAGATAATTTAAAGTAATTGTCTCAAGGATGCAAGTTGTTTACGTTTTGGTGCTACTTTCTGCCTATGATACTTTAATTACTCCATTCATTTATTTTTATCTGTTCATTATATATAAGTAAATTTTTATTTTATGTTCACTTAAGAAGAAGAATTTTATTATATATATTGCCAATTGGAGAAATAAAGTACACTACATCTCGACTCTTAATAAATCTCCTTGATTTTTATTTTATTAAAGAGAGGAGGAACTGAAAATAAGATAGAAAGGAAAAATTGCAACAAAAAAAAGAAGTAGAAGCATGCATGAATAGTATTTCATGCATGCTTGAGTAGAGTACATTATGCATGCATGGCTTGTATTCCATGCATTGGCATGTAGTTCCTGGAATCCACCAGGGACGATGGTTCTGCAGTAGACTTTACAACCTATATTAAGTCAAAATCTTGAATTTATTTCATAATATCGAAAAAAAAGTAATTAATATCGAGTCGAAACTAAAAAACAATATGATCATTAAAAATAGAAAAATGAAATGAATTATTGTACACACATAAAGGAGAAAAAAGTTCAAAAATTGAAGAACAAGGCTTGTTATGTAAGTTTACACCATATATATCCAAAAAAGGAAAAAGAACATTTATAAATACGTATTTGAAATCTTATTAATGATAACTATATATATACATTTTATAGTCAATATTTATGTATAATAACAGTAAATTTCATGAGACTTTAAATATTTGTGCTTAAAGCGATAGTTTTAGTGGCCTTTACCTTTGAATCGACCTTCGAAAAAACAAACTTGGTGACACTAACAAAGCAAAAGAGAGCACATATAGAACCATGAGAAGAAAAAACTTAGAGTTAATCATCTCTTGATTGTAATTTTGAAGACAATGAGGAGGGAAGCCTAGTGATATATGTATATATAGAGGTAAAAAAACACAAATTGTTCTCAAGAAAATTTAATTGCCAAGACTTTTGACAGTTGAAAAAGGTTAAGTATTATCAATTGAATTAAGTTACGTTGTTGTGCAGGTTGCATTATATTTTACTTCTCCGTCCTTTTTTAGTTGTTATGTTACACTTTTTAAAAATTAATTTGACTAATTTTCAAAGTTAAATTATATCAGATTAATTCAATATATTAAACTAAAAATTAAGATATTACTAACTATACGAAAAATACTATAAATTATAATTTTGAAGACAATGAGGAGTGAAGCCTAGTGATATATGTATATGTAGATGATTAACAATATAACAACGACATATAGTTAGTGTAATTGTATAAAGTGAGATCTAAGGAGGTAGAAAAATTAATTATTTCCAAACATAAATATTATAGAAAGCACGATGAAACATTTTGAATATTAATTACAACAAGAAAAAAAAATATAATAATCAAAGTATAAGAAAATAACAAAATTAAAATACAAAAAACTGTAAAAATAATGCTACGACTACTAATATAAATAACTTTACCCTAATTGTATTTTCCGCAATTTCCTATCTACAAACATATCCTTGATCAATAATAAGCTAAAACTGCATCATATCGAAGCTGTGTCTATTCTACAGCTTATGAATCATCATCACTGACTCACTGTGCTACCTACCGCCTGGCTTAATGAACTATGCGACAAAAAAGTATTTTGATTGTGTTGGGTTTATAATATTTTTCTTTTTTGGATTCCTGTACTTTTATTATTTCGTTTTTTGGATTGTTTGGATTAATTTTTATTGAGTCAAAGAGTTATCGGATGCAATTTTTTTACCTTTGAAATAGAAGTATGGTTGACATATAAACTACTTTTTTAAATTTTACTTGTAAAACTATATTGTATATGTTGCTGATCATGTTATGAGAAGTCAAAAGTTTTTTTTTTTTTTAAATAAAAAATTGGCGTGTTTGACTTAAATTTCAGAAATAGCAAAGATAATAGACATAATAAGACAGTATAACTATAGTTTCGGTAATTACACTCTATATTTATAGTTCCGTTTGCTATATGGAAGCTGCAATTTGTATATTTCGTTTGCCCGTTTATATATTCGCAAGCTAAATATACAAACAAGATAAGTATATACGAATTCTGTATTTATATATTTAGAAATTAACCCATTTGTATATTTCACTTGCCAATATACAAACAAAGTAATTTATTATAAATCGTATACAAATTGCTAGGGTAAGCATATACAAACTCTGAATTTAGAAAATCAGAATCTCAATTATTTAAATTCTGGATTTATATAATCAGGAATCAAATTATATAAATTTTGAATTTATACAATTAAAAAATAGAATAGCAAAAATCGGGAAAACTGTAGCCACGAATTACAGTTTTCTTAAACTGTAGCTATAGTACATACTACATAATATAGGCTAAAGACTTGTTATTAAGCATAAATTTTCCATGGTTAAATGGGCCATCTGACCCACTCAATGATGTTCATGGATCAAACTAAACAGGGCTTTGATCCAAAATAAAGCCCACTATCCATTACCATAGATTTTGTTCTTTCTCCTCTTTCTCTCCTTTCCTTATAAACCTTATCTTTATATCATCAAAAATATTCCTTGTTTAAAATTACACCCATTTTAATAGAATTAAAAAAAAAAAAAGTTCAATTTCCACCAATATGAAGTGCATTACTAACCTTCACTCTCCAATATTACTAAAATTTTCAACCAACAAATTCACATGCCAATACCATAAATCAAAGCCAATTTGTATATTGGAGCAGCAACATTATAACATTAAATTAGCTACTGGTTTTGTAAAGGGAAAAAAGACTCTGTTAATTGCTCCACTTAAGGCTGTTAATTCACCTGCTGCTTCTGGAGATTTGTCAGTTTTGCTGCAGACTGGGTTGGTACTTTACTTTATTTTATTTTTAATTTTCAGTTTAACTCGTTAGATTCGATAATGTATCACTAATTCACATAATATCTTGAACAATTTGAAAAAAATCATATAGTTGCACATATATTTCTACTCCCTCTGTTTCAATTTGTTCGCTCTATTTTTTTTTAGTCGGTTTAAAAAAGAATGTCAAATGTGTTTACTTATGTTTTCTTTACTGGTACCTTGTTTTGACAGTGCAGTAATGCTGTTTATGTACTGGATTGCAAATTTTGTGGTGCCAGAGTTCATCATGAAGGATCTTCAACAAGATGACACTACCACCAACAATAACAAAACTGATGAAAAAGATATTCTATGAAGATTAATTAGCTAGAAGAGCACAAATTCATCTGTTTTGTTGAATGTCTCTTTTGTACTGTTTCGATGAATACAATATTTGGATAGATTTTAATGCGTTCACACCTGTATAAATAATGAACTCAAGTAACTAACTTAACTCCATCAATTCACACCGATTATAAACAAACGATAATATATAGTAACAAAATTTAAGTAACAATCAAAATAAATACGACAAAAATTTACTACTACTGAAACGATGCAACCATATCTTTGAACTGATCAAGGAGTTCATCAACAGTCATGACTTGATGATCGCGTTTGTCTCTGACTCGAACGCTAACCTGACCGTTCTTAGCTTCCTCTTCTCCAACAACTAGTATATAGTTATATTGTACGAGTTGAGCTTCACGTACCTTTTTCCCAACTGTCTTGTCACTAACATCGATATCAACATGATAACGAGCATCATGTAATCGTTTCCAGATCTCAAACGCGTACGCTTGAGATTTGTTGGAAATAGGACAGACAATAGCTTGACGAGGACTAAGCCAGAAAGGCCATTTACCTTTGTAATGCTCAAAGAGTATAGCGAACATTCGTTCAACTGATCCAAGTATAGCTCTGTGTATCATAACTGGTCTTTCTCGAATTTGATCGTTTTCTGCTACGTATAAAAGGTTGAATCTTTCAGGAAGCTGGAAATCAAGCTGCAATGTTGCACATTGTAAGTTTCTTTTCATTGCATCAGATACACTGATATCGATTTTCGGACCATAAAAAGCTCCGTCTCCCTTGTTGATCTCCCAGGGCTTTCCGAATTCGTTCAATGCTTCAGCAAGAGCATCTTCAGCCTTCTTCCAACTTTGTAAGTTTCCGATATACTTTTCAGGTCTGGTAGATAACTTGAAGTCAACATTACTGAAACCAAATATGGTATACACATAACTGATGAAATCCAGGACGCCTTTTACTTCGTCCTTGATCTGTGACTCCCTGCAGAAGATGTGAGCATCGTCCTGGTGAAATTGCCTGAGACGTGTTAAACCTGTAAGGGCACCACTAGCTTCGTTCCTGTGAAGAGCTCCGAAATCAGCCAGACGAAGGGGTAGTTCTCTGTAGGAACGAACTCTGTGACCGAATACTTTACAATGTCCAGGGCAGTTCATTGGCTTCAACCCGAATTGATCTACTGCTTTATCATCAATCTCGAGCAGGAACAAGTTTTCCTTGTACTTTGCAGCATGGCCTGAAGTTTCCCATAACTGCATCTTGTATATATCTGGGCTCCAAATCTCCTCGTAGCCTCTTTTCCAGTACTCATTCTTCAAGAATTCAAGTAATTTGTTGCAAATTCGAGCACCATGTGGAAGAAAGAAGCAACTTCCAGGGCTCATTGGATCAAAATAGAAAAGCTCCTGCTTCTTGTTTAGTTCTCTGTGATCATATTTGTTTTCTTCCTCCAGCGTCTCGACGTTTTCCTGACCCATAATTTTGCAATTTGCAAACAAGAAAAAAGTGGAAGGAGGCAACCACAATGAATGAAAATATGTATTTATAGAGGACTTAGAAAACCTATTTGCATAAGAATTTGATAATAAATCCTAATCCTATACAAATTAGGTTTCGTTGCATCCAAAAATAATACTACGTTGGAAAGCTACCATATATATTTTTATAATTACTGGTATTAAACTTTAGGCAAGCATCTTTGAGGAATACTTTTTCATGAAAAACATGTTTTGGAAAAATGTTTTTCATGAAAAATAACTTCCATCATATAAAATACACTAAGATTCTTCCATTAACTGTTTCGTCACAAGCATCAGCTGAAACCCACAATGCTGGAATATTCATCGGGTCTCTGTGCCTAAACTAGTAACATATATTTATAGTTACATAATGAACAACAATAAAAAACTGTTATTATACAATTGTCCAGTCATTTTCGACGGAAGTAACAGGTTTATCTGGAGATGAACTGTCGGGCTTAGGAGGTTTCTTTGAAAACATGGATGAGAATGGTTGGCGTAATGGACTCTCCTCCTGGTTCTTCTGGTCTCGCGGTGATAGCTTATCCTTGTTTCTGAATATGAGGCTAAGCCTTTTGAATCGACTTTTTAGTTCATTTGGGGGTGCAGCTGAAGGTTCTTCAGGTTGAAAGGTGATCCTTATAACTTCATCTGGACTGAGTACCATTGTCTCAACAGTCTCGTAGACCTAGTAAAAAGTTTAATTGTAACTCATCACCGCGTAACAACTTATTATAGCAATAATCTGGCATTCACAAATGCTACTTTTGCAAATTTTGGGTCCAAATCAATGATTTTATGTAGCGTCATCCAGCACTATAAAGCTAATAAAATTGCAGAAAGGATGTATAACAAGCACCAGAATGCTGCTTCCATTTCTCCTTTCTCTACTCCCCGCCCCCTGCCTCACCCCCACCCCCACCCACACCCACACACTCTGATGGGATAGGAGTAGGGGGTGCTGACTAGCAACTGGGATATATAGGAGTCAATAGGTTTCGGTGGATTCAGTATGAACCTTGTATCCCCGAAAAGTTACTAGTATTTTCTTCTTTTTCTCTTTAATTTTATAACTGAGAAATTCCCCGAGGGCCTGCAAGGCCACAATTCAAAACTCGGTGGATAATGAGCCAGCTTCGGTAAAATTCACCACTTCAACATCAGTATTTTTATGATGCACCTAACCTACACATCATGTGTTGTTCTCTTACTAGAGAACCAAAGCCCTATGGGATGAAAGTTACTAGTTCTTTATAAGCCAATGAGAGGTAGTCAAATGCACAAGAATGTCTCAGGAGCAAGACTTGTGCTTGTATCCAGTACCACGAGTCAGAAAGCTTATTAATTAACCTTCACCAAGCTAAATAAGACATACCTGGCACAATTCATCAACTTTGTCAACCCAGTTGCTTCTTTGACAGGTGGCAATGACGTATTCTTTACAATCACTGAACAGCTTCGCTAAATTTGAATTGTTGGGGAGGGTGGCCTCGGCAGTTACAAACCCTGATCCCAACTGAAATTTAAATACCAAATAACATACGTTATATGATTTGGAAGCTGAATAAAGCTAACCCAAGATTAATGGGTGATTTTATCAAAAAAACAAAAAAATAAAATTGGAAGCTGAAAATGTCACAACCAAGACAGAATAATGCTTTATTTACTATGTAATGGAAACGTGAGAGGGAGGGATATGATGAATTCCTAAACATCACCAAATAAACAGAAATTTATTATATATAATTGTTATGGCTGTCAAAAGTAGATGGAATATAGGAAAGAAAATTGTGTCTTGCACAAATTTCATCTACTTTTTCCTCTTGACAAAAAAAAAAGGCATAAAAATGGCAAATTCTCAACTGTATATTTGAGTTTATAAGATGAAACTTCCACATAAGAGGCTGATATAAATTCAAAATCTATGTTCATAATAAAAAATACCAATCCTTGAAACAATAACAGAAACCTTGTTCAGCATGGAACTGCAATACTACCACAAGAGAGTTTCTGCTAGTCCACAGGCTTATATATCTGTGGATATTCATTTTTTATTTCTTTTACCAGTGACAGGCTGAATTCTTTCCTTATGGGAGTTTGAGGAATGAGAGTAACAGAAGATACAGATGAAAATTAAGACAAGACACATTTCAAGCATGCATAAGAGGACTTACAAGAGATATAAACAGCTGCTTGAAAAGCTCATGTGGAGATGTATCCTCTAAATTATCCAGAATACTTTCCCTACAGAAGGCACATAGAGTTCCTTTCAAAAAATCAGAACATTTTGTTTGGATCTTCTAAGCCAGCCTGGAGCTTAGAAACTTACACTGCCAAATCCTCATCAAAGAGAGGAGTTTGTCTAACAGCCGGCACTGGCTTTGAGGTTTCCCATAGTTCGCGCCACAAGTTGCCTAAAAACATCAATCCGCAGAAGTTGTCAGATAAAGTTTTGCACACTTCTTCCACCTATTCTGCTTGAAATGCGCTCAAAGATGGTTTGTACTTGATCACCTTATCAACAATCATAAAGCTACCACGAGAAATTTTAAGAGGACAGTGCAAATTTAGTGCAAGTTAGTATTTTGTTCCATCCCACCCCAAATACCACTTCCGCCAACTAGTTTAAAATATTCTTCTACAACCTGCTTAGCATAATGAGTAGTGAATAGACCCCTCGTCATACCTAGCACTGCTGCACGTTCTAAAAGAATGTTTCTTCTACCAAGACCCACTGGAGTTACTAGAGTACTTGAATGGACAAGTGGAAAAAACTACCATTTTGGAAGGTACCGTCTCATTTGTGTGCTAAATGACCTATAGTTGTTCCTTCTGTATTTACAACCAGTGCACTAGTATTTTAGCAGCTTCCTTTTTTTAATATATAGCCTATTGTATGGTCTCTAGCCTACTCTGTGTGATTATAAGAATAGAATACAATGGACTGCTTTCATTGATGTAACCAATAACAGTTGTTCTAGGTATGCACACTTTATAAGTGACTAATGAACAAATCAAACCAATTTGAGAGGTAGTCTCTCTTTCTACAAACACAAACAAATCCAATAATAGCCTTGTTTTAGCAATTGAAATGTGATTTTCAGAAAACAAGAGGTGAGAATTGTGACATGAAATTTGAGTTAACTAGAATAGAACCTTCTTTCTGCATTCGAGTACTCAGTTGGCCTCTTCCAGACAATGAGTCATTAGCATCAAGGGTTTCATTAATTCCATCATTTGTATCACATTCCATCCAATCAGGAGGAGAATGCCATCTAACGAAATCTTCTAATATACACCCAGGGTTTGCTGCCTAGTAGAGTTCAGGAAATTTGCATGTTAGTTTCAGTCAGATACTGCCAAATTGCAAGCTTGAGAAGGTACTTCAGGAAACTCTAAATTACAGATTCTGTTACTGAAACTTTACCTTGAAAGCCTGCATGTCAGACAGGAGTTGAGAGCACCCAGCTCCAAGACTGATGATAAGAAAGACGAGCATTTCAGATGAAAAGGTCAAGATTATCCTACTTGTGTCTATAAGTTGGAATATTTGAGGCATTAGGGGCAGCAGTGAACATAAAAGTATGAAACAAAGAGAAGGACAAGGAACAAAAGAAATCAGATGATTGTATTCTTTAATACAGAAAAAAAAAAACTGAAAGTTCCTTGATGTATTTGTAATAACTAGAAAATAAGATAATGAAAATACTTTGAACAACGTCAATAATTAATGCCAACTTTTTTTTTGTTGATAAAATGATGATTAGTGAAGCAAATTTTAGTGTAAGCAAGGTATATGTAAAGTAAGTGTTTTTTGCAGAGTAAGTGTTAAACTGCTACTATTAATGATTGGTCTCCATTTATGGACATTTGCAGCATGATCTTGAAAACAAAACAGCCTAAAGGCATTACCTCCCTGTTCGGAGCACCAGCTCCTCTGTTTCTTTGATTAGATCTTCCGTTAGCAAGGGTTCTTCCTGCATATATATACTCATGGTCATAAACGATCAATAATTAACAGTGGAAGGTATCCAATTCGTATCATAACATCTGCTCCTGTCCACAAACCTGCATTACTGGCGTATATATAGGTTCACCCGTTTCCAGCATTGTTAGATCAGATTGGCTGTCCACTCCTAGCCGAAGAATTAATTCTCCTGTGTTAACTTTAGCATACAAGACGGGAGTTGCAGGAAGGGTGCCATCATCAGCAAGAACATCTGTATTTGAACTTCCTAGCCTGACAACCGAATCCAACGATTCAGTGGCTGCAATGCGTCGCTTTTTCCTGGAAATGCAACGGTTAATAACCTGGAGTTGCTGATACAAAAGACATGAATTTAGGTCCGGAATTTGATCTGGAGGAATGCCAGGGATATATTGTCCTTCAGACCACAGCCTCCTCAACTGCATGCAAAGAAGATTGAAGATGTGTTACTCAGTGCATTTACAAGACTATGTTCACAGCACACCAACTAACTTAGGAAATGATCTAACTAGATGATGATATAATATTATAAGGATCAACTATGGGGTCAATATCTACTCATGAAGATATTATGTCAGTGCAGCTTAAGCAAATGAGGCCAGTGAATTAATGTACTAGTGGACGCTACAAAATCTGGAAAGGGTTCCATAAACTCCATAAAATAGTAACGAAAGCAAGTGATATTTTTTACCCTTAACAAAAAAAAGGAAAAGAAAGAAAAAGAAATCAGAAGAGGAGAAGAGTATGAAGAGGTTCAATTTGCAAAAACTTTCAAACAAGGATATAGACCTGTCATAGTATATCACTATGGTTGAAAAATGAAATTCAAATTGATTGGTAGTCTTAACTATCAAGCTATATTAGCTTTTGGGCTTTGTATGTTGGTGTGTGTGGGGGCCGGGGGGGAGGGGGGGGATCTGCAGTTTTTCTTGCAATCAAGTCAAAGACAATGAAATAAGGATAAAAAGCA